TCGGCATGCATCAACACCCTGTTCCACCATACTGATTAGCTAGACAGGGAAATGTCCAGCTCACAGAAAAACAGCCAACCTTGTACATTTCTATACCCTGAACCCAGCTCCGTACTACACAAACCACAGCCACTTACCAGGCGTCTCCTCTCCTGCTTCTTACTTGCTGGAGAGCAACTGCTGAGACTAGCTAAACATCTCTGGAGTGGTGAACAGTTCCTAGCTGCCTGCCCCACCGGGCGACCCTGCCAGGAGCTGCATATCCTCATCTAACTCCACCTCTTCATCAATGACTTCACCCTCTGGGTTTGGTCCTCTTTCCACCACCTCCAGACCCCCCAAAGTATCCACAGGGTTCTTGATGGTGGAGGTAGAGTCGCCATAGAAGATAGTGTCCAGCTCCTTTAGAACCAGCAGGTCTTAGGTGTAGCACCAGAGCAACGGTTCACCTCCCTTGCCTTATGGTAGGCCTGCCTCAGCTCCTTTATCTTCGGTCTGCACTGCAATGTGTCCTGATCATAGCCCTTTTCGCAAAAGCCTCGAGAAATCTGCCCGTAGGTATCAAAATTCCTTAAGCGCAGCTGGGACTGCACAGCCTCCTGTCCCCATATAATGAGCAGATCCAGCAGCTCCACAGTGGACCAAGTGGGAGAGCGTCTGCTGCGATAACCTGCCATGGTCACCTGTGAAGATGCAATGAGACCTCTCCATGTGGAGCGAACAGGAAATGAGAATTTCAAAAATTCCCAGGGCTTCTAAGGGGGAGGGGTGGATGGTTGTTTACCTGGCTGCAGGGCAGTGGAGTTCAACCCCCTCACCAGAGCAGTCAGGAGGGGCATTGTGGGACACCTCCTGGAGGCGAATTAAAGCGATAAAATGAAGTGTGGTGCCTACACCAGCACTTTGTCGACAAAAATTTTGCGCAAAAAGCCAATGTCTCTCACTGGAGTGGTTTTATTTTGTCGCCAAACCAGGGCATTTGAGGCCAAAAGTCACAATGCAGTGTGTACATATCCACTCTTTTGTCGACAAAACCCTGTAGTGTAGACAAGACCTAAAAATATGGATTTAACAAACAGCTGGGTTTTATGCCTCATTGTAACACACCCCGTCACCTACTAACTCTCCATTCTCCACTTCATTTTAAGTGTTTCTCCTGCAACATGTGTGAACCCCTAATGCTTAATCTGTACCATCTTGTATTTAGCTTGGACTCTTGTTTCCTTCTCCAGCCCGGAGGAAGTGCTCTGTGAAGCTCAAAAGCTTCTCCCTTCTTGAAATTGGTCAAATAAAAGATATTACCTCATCCACCTTGTGTCTCTTAAACAAATAAAAAGTTGAAAAACAGAATTAGCTCAGTTACATTTTGGTTAATATGAGTTTTACTGTAGCTGGTTTATGTAATGGAAAACAGTAAGAATGTAAGAGAGAGGACCTATTCTTAAGCATTTTGATAAGAACTGAGAATTCCGTGCCTCTCTGCTCTTTTATATAGGAATATTCCTGCTTACAATAGCAGGCCAATCAAAACGTTTAAGCACATGGTTAGGTCCATCTCCAAGACAAGCACTTAAGTATTCAATTAACTTTAGGTATTTGCATAAGGCCATGCCTTAAGCATGTACCTAAAGTTAAGCATGTGTTTAAATGCTTTCATGAACAGAGAGGGATTGCTAAGGTTGCCAACCCTTCAGGATTGGCCAGAGTCTCCCGGAATCGGCATTGATCTCCCGGTGACTGTTGAAAGCAATCCGGGAGATTTTAATAAATTTTAAGAAACTGTCATTACATCATGTTGGGGGGAAAAATCTCCCAGAATAGCTTGCCAGTCAGAGTTGGCAATCCTAGGGACTGCTAAACCAGAGGCCTTGGAAGTTACACACACATTTTGGTGTCTGAGGCTATGGCTACACTACGCAGCTTTTAGCAAGAGAGCAGTGCTGCTACAGCCAGGCAGCTAAAAGCCGCACAGTGAAACTGCTGTTTTTGGCAGGAGAGAGCTCTCCTGCCGACAGAAAACTTCCACCCCAACACGAACAGCAGCAGCTTTATCGGCAGGAAAGCACTCCTGCCGACAAAGCGCTGTTCACGCTGGTGCTTTTTGTCGGTAAAACTTTTGTCGTTCGGCGTGTGTGGTTTTTTAACACCCCTGAACGACAAAAGTTTTGCCGACGAAGTGCCCGTGTAGACATAAGCCACAAGAGAGAACGGACCACTGACAAAGATTTCAAGTAGCTTCAATCTCACCCTTCGTCAGTTTACTGACACTTTCTGCTCTTGTTGCACACTATACAGGTTAAGTCTTTCCTCTTACTTGCACGGAAGATGTAAAAAAAAGGCTGAAGCATTGATGGAAGGACAAGCTGTACCATGGGGAAATGGAACAAGAAACCAGGGGAGGGAGGAGGAATGAAGTGAGGCAGGAAGAGCAGGGGAGAAAAACAGCACCAGGAGAACATCCCACAGATTTGATTAAGTAGGGCACGGGGTAGGGAAATCTCTATTCACTAAGACCAACCATTGAAGCCAAGCACTACAGTTTTTCAAGTGCATTGTCTACACTGCCACTTTCCAGCACAGAAACTTGCATCGTGTGTGTGTGTGTGTGTGTGTGTGTTTTCAAAGGAAGTTTCGGTGCTGTAAGTGGCAGTATAGACAAGGCCTTAGACACAGTTATCAGCCTCCCAACTGAGACTGGCCTTTCAATGACTGGCTGGTGTCAGCAGAGGAACTTTGAAAAGCATCCTCTTCAGGAACATGTCATTGTGTGTTTGTTTTTATTTAAAAGGTTTGTTGAAGACTTTTGCCTAAAACCAAAACTTGTGCTGTTTAGGACTTCATGGGATTGCGGTACTTGCCTGTCACCTGAAGACAACCCGCCACTTGTGACAGACCCTTTTAAAACAGTCCCTTGTGATAGTTCAGTTGTGTCACAAAGCAGCACAATCCTGATTGCATGAAATACGCTGTTCATAACAAACAAGGGAAACGAAAGTATAGGATCAGAGCACTGGGCTAGACTGTTGTAGATGTGCTCAGGTTTTACACCAGGGCAGTTCCAGTGATTTAAAATGGAGTCATTCCTAATTTATGCTGTTATAACAGACAGCAGATTTAGGATCAAGGTCTACAACTAGAATTCTGTGCAAGTTGTCCAAAACATGTCAAAGGGTCTTTATATTTGATTCAGACTACAAAGGCTGTTATTCACCACCAAGGAAAATACATTGCCTTTATATAGCACCTGGGACCCAGGAGCTCAAAGCACTTCACAAACATTAAGCCAACCACAATTCATCTGAATTAGATGAATATTGCCCCATTTCACCAATGGAGAAATTGAGCCAACAAGATCGCTCCCAGACAGCAGCAGAGCCTCAACTACAAACCCAGAGCCAGTTCTCAGTCCTATATTTTAACCACTACACTACACTCTCCCTACATACATTAAACATATTTTAAATGCAGCATTCCACTGCCAACGTTTTAAGCTAATGAGTAATCTACAACCACCCCCTCAAAATGACCCCAATCCCTCTTTCACTTTCGCAGCAAGCACCTACCAGCTTCCAGACCTGTGTACTGTCGCATCAGCTTCCTCAATGATGTGTAATGAATTTACAAAAGTAAGGCAGCCTTAATGACTTCTGCTCCATTAGAAACCAGAAAATCCATGTCTGCAAATTGAAGACAGGCAAAACTGGCGGGAGGGGATGGGGGGGAGAGAGGCACTGCTCCATTTTACTAGCAATTCTCCACTGGCAGCTTCTATATTATCAGGGTTTGTCTGCACGCAGAGTTGTCTCACTTTCACTTAGAGTGTGATTTTAAACTAATTTAGTTAAACCAGTGCACAGGCTTATTCTGGTTTATTTTAAATTTATTAGGAACAGACATAAGCTAAATCTATAGAAATCACTTAAAACCAAAATAAGCATGTACCCAGAGATTTGGATCGGTTTAGCAGAGCAAATTTTTGTGAACACGACTTCTAAAGTCAGTCTAACATATTAAAAGGATTTAGTTTCTTAAAGGATTAGACAGAAGAAGCTCGGATGCTATTAACTGGAAGGGGTTGTGGCAACAGACTAAGAGCGTGTAGGTACAGATGCGTGGGAGGGGCAGGAAAGGTCAATGGTATTTGCTTATTTTGCTTTAAGCATGCCATTGAGTTTTGCTCTTAAAAGCAGCAGGGGTGGAAAAAGTAGTGCATCCCACAATAAATGAATGAAAACAGCTAGTTTACAGCCTGATCCTGCTCACAATAATGTGAGAGGAACATCCCTGTCCTAGATTCTCCTTGCCCTTAGAGGATCACTCGAGTATAGTGCATCCTACAGTTCAGGTTATCAATATGTATTTAGTAAACACACTCATGACAAATCTCTTTGGCCTTGTACGAAAGGGGAACCAACTTCCGGACTGGCCAAATGCCAGAGACTCCCAACTTGCCACTCCAGGGAAAAACCCTCATGTTCCCACCAACCAGCCTCTCAGGAAAAAGCCTGTGTAAATAAATAGGCTTTGTAGCATGCTTAGAAGGCCAACAAACTACAGCTCTAATGGACCAGTGGGGAGAATCACCCTTGCCAGCAACCTCCTCCTATTTACAGTATGGCACAGAAGTGTCTCTCAATGTAGCCAAGATCCACACTTGTACAGGAACTCTATAGGTGTGAACCACCACCGTGAAACAAACTGTGGCCCAACCCTACAACTGGATCCACACAGACAGACCCCCACTGAAGTCAACGGGCCTCTATATAGGCACAGGGGTCAGTCCACATGGAACCAATTGCAGGATTGGAGCCAAGCCAAGCCTCATGTGATGTTTGTGTGGCAGAGTGTGATATCAGCTATAAAATACTATGGAGGACAAGCAGGTTTACTTACAGTCATCCTGCCCCTAATGATTAACACTCAAAGTAAACCTCTAGCTCTTGCTGCAAATTCAATATTTAATCTTCAGTGAGGGAAAGAAAAACAGAAAACTACAGACACCGTGTTGTACTTTTTATAGAATTTTTACAATATATTTCTCTTCATTTGCATATTTTACCCACATCTATAACTTTCTTGTTACATGTTGAGCTGAACTGGAATAAATCTAAAGGTCTGATCTATTTCAAACAACCAAAAACGATAAAAATTGCAAAGTAGTAAACCCGTAAGAAAAAAAAATTAAAAACCTCTTAAAGTGTTTAATGAAAGCAAGTCACATGTATCATTAGGAACAATGTGATTTGTTTTAAATACATCATCTGTGAATCAGGACACAATCGTTTTTTAATTAGGCACATTTTTTTCTTCAGCATACCTGTTTTCCAGCCAGCTTTGTCTATTCCACAGTATCATCTGCATCCACTTGGAACTGCTGCAGGATTTCAGAGAGCTATTGGTCATAATTACTCCTCCTCCCCTTTTTACATGATAGAAAAAAAAATCAATATTTCTTGCACCCCTAAAAACCCACAATGAACCAGCATGTTGTAAGGCAGTGAAAGACTGACTCAGTGTCAAGCCAGGTGACAGCCCTTCAGTTCCATCTAGTGGTTGGAAAGAATATTTAGCAGCTAATGCCACTTGCAGCCCTTTGAGAGCAAGATGGCTGACTGGCAGACCTGCTGGTAAGGGTAGTAAGTGGTACGCCTAGATAGTAATTTTGGCCACTCCTGTGTCATTCTTACAGCCTTTATGCATATTGTTATATAGAAAGTAAAAATACAGTGCAACAGAAAAAGAACGAGAATGAGGAAACGCCATGATAGGATCAGTGACAGATCTCTGTACAGTCTGTAACCCTGATGTAAAAAGAGGAAAAAACCTTCTGTAAATAAACATAGGCAGATCTCAACAGCGCATCACATACCTTACATACAGCACAATCAATCTATCGCATATCTTTACCAATTAGCCAGGGACTCGTTCCGAGACAGTGGGTAGGAAATCCACATTGTCCCAGAGCAGCAGTTTTAAAATGCTCATCTGACCCTTTGATACAATACACACTGTTCATTGAAGTGGACTTCAGAAGAGGACCATAGTTTTGGTGTAATAACCCTTGCCCCACCCCAGATTCTCCAGTAGGAGTTCACACTGTCAGAAAGAGACATGCATTTGGTTGACCAGGAAAGCTCCTAGCCTCTCCTGCAGTCAGCTGACAAGTTTAAAGGCATCACGAAGAGGGAACCAAAGCATAAGACTGCAAATTCCTTTATCTAGGAGTTAAAGGTATGACAAGTAAATCTCATGTTTAGTACTCAAAAGTCTCTCATCCTGGAATGGGAGAGGGAACTAACTTTCATTATGTAATATTGCAGGCGTGTTTTCAGAGGAGTATGCATTTCTCTGCCTCTTTCCAAACTTGGGCAGAGGACAAGTTCTTCCTCCACTCTAAGATTTGCTTTGACTAAGAGAGCCATCCCATCCCCTGAAGAAGGTGATCGCAACTACTGGTGCCAATGAGGGTCTTCAGTTTTTAACCCCTTCCAGTTTACTCTTTCCAGTTTAAACTTCTCTCCCACAACAGTACTGGCCTTGCATTCTCCTAATGGAATAGGAGCCAACTTGCTACTTCCAAGGCTGCAGCACCAATGACCACCCAAAAAATGGGGACACTAAAGCACGTTGCACATTTCCCTCCCAGAGGGAAATAGCACCGCCTTTAAGATACTCCCAGTCCCAGGTGGCTGGAAGAGCACCATTCCACAAACTATTCCCAAATGCAGGGCTCCTATACACATGACAGTGCTACCCACTGGCCTTTTTGGACAAATAAGACCAGTGAACACAACACTCCGTTCCAACACAGTCATTGTCCTTATGCCATTTTGATCAGCTTTCCAGTCTCCACTACAGATGCATCTGGCTCTGCTTTCTTCATAGTTTCATTCTGGAAAAAAAAAATCTAAGCAGAATAGAAATTTTGCAGATTTTACATTCAACAAAACCAACCAGGCAATTAGCACACACAAAATGTAGCCCCACAACCCTTTAAGCTCTTTGCAATCTTCTTTGGAAACGGAATAACCAGCAAATTTGGGCAAGATTAAAGCCAATTTATTTCAACACAGGGGTCTGCTATTTATTCCACATTCAGCAGGAGTAATGCAGTTATTGCTATATGAGATAAATTGGGTTAATCACTAACCCCCCCATCATCCCTTGATGCTGGGAATCAGGGTTTCCCAATGTTCACCAGAAGGAGCTCCTGGGCCACCAGTAACAAAGAGTTAAGAAAAAATTATGCCATGAATAATTTCTTGGAAAGATGCCATCTTTGAGAAACATACAAGTTATGCATCACAGCCAGTGCGCCTCAGCTTCTCATACCACATCTTCAAAAGCTACTCCAAGGGAGCCATTGTGGTTTCTGAACTAAACCAGAACAATGCATTGTACATATTTAAGACAAAGTAGGGTAAGATCAATCGATCAAACCAAAAAGAACAGTAGAGGCTTTCACCTCTCACAAGGGTGCTCTGCCATCGGAATCTTTTAACTGCTCTTTGAATCTCTATATTTGTTTTAAAACCTAAAAGTTTAGTACTGAGTTAGTTGCTGCAGGTTTTTCTCCATGGGTAGCGGCTTTCAAAGCAAAGTGAAACATGGAAGGTTTCAAGTGGGGGCCATTTTTACTCTTACACAGTCCACCAAGATTCTTCTTCACTAATTTTACTTCCAGTGAAAAATGGATGCTACTGGTGGTACCAGCGTAAGTTCAGCAAAACTTTTCAAGCTGTCCCTTCCAGATATAGTCACTCGGTTTTACTGGGAGCAGATAATACAAGAACTGGGCCTTCTCCATTCTCATACTTCAGAAATCTTCGCCCGTTCACTCTCTGAATAAAAAAATACTTTTCTGTTTACTCTAACATGCTACAATATGTGCGTATGTAACTGTAGGTGACGCGTGAGTTACTCCAAAATGTGCTTTTTCTTTGAAGTGCGCTTTTACTTTTACAAATTCTACATCGAAGTGGAAGGAAGGAAGGCTGCAGAGTACCCATATGCTGAAGCTGAAGTAACTTTTCCTGAACGGAGTGAAGATGTTTGTTCCAAGGTTTCTATGGACAAACTATTTTATCCCATGCACTCCAGCCATGAGCCAGTATTAAACATTCCAGAGACTTGTTGATTTGTTTGGATAGTTAATGGCAAGGCTGATAGCAGCAATGTTTTTCAAGGCCTGGAGGGGAGGAAGAAAAGGAAGTTTAGCATCACAAACATTATCACCATCAAGTAATGGTTACTTTAAGTTCTAAAAAGCCACCCTCTGTTGTGTCAGTTTAACAGACATAGGAATAGTCTGTTCTCTATCCATCTGATTATCTTCTGGCAATGAAGTAAACGGTCATGCATCCAACAAGCTCTGGATGCTTAACAAAAAAGCAACTGCATTTCCGATTGCCCAGATGCCTCCATCTGCTAAATCTTTGCTTATGTAGAGGACAAGTCAGTTAAGGTGGATGCACCAGGCAAAGCCCATTGTAGTATCACTTCTAAATGGACAGTGGGTTTTACTAAGATGAAGAAGGAGTCTCATATCAAATGAGTTGACAGTTAAGAAGGAAGCTGGTGATGCAACAGAGATGTTGGGAGCGCAAAACTGAACTCAGGAAGTGTCTGGAAAAAATAACTCTTTCGGGGCCAAAGGCTGCTAATATTGAATTCAGTAGGGAATCTCCCCTGAATTCAGTGGGAGCAGAATCGGGCTCTATGACTTAAGTGATAGGAAAAGGAATGCAGAAAGCCTGATTTGGGACATGAGTTTTGGTTTTGATAACTCTCATCCACTCAACTGCCATTATCTGTAATATTATTCTTGGGTGGCTATCAATAAAGGAGGACACCATTTGTGAGTAGTTTCATTCAGCAGGAGCGCAAAGGGACACAAACCATGGTGTCAGGAAGGAAGATACAGATAGTGCTGGATCTACACCAATCTTGCAAGACTACTCAAATCATCTGGGGAAGGTAAAACAACTTTAAATAGGAGAGTACTTTTTTTTCCATTGCCAACCACTATACTAATAAGCAGACAACTAAATTTTATGCGTGGGCTTGTAAATTTCCATCGGTTTTGCAAGATTGATACAAAAACTTACAGGGCAGTTTTCTTGCTGATTAAATTCACAGGGTAGACCACTCACTTGACAGACAACACTAAGTTAGGTGACTTGAGTCAGTTTGTAGCTGCCATTTCCTCCCCCGGCGATTTTATATTGATTTTGTGTTTCATGCACTGGGGCTGTAGTGCCATAATCTGAAACTATAAACTCTTTTTTGTAACCAACTACATTGAAATATGAACGTCAGATTGGGGTGGGTGTGAAGAGGGAACAGATGGTGTATGGATCAGGGCACTAGCCTTTCACATCTAAGGAATCATTATTCAAACCAGTGAAATTGAATTTTGGGATCTTGTGCTAATCAGCAGTGACTATATATCTGACAAAAAGCTTATCCCACAATCAGGAATGACTGGCTGTCTCCTGCAGGATGGGGCAGAGGAGATACTTCTGACAGGGATTTTTTGTTTTTTTACCTGTGCTGTGCAACGATGAAGATGCTCTTCACTATTTAAGGCAAGCAAGTAGTCCTGCAGAGATCCAAGCTCCTGAAGCCAGAAACATGCTCAGTGAGATTGCTTTCGCAAGGTGTTTTTAACCACATTATTCTACAGATCAGCATTACCATTCCACTCTCCATAGGATAGAGCCAATTCATCAACATTTTAACAAACCCATAGAAATATAGGGCTAAAAGGGACGTTGAAAAGTTATCTAGTACAGCCTTCTACACATACACAGACTATCCCTGACAAGTGTTTGTCAACCTATTCTTACAATCTCAAATGATGGCGATTCCACAACCTTCCTTGGAAGACTATCCCAGAGCTTAACTACTATCGTAGTTAGAAACTTTTTCATAATATCTAACTCCCTTGCTTCTTTATTTACTTCTTGTCTTACCTTCAGCGGATATGGAGAGAAATTTTTATAACAGCACTTAAAATATTTGACAACTGTCATCAAGTCTCCCCTCAGTCTTCTTTTCTCAAGACTAAACATGTCCAGTTTCTTTGACCTTTCCTCACAGATCAGGTTTCCTAAACCTCTTATAATTTTTACTCCTCTTTTCTGGACTCTTCACATTTATCAATTTTTATTTATTTGTTAAAGAGTGACGCCTAGAACAGAACATAATACTCCAGCTGAGCCTCACCAGTGCCAACCAGAGTTGGACAATTACCTTCCATTTCTTACATACTACCACCCTATCAATCCACCCCAGAACATTTTATTTTTTTTTGCACCTGCATCATGTTGTTGATTCACATTACATTTGTGATGCACTATATCCCTAAATCCTCTTTGACAGTACTACTGCCTAGCCAGTTGTTCTCCAGTTTGGAGTTGTGCAATTGATTTTTCCTTCTCAAATCCTTTATACTTGTCTTTATGGAATTTCATCTTGTTTTCAGACCAATTCTCCAATTTGTCAAGGCCGTTGTGAATTCTCATTCTATCCTCCAAAGAACTAGAAACCCCACCCTGCTTAGTGTCATCCGCACATTTTATAAGCACAGTCTCCATTTCATTATCCAAGTCATTAATTAAGACATTGAATAGCACTGGACCCAGAACAAACTTGTGCTGGACCTCACTAGATACGTCTCTCCAGTTTGGACGGCAAACCACTGATAACTATTCTTTGAGTGCAGCCTTTCACTAGACCACATTTCCCTAGTTTGCTTAGGAGAATGTCACATGGGACTGTGCCACAAGACTTACTAAAGTCAAGATATAATCACATCTACCTATTCACTAGGCCAGGAACCCTGCCCAAGAAGGAAGTTAGGTTGGTTTGGCATGGCTTGATTTGTTCTCAACAAATTTGTATTGGCTATTACTTATAACCCTATTATCCTCTAGGGGCTTACAAATTGATTGTTCAATAATTTGTTCCAGTATCTTTCCAGATATTGAAGTTCAGTTGATAGGTCTATAGCTCCCCCAGTTGGTCTATAGTTATGCTCAAGGTTACAGGATTTGAGCACAATTTTGACTCTGTGTTTCAGTGTAGATTGGCCTCGTCTATACTGATAGCAATCCAGCTCAGAGAGTGTCACATTTAAACTATGTTTTCAAATGGTTATCAAACCCAGCTCTCCCCTGAGCATAGGCAGAGGCTTAGAATATGCCTCTTTTAGTACCTTAGGAAGAAATATGCCCATTATTTAAGGTTGTATAATTAATAAGGAGGTAGCATAATATAGGTATATGTCCCTGTACTAGAATCTGACATTGAACTCCACAAGAGAAAATGCTCCCAACCTATCTGATGCCTATGAAATCCTGACCTATTTGTGCTGAGGAGCCAGAAAGCAGTCTAACAGTGCATTCTATATGCTGTGCCCATTGCTGGAGAAAGGGTAACATACGAGTAAATGGATTGCTTACATTCACTCTGTTCTCTGTAACGAAGAAAAGTTCCGTAAGTGCACGATGAAGAGGAAGAAGAAGAACACCAGGCTTGGTCATGTCATAGCACAGGTTATTTTCCATGTGGGTTAAAAGCTGCCAGAGTGGCTTTAACAAGGTGAGGTCACAGTCCCTTAAAAAACAAACAAACAAACAAACCAACAACAGTCATTTAAGCAGAATGTGGGTAACTCATATTAATGACCCCATTTCTGACTAAAAGAACAATATTTTCAAGGGAGCAGAAACCTAATGATAATTGCCCGACAGCGCTATGAAGCATGTAACAAGAAGCTGATTACGAAGGTAGACTTGGGTTTCAAAGTACTTGGTTACAGAAATGTAGCAGCATAATTAAAACTCTATCCTAAAAGCTTGCAAGGCCCCTAACTTTTTTTGATCCAAGGTCAAAACATTTAAGCACATGCCTAATTTCTTTCCCCTATGCAGCAACGCACTTATGCCCCTGCATCACATTAGGCATTTTCATGGACTTAAGCAAGTCCAAAGCACTTGCTGAATAAGGCTGAATTGCCGAATTGAGGTCTTTGAAATAAATGAATGCAGCACTTCATTAAATGTCTTGATTCCACTGGTTAGAACTTTGCAAGTCTAAGCTATAAACAGAAAGGGTATCCTAATTTTTTTTACATAGGTATAGGTAATCAGTATCACTTTCCAAGTAACAGGGTTTCCAACCCTGCTTCTCTTCACATTCCCATTCAAACATTGCTGTATTGTATAGTCTCTTCTACACATACGTAAAGTAGGTATCATCAAAAGAGAACTCCACTTCAGAGGCCTTGATCAGAGTACTACAGAAGAAAATTTGAAGTATTATTAGGACATTATTTCCAAAATGAAGATTTTACCCTATGTTAAATTGTTGCCCACAGACAAAGGCACAAGTGTTTTTGAGCACAAAATGTAAGAAGAAATTAGATACACATTCAGTAATAAATAACTCTGAACAATGGCTACGTACCTTTTAGCAAAGTTGCAGCTGTTCAGACTTGAATGTGGGCTAAAGTATCAAAATTCACAATGGTTCATAAGAATTTTGTATGTCATTGTCTGAAATTGCTGCAAAAATATTTTTATATATACAGATCAATATAACGCTTCTGCATCCTTTGAGCTAGAAAAAGCAGGAGGTTGCTGACGCCGTGAGGATTTTACTGAACTGAACATTGTAACTGAAGTGAGGGTCCATATATTGACCAACTGTCTACTTCTGCCCAGCACAATCACCTCTGCCACCCAGAATCAAGCATTAACTCACCGTAAGCTATAGCTCCGTTTATAAAGCTTGCCCTGTCACAAGTCAAAGAAAGTTACCACCCTCATTGCAATATTGAATCCGGCAATGTTTTGTCTGCACTTTTTTCTTGAGCTCCTCATTTTAACTAAGAGGAGGAGACTCACCCTTGGATCCTTAAATTTATTTTAATAGAATCAACATGGAATCTGACTTATTCTGACTACAGGATTTGTTCCATAGAATCTTTTAAAAAAGCCATCTAGAAAAAGAAAAAAAATGATTTTCAGAACATCACTACTTCAACAGGTTTTGGCTAGCAAGCCACTGCGAATATCCATCAGCAAGCCACTATAGTGCCTGCTTTAAATTATGATTCTCTGCCTCTCCACAGAGGCAGGTGTAGTGGACAATGTGGAGCAATGGGCTTACCTGTGGCTGCTGCCCTGCACTATCTTCAGGAGTAGGTGGATGGCCTTTAAACGCTGATGCCCAATCTGGCAGCATGCGACTCCTACCTGCCATTCCCAGATTTTGGCTAGTGGGAGATGTGGAACCACCCTTTCCTTCGACAGCATTTGCTTCAGAATCTCAAACCCTGGAATTGAAGAGAATTGTTGTTATTTCTGGAGGTAGACATTCTACTCACCTGCAAAACTGTCTTCTCCCCATAGATTTAGAATTGTTACACAAACAAAGATAAAGATATAAAAACCAAAACTTGATCTGTAGAAAGAGAATAAGGGCCAACTCCTGTCATCCTTAGTCCTTTCTTGGGCAAAAATTAATGGGAGTTACGTGGCTAAATTCCTTACACCTATATTTGAAAATCCTAATCCTAATATTTGCAATGAGAGTTTTGGCCAGGGAAGGACAACAGAATTTGAGCCCTAGTTAATATCGGAGGGACAGTAGGCCTAAGATAACTGCAAAGCATTCACAATCCAGATGCATATTTCAAAAGACTATTAAAAATATCATTAATCTGTTAAATAAACCAGCAAAGCCTTTCACACTGCATCTGCAAATGAAAACCAGAAGCAGTCCATCATAACCGATATAATTATTCTTTAAACACAACTTAAATTACCTCCATTTACGTTTATCATTATTATGACAACTCTGAAGTGGCCTGTTAAACCCAGGGCATAAATTATGGCAAGTATCCTGGAGATTGTGTGTGTGACTGGTCTCTGTGTTTTCAAGCTTCAGCATTTAGATACTGCTGTCAGTGTTAAGCCAGTGTGACTAGACGTCACTCATCAAAACCCAAGTCACACAATGAATCAAGTCACAACGCTAGATCGTCTTTTAAGAACACTTGAGGGGAAAAAAAAGCCTACGCTAAGCAACCTAAAAAAGTATATGCCAAGGAATATTTATACAAAAAAAATTGTGAAAGCATGGATCAAAATAATTATAATAAGTCCCTTTGGTCACACTCTGAACGGAGCTTACCTGTCTGGAACCTTCCAAGGTGACCTGCTGTCACTGTAAACTTGTAACCCCATTCAGTATTACTCATGTCAGAGGTAAACCGATAATACAGTGTATCTCCTGTGCAGCAGGGAAGGAAAAAACCATCCACATTAGAAAAAACAATAACTCAATAAGGTACTATAACAAAGAATAGAATACAGCAGAAAAGATTATTAAAATAATTTGCTTCTAGATGAAATCATCTTTTATTCTTCTGGTAATTCCAAAGTGAACAGAACATAAGACAAATGGGAGACTGATCCACAATGCAAAACAGCTGCCACCAGTGTATAAAAATACACACACACAGAGATTAATGCTTTCTATATTTTTTGTCAGATAGTTGCTTCAGACAAGTGGGGAGATTATAAAGGAAACTGTAGTGCACATTAATAAACCTTTTTTTCTGACTGTACTGAGAACAATTAATGATTTAGGAGATATTTATGAGATAACCAAAACCCTTATATGTCCAGCAGAATTTCCAGTACATTAACAAGAAAACATAGTAAGTTACTAAAGCAGGGATCACTGCTTTTAATTACCAGATGGGAGTCCTTAAGCTTCTGAAACCTCTTTTCTGTACAAAGGATGTTTTTCAAGAGGCTCCTTTCCAGGAAGCTCTCTTTTTTCCTTCTCTTTTGTGTACTGCCTATGGAAGGCAGTACATAAAACAACATGTCTATGGCTGTTCATTTCAATGTCAGTAGCCCTTGTTTCCATGGCATGTCCATAAGCTGGCACGTGACACTTAGCTATTCACGTAACTTCTGGGATGATGCTCTGAAATGACTTGTCAGAAAAGCAGTGCAGAATTGCGGACTTCCACTACAGGAATTAAACTGTTGTATCTGGTCACTCAACATTGGTGACAAGTAAACCCTTCAATTCAAGAAGAGTTTTCAAAAAGTTTCATAAACAGTTTTATGATCAGGCTGTGGAGCAATCCAAGAAGTCCTTGCTGTTTTTATATTCAAGCTATGACTTTCTGAAAGGGCAAGGTAGCTATCAAACTATAATTCCAAAACACAAAATACCTCTATCCACTTGGTTACTCATAGCTGCCACCAGCGCTCCAAATCAGAAAGCCCTTGCAATGCTGCCTCAGAAGTCTATGCTAGGACATGCAATAAGTTAATAGTCAAGTTAGTGCATAACTTGCAAAATGAGTCCAATCACAGAATCATAGAAATGTAGGACTGGAACGGACCTCGAGAGAGGTCATTTAGTCCAGCCCTGTGTACTGAGGCGGGTCAAATATACCTAGACCATCCTTGACAGGTGTTGGTCTAACTTGTTCTTGGAAACCTCTAGTGATGGGAATTCCACAACCTCCCTTGGTAACCTGTTCTAGTGTTTAACTATACTTCTAGTTAGAAAGTTTTTCCTAATATCTAACCTAAATCTCTCTTGCTGCAGATTAAGTCAATTACTTCTTGTCCTACCTTCAGCAGACACAGAATAATTTATCACTGTCCTCTTTGTAACAGCTCTTAACATATCTGAAGACTATAATTAAGTCCCCTCTCAGTCTTCTTTTCTCAACACTAAACATGCCCTCCTCCCCCCTTTTTTTAAACCTTTCCACATAGATCAGTTTTTTAAAACCTTTTTTTAAATTTTTGTTGCTCTCCTCTGGACTCCAACCAATTTGTGGGAGCCCAGATTTGGACACAGTACTCCAGCTGAGATCTCACCAGTGCCAAGCAGAGTGGAACAATTACCTCCTGCATTTTACACAATGCTTCTGTTAATACACCCCAGAACGATATTAGTCTTTGGCACAACTGTATTACATTGTGGGCTTGTATTGAATTTGTGATTCATTGTAACCCCCAAATCTTTCTCAGCAGTACTATGCTTAGCTAGTTATTACACATTTTGTATTTGCATATTTTATTTTTCCTTCTTAAGTGTAGTACTTTGCACTTGTCTTTATTGAATTTCATCCCTGTTGCTTTCAGGCTAGTTCTACAAAGCAAATGGAGAACACAAAATGTATTTGAGCAAAGAGGAGATGGGGTAAGAGCAGAAGTTTTGCCACGAACATCAGGGGAATAACTGACACTAAGATCTCAGTCTCTCACATCACAGGCTATCAGTAGCTCTCTACACTTGTTTGTACTCACATTCATTGTAGATCTACACGGTCCACTTACCTGGAAGCTCAAAATCAGTCCACTTCTGCAGAGACCCACTGAAACTGTGCCGATCCTGTTGAAAATCACTGCTGCTGGACATGATTAATTCATCACAACCTTCTTCTGTATTACACTGAGAGTCAAATTTGATTGAGAGATAGATAGCACCAGGGATGTGAACTTTATCCTGAGGAAGGCAAACAGATAACACCCACACCATTGCACTGTATCTGTATACAAATACTCAAAAGGCAGATTTTAAATAAGGTATAACAAAGATTACGACATTTCTATTTAAGAGTCTTCATTAGTTTGATTGTGGGCTAGTTCAAAGAGTGCTGTCGACACTGCCAACTACACATAAAGGAGTCTGCAAAATCTAATTTCTAGAAGTGCTCATGTTTAAATGAGCACAGTAATACTGTATGCCTGTAAACTGATGCACTAATCCAGAAAGCTAGTTTCCAAGATACTGACCTCCAGGGCACATCTTAAACGATAGTATTGCGTATACTAAAAAACCCTCAACAGAATTCCTACTACATACAAAAGCTAAGAAAACTCCCAGGGTTGCCATGAGAATTTCTGGTTCCAGGGGACATTCCTCTTTATTCTATCCACATGCCCCCTTTCTTTGCTTCATCTCTTTGCCCAATATGGGACACTGGGGAGATGTCACTCATGGTGCTGTTGAGTGCTCTCCTAGAACAGATGACTGCCTTTTACTCTCTAAACTAGTACGGTGCTGCCAACTAATATCAGGAAAAGAGAATCATTAAGACTGTGTGTAGAGGAAAGGTAGCCCAAAACTAAAAACACAGGAAGAAGTTTCATACTTAATTTTCCACTGATGTCTCAAGAATTTGAGATGCTTGTTGAAACAGGCCCTTGGATGAAAGTACAATTTGTTGCCTATTAAACCCATAAAATTCAGCCAGGTACTTCAGCATAGGTTTAGTTTTAAACACATGAGTAGTCCCAATGAAGTTAATGGGACTACTCGCATGCTTAAATGAGGCGCACACTTAAGTACCTCATTGAGTGGGACCCTTACTTATATATTCTTGTACAAGGTGAAACTTCAATTATCGGGAACGTCCTGCTAACTGAAAGGTCATGAGTGAGATTTTTCCAGGGAGTGCCTCAACAGGTTAGGAACACAAGTACCATCGTCTGAACCATTGGAAGGCAACAGGACTTGGGCTCCATAAGCCACCAAGGTGCTTTTGAGAATCCCACCCAATCTATTCAATTCATGCACAACCCATGCATACTCACTGCACTGTAACATATGTAAATTACCTCAAAGTTAGTATTGTTGTTATAAGGATGTTTGGATTCCCGCACTTGGATTGCCATTCCAGGTTCCTCCATAAACTGACAGGCAGTCAGTGCCATTGTTCCCAACATGCTCTCACTGCAACCATGCAGCACTTTCTGCAAGATCTGAGGAAATACAACACATCATGCAAGGTCAATTTGCTATCAAATCAGCATTTGTAGTCGGATTTGACAAGGATTGACAAAAAAGTTGTTTTAGCAACACGGCCCTCAGAAGAGGGAAAACAAGCCACTGATAGGAAGTAAAAGAGAAACTCATAAATGAAATTGCCAACTGGCCTTACTAGGTGTGTGTATTGTCTCCTGTAAATGTGGAAGGTTTAATTTAGTCCTTGGACTGCGTTTCAAATCCTGCGTGTTACTTTAAAGAGGTTCTTGTGTATTGAGACAACTTTGGAAGGCCAGAAATTGTCTAACCTCACTGCACAGATGTTGGCATAAAATCCCATAAATCCCATAATCCCCAAAATCCCATAAAATGTTGGCTAATCCCACAATACCACAATAGATTGAGATAGGTAAATAAAGCCTAAGACAAATAAGGCAGGTAATTTTGATCCAGAGTATTTTGTTAACATACCAGATAGACCCTTTACCTTCCATATCTGCAAGGAGTTTCAGTTTTAAGAAACAATGTCAAATACTTCAGGTTTCATATTGCACAATCCTACCTACAAAAATGAGTCTTATCAAATATCCCCCTACCACGGTTATAAAAGTACTAGTGTTTTATTTTTAAATTAGTCTTCTGCTGTAATGAATGTCACAATTAATATAGGTCCTATCCATAAACAAAGTGGTGATAGTGGAAGCAGAGTCTGAAATGCAGACTCTAGACTAAATGGTATTTGTTTGGATTTTTAAGACTAGGATACTCAAAGTTGATATTTAAAACCATATTGATATAACCAGGATGTTTACTAGCAAACAACCTTTGGTTTTAGAAAAATATATGGAGAATTCCTTCAGCAATGTTCTTATATATGTTTACTTTAAAAAAAATAAAGACAGTTTAAAACGCTACTTCTTTCTTCCAGTATCTGGGAAGTCTGAACATATCTATGGCAATGGATGATTCTGACTTAACTCAGGAAGCCAAAAATTAAGAATACGTGAAGACAAAATGGACTCAAATTCCTGTACGTAAATTAATGAGGAAGTCCGGATATTTCAATTTTCTTTTTGATTAACAACCAGTTCTTAACCTAAGCTCTAAGCATGTGTGCAACAGAGGCCAGGGCTGAGATGAGGCATGGTGAAACAGCCAGCTGAATAATGCAAGAAAAGATATTGGAGGAGTATTTGTTTCCTGGATATGCACACACACTTTATTAGTTATATTCCAGTAGTGTCCAAAAGCCCTAATCTGGAGACACAACTATGTTAGGTGCTGTATGGATAGCTAGGTAGTTATTACTTGTCTTCAGCTACAATTCTGAGACCTTGTTTGCTGGTAACAAACTTTTATTTTTTAATACACAGAAGATTTTTAAAATACATACTGAAACCAAGCTAAAAACAGCACTCAAATTTGGCTCCTTATCCCATTGACTTCTATGCAGAACAGAATTTTCCCCATCCTAATTGCTCATTTATTTGAAATGCTGCATCCAAAAGAAGTATGTTTTTCAGTTTTCTGTTGGTCACAAAGTCCTTTTGTAAAAATATTGTCAAACCCCATTGTTTCTGGCTGAGAACGGAGTTTTTATTATAGAAGAAATATATGATTTGAAGCTTAAAGTCTTTGAAGGTTTTGTATTTATTTTTTTTAAAAAGAATCACAAGTATCTCTGGGAGTTTGCTAATCAGCTGGAAGTTTATGTACATATCGGATTGACTCAGACATACAAATGCAGCCCAATTACCTTCTCCCATCGCTGCTTCTCCTCTAGCTGCATAAGCATGTCCAAAATGTAAGTCATGTGCGCTGGACCACTGAGCTCCAGGATTTCTTCATTTACTGCCATGTCATCAGGCCATTCAGCCAACAACGAGGCAAGTACATGCCTGGCATAAAGAACAGCAGTAGCCTCGTTCACCCGATACAGGTAATCCCGCACAGCTTTTTTGCTCCTGGAATCCAGCTCTTTCTGTAAGAGTATGGAACTCTTGGTGCGACGCTGTTTGGCATAGCTAAGCTGGAGATCACTCTCCGTGTTGGTTATCAGTTTCTGGGTAATGGGATTGGATTCCTCAGTGGCTTTATCACAGAGTACAGGTTTTGACTGTAAAAGACAAGCACAAGCCTGAAAACAGATTCAGAGCAATTTACTTCTTCATGGCTACAAATCTATGACCGAAAGTTTAATTAGCTGTTTACAGGTTGATCGACTCATCAAAAATTACAAGCTCCAATCTTTCATAGAGAACACAACTAAGTCTGCCTGTGGACAATTTACCTTAAGTTTGCCCCTGGTATTAATGTACATCATTACAAATTATATACCACTGATATTAAATGCAGGCAAGAACCAACTGATTCTGAACACTGAGAGCTTAAACTTAAGCTGAATTGTACAGGTGAAGCACTAGTGATAATGCTCCACACCTTTTTTGTGGTTCTCCTGTTAGATGTATTGTAACTACTGATTATCCCAGTAATCACAGCCACTGAAGAGGGACTAAGAAATTAGCAGCTTTATTTCCTTCCTGACCCTTTGGTGAAGATCTAGCTGGCATTTCTGTCAAATACCACGGTGTTCCACAAGCCATGCTAGTCTACTAAGGAACTCAAATGCCCAGTACCAAACACGGATCTATCTTCATTCTTGTTTAGTGGAAAATGGGCCCATTTTTCAATGTCATTTTAGATAAGCCATAAATGTACTAAGGTATCAAATATGCAAAGAATACAAAGATGTAATTTCTTTTTTTTTTTTTTTTAAACTGAAGGTAAGTTTAGTACTGGAACAGATTACCAATATATGTGGTTAATTCTCCATCCCTTGGAGTCTTTAAAATCAAGACTGGATGTTTTTCTAAAAGATACGTGCACTTCAAGCACAAATCAGTGGGTTAGATACTGGAATGACTGGATGAAATTCTATGACCCATACAATGCGAATGGTCATACTAGATTATGATATGTCCTCAGGCCTTAAAATACTATGAATCCATGCTTAATCTTTTTGTGGATGGTCATTAAATGAGAACATCCATAAATTACCACGACACTATATTGTAGATCTTCGCAATATCAAATACAGATTTATCATAGAATCATAGAATATCAGAGTTGGAAGGGACCTCTGGAGGTAATCTAGTCCAACCCCCTGCCCAGAGCAGGACCAATCCCAACTAAATCATCCCAGCTAGGGCTTTGTCAAGCCTGACCTTAAAAACTTCTAAGGAAGGGGATTCCACCACTTCCCTAGGTAACGCATTCCAGTGTTTCACCACCCTCCTAGGGAAAAAGTTTTTCCTAATATCCAACCTAAATCTCCTCCACTGCAACTTGAGACCATTACTCCTTGTTCTGTCATCTGCTATCACTGAGAATAGTCTAGATCCATCCTCTTTGGTTCCACCTTTCAGGTAGTTAAAAGCAGCTATCAAATCCCCCCTCATTCTTCTCTTCCGTAGACTAAACAATCCCAGTTCCCTCAGCCTCTCCTCATAAGTCATGTGTTCCAAACCCCTAATCATTTTTGTTGCCCTTCGCTGGACTCTCTCCAATTTCTCCACATCCTTCTTGTAGCCTTCTTCTCCACATCCTTTTGGAGCCCAAAACTGGACGCAGTACTCCAGATGAGGCCTCACCAATGTCGAATAGAGGGCAACGATCACGTCCCTCGATCTGCTGGCAATGCCCCTACTTATATACTCCAAAATGCCATTGGCCTTTTTGGCAACAAGGGCACACTGTTGACTCATATCCAGCTTCTCGTCCACTGTCACCCGTAAGTCCTTCTCTGCAGAACTGCTGCCTAGCCATTCGGTCCCTAATCTGTAGCGGTGCATGGGATTCTTCTGTCCTAAGTGCAGGAATCTGCACTTGTCCTTGTTGAACCTCATCAGATTTCTTTTGGCCCAATCCTCCAATTTGTCTAGGTCCCTCTGTATCCTATCCCTACCCTCCAGCGTATCTACCACTCCTCCCAGTTTAGTGTCATCCGCAAACTTGCTGAGGGTGCAATCCACACCATCCTCCAGATCATTATCCATTTGTAGAAGCCAGTAAGTATTAAATAAGCTGTTTTTTAAAAGAAATTAATGTTTTAAATATATGTTTCCTGTAAGTGAAGATTAGTGATGCCCATAAATACCTGAGCTTCTCCATGGATCCATGTTGGGCCTGCATTTTAGATTCAAGATTTCCTGCATTTTAGTTGCATCCCAATATACGGTTAATTGACACTTGCTACCTAGTTATATATTCACTTAACTTCTCTTTTGCTACTAGAGTCATGCTGTCCATTTTGGCAAAACAGATTCACCATTCTTTGGTATTACTGAAGCATGGTTACATTGCAGTGAGGTGGTCAGTGTACATGTTTATGGTTGTATATTAGGTCAAATCTCTCTTGTATGAGATAAGGAATTCATAGCATTCCAATAAAGCCATAATTTGTTCTCCTGATCGAAAATCTAGTTCTTCTAAATCTTCAAGAGAGAAGCTGCAGAGAAGAAAGCTAAGTTCTTGCTGATATCTTGCCTATTCTTTTTAGCACAATAAAACAGATTAATCTCAGGAGCTTTAACAACAATCTTAAATTCGGACCTTCTAAATTATTTGAATCACTAAGTCTTGTTTCAGAGTAGCAGCCATGTTAGTCTGTATTCGCAAAAAGAAAAGGAGTACTTGTGGCACCTTAGAGACTAACCAATTTATTTGAGCATAAGCTTTCGTGAGCTGTAGCTCACATGCATCCGATGAAGTGAGCTGTAGCTCATGAAAGCTTATGCCCAAATAAACTGGTTAGTCTCTAAGGTGCCACAAGTACTGCTTTTCTTTTTACCAAGTCTTGTGATATCAAATTTTCTTTTCTTCCCCTCCCCCTTTTTCTTTCTTTTTTTTTTTTTTTAAAAAGAGAGCACACACCAAACATGGCAAGATGATCATGTCTGTATCCACTGCTTTCGAACTCTGCTCTTCCAATCTCAAACGCTTGCTGGGTTGCCATTTCTGGGCCAGTGTTCGGATCCTTTCATCTGTTGTAATTACATCTCCATCAAACCTTAAAAGTGACAAATTTTGCAGTCAATAAACTTTAAAAAAAAAAAAAGATATATTTGCATGTAAAGCTTCCCTGACTTGCATTTAGAAAGCTCTTATCCAAGTACTGCCTTACTCTTTTGTGAAGTCAGATCAAATAACATTCTCGTTTGATCTTATTAACTGAAAAATACGTTCATGTCTTCCAACTTGATTTGGTAAGAAGCAGATGGTACCAGAAGCTGCTCTGAGTGCCAGTAAGTCTATGCACATCACTCTTCCTCAGTGAGGAGGACACTTGAGAAATACTGGTATCTTGCTGACTTTCCATCCATAAAAGCAGTTTCTTCTACAGAGATATACTGTGCATGTGAGTAAAGTTATCCAAAGGAACATACAACATACTTCAAAAATGTTAGCTTCTGTCCTCACATCTACAGTTCCAAATGTAACAGGAGTCAATTTTCCAATTACATTTTAGGAAACACTACAAAGCAGTTCCATATCCTTTTCTTTACAGCAGTTTCTGCTTAGCTTCCCTGTTAACTGAGTAAAAGTTACCTTTCACATTCAATGACTTTTTCTGCTGGATTCAATAGTTCACTTACCTCTTTTGAACTTCCAGGAAGAAAGAATCTGTTCTTTTCATCTGCAGCTCATACATGGCACGAAGAATATGCAATGGTGCATTGAGTGCGTCATGCGTCATCTGAAATAAAACTGAGGTAAGGTTAGGCGAGGAAAGATGAATTTCAATTGGGGTTATCTACACACACATTTTTCCTGTTCAGCACATGAATAAAGGACTTATGAATTTCATAATCTCTACAGCAATAATTTACTAAAAACATTAGAAATATTTATTATTGCAGTCCAAGCATAAAATTATACTTAATCTAAGCAATAATACCAGAATCAGTTTATGAATAACTAAAAATTAAAAGTAAAATCTGTATTAAAGACCAACATATGGAAACAATTTTGTGTAATCCAAATGAGGCACAATATCTTCAGAAATGGGAAAAACAGTTAGTCTAATAAGTACCAAGAAACATATTTTGGTTGCTTCATCCAAGCCCTCTAGAGGATCAAGTTTGCTCTGATCCAGATCAATGGGACTGATGGATGGGTCCACGTTCTGATCTCGGTCCCTTTCCTCTAGTTCTGTATCCTCACGTTCAGCCAGGGAGCTGATCTCCTTCTTTGAGGAGTACAGCATTATTGACAAAACCTGCATGGAGAAAGGCAACATATGGTGTAACACCTGTAGGTAGTATTAGTGTAGCTGCAACTGGCACTTGTAAGAACATTATAAACACCGGGACTACGTTTATTAACGCATGCTTTTCTAAAGAGGAACAGCACTTAAACAGCATTTCCCATTCCATAAGTGCTTTATATTTTACAGGCTTCTATGAAGACGTCTCAAATAATTAACCATACATTTAAAAAAAACAGAGAAAAAACATTAATTCTTAAACAAGTTTGAGTATATTAATATTCAAGCACTCCAAGATGGGAACATAATAGAGTTAGCTGTAATCATCATCTACAGGCAAAATGGTGTTTTTTAGCCACCAGTTCCTTTCCTGAAAAATAAATAAGTTAGATATTTGGCTCCAGTATGCCCAGTAACATTAACTACTCATTATTAGGAAGAGCAGCAGGGTAACACATCACCTTGGTCTTGCCAATTTAGATCAACTGTAAGCATCAAGGCCAGTACAGACACCATGAGAAAAACCTCATAGAGCTTTGTCTGTTGCCATAACATAGAAAAGCACACTGCCAATTCTCCCTGCAATAACAGATGTTCAAAAGAACGAAGTGTCCAAGTGTATGTTGGATCTCCCACCAGTTACACTATTGTAATGATTCATGTGTATCTGCTTAAGTACTGTGTACAGCATCAGTATCGAATAGGTCTCTTGGAGATCTACGGATACGATTTTTGAAGTTAAAAGCTGGGATTTTCAAAAGGGCTAAAAGGAATTGGAAAAAAAAATTGCAGGGAGACTTTGGCTCCGACCCCCAATAAGCCCCTTCAAAAATCTCAGATTATATCAGTTCAACACTAGCAGTACTCAAAAGGCATTCTCCATCATGTTCTGGGAACAAAATGGTAAATATATTTAATACGTAAACAATAATGCTTCAAAAGTTTAACGTGCGGTGAAAATGTGATGCCTTGAGCTTTTATGCCAATGGCTACACTGACTGTCACAAAATGTTATTATTCTCTTACTTCCAAGTCTCTGAGAAGCCATGTCTTACTGAAACCAGTTCCTTTGCTGCACTTCTTCACCAGCAGCTTAAGTAAGCCCGACTGAAGAAAGGCTGCTTGGATTTCCTCAAAACGATAAGTCTGTCAAAGAGAGAGAAAAGTTACTGTGAGAGCTGCCTGACAATACACAATTCTAACTGAGCAGGACCTTCTTTATGAGAAAAATAATTCTCCTTTATTTTTTTTAAATTCCAGCAAAACTATAGAGTTTCTCACTACTCAAGTCTTTAACAGTACTCGCAATGAGATGTGTAATACCACTACTACCTCGTTGTTGTTAGAGTAAAACTAATTGTACTCCACACAACAAAAAAGGCCAAATGAACTCAAATGCATAATTTTTTCCTCAGAGTTTTGAGAATTCCCCCACCCATATTTCCTCCACTCTGACCAAAATCTACCATTATGGTCCAGCATCTTCACAGTCAGCCTTATCACAGAGGAAAATTGATCAAACACATGTCAACAATATTCCTTAATCTACTCTTTTGAGCTACGCTCTCAGACTCTTTATGCAGAGGATGCAAGGGGCCAGGTCTGACAAATGACGTTGGCTATTACAAGAACCCCTCAAGGATCAGGTCCCCATGACGTGAGGTGCTGCATACATAGGATGGCCCCTGACCCAGACAGCTCACAGTCTTCACTCCAAACTTTTATGTAGCTAGTAAGACATTTAAAAAAAAAAAATCACCTTAAGTGTTCTGTACAATCCTTTCAGAGCAAGAGACAAGACCCAGGTGGCTTCCACTGCCTCTGCATAGCTACTGTCCATGCTGGTCTGCAAAAGGTGGCTGGTTATAAAAGCAAAATGCTGGAGATACTGTCTCAGCTGGGTTTGGGATTCAGTGCTCTCTTGTTCACATTTCTGAGCCAACTGGTAGTCTTTTACTAGAAGAAAAAAACCTGTCATGTTGGAATTTTCCTCTAGGCTCAGTTTATTATACTTATCATTTGTATTAATGTAGCGTCTGGGAGACCCAGTCATGGACCAGGGTCCAATTGTGCCAGGCTGCACAAACACAGAACCTGCCCCCAAAGAATTTATAATCTAAAATATAAAACAAAAGGCAACATGTGGCCAGACACACAGACCAGCAAGAGAGTACAAGGGAGACAATACAGATCAGTAGGATACGCCGCGGTCTAAGCACACTAGCAGCCTAACTGTTAAGTTTTTTATAGGAATCACAGCAAAAGAGATGCTGGCAAGTCCTCTCCTAACACTAAGCATTAAGTTAAAACTAGACAAGTATATTCAAGTCAATAATTAATGTGGGAATTAAATTCCAATAAAGCAGAATCACATTTAAAACTGGTGACATGAATTCCTTCATGAGGGCATACAGTTTTGCTACAGCTACACATTTTCCTCATTTTTGTTGGAGCGTATTGATAAAAATGTTCTCTTCCCTTTTAGTACAGAATAAAAATGCTTGGATAGTGAGCTGTCTTCTTACCACTTCCTTTGTACTGAAAATAATCGCAAGTATAGTTAAAAATAGCACATACTTCTGTTTAGCACTAGACAGAGTCAGTGGGCACAGAAGTACAAGTGTTATCTCACGGAACAGACAAAATGAGGGAAAACTAATGACCCAAAACTGATCTGGTGAATTAAATTATTATGTCCTCCTTTCACTATTCCTGCTAATGCCTGATCCATTTTTGACTCAACCAATGAGAAAACAAGAGAGTCCACACCTATATGTCTGAACCTTCCTGATTATCAAAGTGAAGCTTCTTAACTAGATAATCCTTTGCTTTCCACCTACTTTTAAGTACTACAATAATTTCAATGTTGCTGGCATGCATAATAGTATTTGTTTTATTAGTTTCAAAATCTTAGTGCACTGGTAGAGTTATGTGTTGCCACTAAACACTATATGCTAAGACTGAAAAGATCAACTTTCATAATTTGTTTTGTTTACTATGCAATTTCTATTTGGGCTTTACCTTGTGATTTTTCTGAACAAGGTAAAATTAAATTTTAAAAAGTCTTTATTTTGGATTTTGCTTGCAATACAACTACAGTATGCAGAGCGTCCAGTACAAACAAAAGACACCCTTTAAATCAAATTTAAAGGTTACACTAGCAAGCCCATTCTCCTGCCATGCCCCAGAATGCATCATTCTAAGATGTCAGAGATAACACATCCTCCCTAGACTACAGATCAGCACCTCTGGTACAGGACAATCATTTTTGCATTGAATGTAGCATGACTGTCAAAGTTTCTTGTTCAGTCTTATTTCATAACTTCCAGGGGAGATTTCACAGACTTGAAATTGTGTAGTATTAAAAAAGTAGGGTTTATCTGACTACATAGCCTCATTCTTTGCAATGGGACAGGAAAAACCTGGTTGGGTCACAGCTAACACTGGTCGCTTTATTGACAATTAGCATATTTCATAGGGCCTTTCTCCCCCGCCCCCCCAGACTCCATCTGCTAGTAGGTGCTCATGTCATATTTACTGTCAGAATGGCCATTAAGATATTTGAAGATTCATTTCTGGGCAGCAGAGTGAACTGACCGGCATATATTTATGCTGTGCATGCTCCTTTGGGTGGCGGGGTTAAGTATATGCCGGAGGAGTAAGTATTTTTAAATTTGCAATTAATTAAAACCTTTTAAACGCTCACAAAAAAAGGACAAGACAGCAGCAATGACCAAATAAACAACTGTCATGTTAACTTCAGATACAAGGACTGTTTTGTGAAGTCTCTGCAACAACAATAGGAAGTGTCATATTCTGAGTACATTTATAAAAGCAAAAATTCTTGTACCAAGTGATGTTATATTAGTTTAGCAGAAACCTAAAAAATTTGTTCTGCTTTATGGGTGGAAATCAGATATATTTTCTATAAGGAATCCAGCTCATAAAGCTCTGTATAAAATCATTTACTAAAACTTCAGGTTTTGGGTACTCATAAGAGATACTGAAAGGAAATATCACATGATTCTTAGATATAAGAATGTCAAGGAACCTGTTTTCCTTTTCCGGGTTTTGATGTCTACAACAACCGCCCTGTTTTTCTCAGTAAAGTGCTTTAGGATGATAACATTATGAGGCTCATTGGCATTATCCATGTACACGGAGCGAGTTCCCATACACAGCACCTGCATTAGCAAAACAAAGGGAGACAAAGGACTTCAGTTACCAGTCTAACTTCGTATACTTATAACTTTTATTTTTTACATTATCTTATATATGTGGCTGCATTTTGGTTACAGTTAATACCATACTTGATATTTAAACAATTGTCCATTGCCAAATATGTGCTGGTATTTAGACATATGAAGTAGATTTTTGTAACAAAATACCTCAGGTGCATATTAACAACTTAATGGTACTCTGGTGATATATCAGAGATACCAATATTAAGAATAATGGCTTGTTTTATACTGGTATAAAGCCCTTTTTTGATGTTCAATGTTATGCTATTCTGGATTTCAAGTTGCTGGTTACAAGTTGCCCACAATGAAATGTATCCAAGCAAAACCAGAGCTATGTAATTATATTGTTTTCCATTAGACAAAGACTACAACCAACTGTGCAAGAGACGAAGGATGAAGTCTCAGACATATCTCTGAGTTTTGTGGCTTTTGTCAATTTATGGCATGAAAGTGTAGTTTTTAGTGTTTAAAAGTAGAATTTGTAATTATCATAGCTCAAATCATTATGTATTGATCAGTATTCCAATTACCTCTGGAAATCCAACAAGTACCAATAAGGTGAAGATATTGGTGTGTTTTAACTGGAAGGGCAGCTGCTTAATACAATGGTCTGTGAAAGCTGCAATCACACTATGCCACTGTGCAGAGGAGTTCAAAGCTCGAAGAATATCCGCCATGGAGCATGCCCAGTCCAGACCTATGCGGCTGGAAAACAAGGTTCGACTGTATTAGGTGGTTTGACTACACACTGTTACACAACTATTTTCCCTCAAAACACAAAATCATTATTACATTATTTCCAAATGTCAGAAGATCTTACTTTTTCATAGCATCGCTTGAGGATTTGAATTCAGATATATGAATGCTATTAATTCCACTCATCATTAAATCATTAAAAAAAAAAATCACATTGGCCTGCCATCTTAAATAGGATTGAAGGCCACAATGAATAAAAAAAGTTGATAGAAATTCAAGGCAACACATGGTCTCGCTAACTTTAGTTTAGGACTGGAAATTTTCTTTCCTTCCTTTGCTTCTCCTTGCAGATGAGTAAGACAGGCTTGGGAAATCTGTTTTAGAGATTTAATTTGCTGACTTAATATTTTGATATAATTGGATGCCAAAATAGCTTCACATAATACAAAGGATTGTGTATTTCCTTGATTCATGAATCTCTTTATAAGACCGGTAGATTCTCTGTGTATTCTATCTTTATATCTGCATGCTTTTCTAATTGGTTTATTAACCTGTCCAATCCCTCTTCCCAAATAAAAAAAACCTAGAGTGAAGAATAATACTTAACACAGTATTTAACAAAGCATGCTATTAACCTTCACTCTTCAAGAGAGTGTTCTACTTCCACTTAAGGTACTGAAGACTGTACCTTCAAAGCAACTTTATTATCTCTCCCTGAAAGCAAGACTTCTTTCTACCTTTCTAGACTCCTCTACAAAGACAGCTCCCTCTATCCTTCACTATAGGCCTTGCCTCCCCATGTTGGTTCTTTCCAGCTTGACCTTTTGATATGACCTACCTTCTCCTGGACTGAGGTACATGTTGGAATAAGGAGGATAGGGAAACAGGTCACATCAAACGTTTAGGTAGTAGGACTGGCCCTTGCTCTTCTCTAAACCCCAAAATCCTACCTCTTCCACAACAGTGTCCTATATTAGCCTCTGAAAATTACCCATCTCCCAGTTGATAGCATCACGTGGCATGACCCTAAGAGATGTTGACTTCAATGGGAGCTATGGCTAATATGCACTTCATAGGACTGGGCTCAAGAATTAACCCAAATCAGGTTACACTCCTCCCCTCCTCCTGTTGAGCATATAAAATCAAGAATTCTCTTAAAGATTAACATTAAAAAAAGCACCTGTCTAAGCATACAGCTCCCAGACTGAACAAAAGATGAGTAGTCTTCCAGCCTTCTGGCACTGTAGACCCATCTCCTGCTGCAAACAGGCTGTGTTTGGCTGAAAGGACCTTTGTCACTGCAGCATCGACTTCTGCAGGCATAAGTCTCAGAATTAACTGGCCCAGAAGACCCAGGGTTAAATGATAGGTTTCATTTAAGTGGCCAGCATTGGAGATTACAACCTGAAACATCAGTGGGAGGATCTGTTCCACGTTAATCAAAGACATTGTGCATCCCTATAAATAACAAAGAAAAATCTCATTAGAACAGAAAATATAGCAAAGCCTTTAGTCATAGTTGTACAGTATAATGAGGGTTCGAGTAACTTATTAGTTACTCAATGCTCAGAAACCTTCACCTCTTTGGCTGAACTTTTCCAGCCTTGTATCTACATAAAGGGGGAAAATGTGAGGGAAAATTATTCAACCACTTCTCAGCATGAGGGAGTAAACAAAAACACAATTTTTAAAAAAGTTTAACAACTTCTGGCATGTAGAAAGTGAAGTCTGGCATGGAAATAGCTCTGGCTGAGAAGATACTTCCATTGCTAAAGAAAAAATTGCTTTTGATTTGAGAGATAAGCGCCCGTAAAAGTCATACTGGATACAGTGAATTTTTTCTAGCTAAGCTTACCAAGTGTGCACCCAGAAAAGAACTGAGACACAAATTAACTGCATAGTGATAAGCCTACTCATTGGTGCAAATCAATAGGGACAACCAGAACTGAGGGAAAACAACTCCTGTGGCCCTTGCAAGGTGTTTAGGGGATGGGGGAAGAGGGCCTGTGGCCTTTTCAAGCTGCTTTCAGTTATGTTTCTTTTATATTGGAAATACTTTTCCCATAAAATAGGATGGGGGGGGACAAGGAGAGGAATTTACTCTGTGGTAAAACCTGGTGCATAAGCCCAGAGCAAAAATGTTAGTATCACATTTAGTTGGGCTGATTTAAAGTTAGACAACAAACAAATGTGAACTTTACCTGATGGTTGGTGGTTAATTAATAATGTAACTACATAATGTAATAAAACACTTCAACATTAGCATTTTGACATAAGCTAGCAAAAAGGAAGAACAAGAGTAGCTCTTCCCTGCCCGCACCTTCCCAGCCTCTCCTTCTCCCATTACATCATTTGTTTCAGCTTGAATTTTCCCCATTTTTCTCATCAGTGTGTGTCACAAATCAACTAGTTTCCTGAGGGGTAGGGTAGAAGGGGTTGTACTTCATTCTTACAGATCTGAAAGGTGGTAACATAGCTGCCAGCAAGCCAAGAATCCTCTTCTGAGAGCATTCAGCAAAGACTTGCTCCTGGCTAGGCATTAGAGCCTTCTCTGCCTGCTTTTGGGATGAATCTTCTGAATTTTCAACATCTGTGTTTTAAATAAATATAATTTAAAAACAGTAAAACTGTAGAACATAAGTGAAAATTTGACATTTAAAGTCTGAAATAGTAAGTATAAATAGACAAATATAAAGATGATGGGCTTGTCTACACAGTGCGTTAGTGCACACCAGCAGGCTGTCAATTCTAGACCACACTAGCATGAGGTGCACCCTCTGTGGACCCTGCTGGCTTGCCCTACAAGTTCCTTAGTGTGCGTTAACATATAGTCTCATTTCAAACAATACTACATTAATGCATCTTTATAACAAACCCTACACCTAGTAAGCTGGCTCACATCATTTAAAGTCACATCATTCTGATTACCATCTTGTGTCTCCTCTTCCAACTTTATCAAACCTTATTTCAGAAGCTTGTGTGTCTCGGACTACTAGAATTAGAACCACTGCTGCATATACAATATGAATGGGTGGAATCCCAGCTTTTAAATACTGCAAAAAACATTTAACTTCCCACTTCATGGGTTCTCAGAAATACTGACTGCTAAACCTATACCTGATTTGAAATGAGTGGGTGAGTATAGCTAGAAAAGACAGACTAAATCAAAAAGCTTTGCTTTTAAGGCATGGGTTGTGATGAAGCAGGATTTTTTTGGAAGTATTTTTATGTATCCTCTGTGTGCTTCAGTTTCCCCCTATGCTGTGCACTGCTACCCAGTGTAGGAAATATGATTAAGACTGCTTTCAGGGCAGACCGAGAGACACAGGAGAGAGACAGATGTGTGTCTAACTATCTGAGTGGACGGAATGGGTCACTAAAAGGATTTACCAAGGCCAGCCCATATAAACGGAAAACCCTAGAAGACAATGGAAAGCCCCAATCACCAGAACATTTGACACCTAGCAACCAATAACCCAGAGGAAGGAGCTTTTCTCTGCCTTTCAGCAGGGTCTGTGAACTCCTTATGGCCCTGCCCAAAGAACAAAGCACAGAAATGACCTCCAGGAGACAAAGAGTTGGTTTCTGGAGGTGGCTGGCTGCTCTCCCCTGGAACTGACTCAGGAGGTCTGAGAGAGACAGAGCCTGACATGGAGTTCACTACAGCATGGCTAGTGAACTGCTTAGTATTGACCAGAATGCACTACGTTTCATCCTTTATTTCTCTAGGCTAACCCAAGGACTTCCAATACTGTGTTCCAGTTGACTAATAAATCCTACTCTGTTTTAAAAATGTAGCTTGGGTGCCACTGCAAATACTTGCCGAGGTGCATTCTTGAAGTGTACACAAATCTCTACAGGAGTCTACCTCAATGGGACTTGCTGGGCAGAGCTCACAGTATTGAAGCAGGAGTACCGGAGCTCAGAGACTTGAGTCGGGGAGGCAAGGAGACTGGGAGCCTACCCTGAAGGAAGAAGTGGGACTCTCTGGGGATCTGCCACACTGAAGAGGTTCCTCCAAGAGACACTGTTTAAAAGCTGGGGTGTAGCACTAAGCCTGTTAATCCATGATATGGTGGTCTCCCAACTTGTCATCTATGGGCAGACTTGATTCCACAATTGTCCCCATTTCCTTCTCACTGATGCAAAGATGTCAACAGCAATCCAAAAGGAGTGAGAAATGGGTTTGCAGAGATAAATGAAGTTACAGTACTGTTAAGTCATCTTTCTTTCTCTTTTGAGAATTGCCTCTACATATTTTCACCCTAGGAAACCCTTCATTTCTGGCTTAGGGAGGAAAAACTGACATTATGAGAACATTGGCTTGTAATTAGATTCTCCAGTCCCTTGTGAATACAGCCACACATGGATAATACTGTGCATGGGATCTTAAATCTTGTTTAAATATCATTAAAATTATGTATAACAAATAACTTGTATTATGCAAGGGTACTATTAAACCATTATGTCATTTTACTAACCACTATTTAGTTTTTTAAAAATGTAAGCAGTACTTTCTATTATATACCTTAATCAATAAAGGCATCTCTATAAAACCTCCAATTTTATACGAAAAATTTAAAAAAAGACAAGATCATAGGCACAGCACAACTTTTGACATACACTTTGAAGAGAACACAAAGGGAAGGAATGGACTTTAAAATAGTAGAAGAATGAAAACGAAGAACACAGAGAGGGGAAGGAAGAGAAAAAGATTTAAATCATCTCTGCAACTTAATACACGGCAAGCAGACAATGATTATATTGACTATATTCACTTGAGTAATGTAGAGAAATGGGTTTGAAATGCCAGGGAGAAATTTACTAAGCAAGAAAGCATGCTTAATCTTTGTACTGTATTAGATCCAATAGCACTATAATTGGTAATATACTTTACCGAAATCACATAACGTATGCAATTCAGGTTGATCTTTCAACCTACTGCTAGCTGTGTGGCAATCTGTACAAACTGAAATCCAGGTAAAATGCTCTACGTATGGGTATTCCAAAGCAATAAGATGATCAGGTCTTGATGTAGTAGACTGTTTACTGAAACGGAATCTATTTACACATGTACAAGATAAGGATGGACACAAAAATACAGCTGTGTATATGTTTGGAGTATGTGTATGTTGGATGAAATGGGAAATCTCTTACCTGGAAGATGTGAAGATATGCTATCATCTACAGAATTAAGAGTCAGTGTCTCTGAATCCTGGCTCAAAACATCTTTCTTTGATAAAGGAGCACTAGGAGGATTGCTTTGGCTATCTTGTTTTTCTATAGAAGACTGAATTTCATCACAAACATCTCCTTTCCCCTAAAAATAAAACAAAAATATACATACCAAGAGACTGAAGAATTTAATTCACCGAGTTAAAGCCACAGAAAGAAACTGAGTCAATAAATTTTCACTTGACAAAAAAAGTTATTTTAAATTATAAAAACCCTTCATTGATATATTTCATGCTATGTTCAGGCCTTAAGATTCCATATACAAAATGAAAATTACACTTTTTCCTATGTTATATGTAATATTACATCCACAAACAAGTTTCTCTTACGTGAGAAACTATTTGGCCTATGAAATCAAATTGTAACAGAATTGGAAGCCCTGGGGAGGGGCACTACATCCCTGAAAACTAATTTAGGCACCCACGGCCCATTCAGAGGGAAAATGTTGTTTTGTCTTTCTCACACACAGCTTTCGGAATCAAAGTCAACTTTAGAAATGTGAGGTGACCCAGCAATGCAGGTATAACGTGCCAGTTCACTTACTGTACCCCAGATCACTGGAGCAAAGAATGGAAATATTTATCACTGTTGAGGATCATACAAGAATGGGCATCAACTGAACTGTACTTTGGAATTTCGTAAAGCAGTACTTACATTGCAATATACAAAAGAGCCTGTCCTTGGCTTTTTATTCATTCTGTTGGCTGCTTTATCACCAGCATGGCCCTCTATAGCGCCACCTTTTGGAGGGCTCACAGAAGTGGTCTCATTCCCTGAGAAAGATTCACCTTCTGGCAACATGCAGAGGAAAGCTAAAGCTTTCAAACCTGAGGGGAAAAGATTACAAACATCTATTTAAGGATTGAATACTAAGACATGTGGCGTTTCACAACCAAAATTTGGTAGCTGCTAGCAAGAGACTCAGATTTTGATGAAGTGAGCTGTAGTTCACGAAAGCTTATGCTCAAATAAATTTGTTAGTCTCTAAGGTGCCACAAGTACTCCTTTTCTTTTTGCGGATACAGATTAACACGGCTGCTACTCTGATTCCAGGATTGTAACCCTGAAGTGGCCAGAACCAGCTACAAGCACAGTTGAGAGCTTAGAATATCACCAGGTTCACTCATCACTGGTACTCACAGTCTGTTACCATCCAATTTAGGTTCTCAGCCATTTCCGGCTTTTTTACACTTTATAAATTAGACCTGCATGACAGAACAAGCTTTTTCCAACTTTTAAAGAAAACCTTTAACTTTCAAAACACATTTTACATAGAGCTGTATTCTGCCATCCTATGTCACACAGAGTAGAATCTTACTCTGCGAGAAAGTCTCAGTGAAGTCAATGGGACTGTTTCTGCAGCACCTTATTCCACATCATGAATAAGATTAAAACTATCTGGCCAACAGTGAAGGTCAAGAAACACTTTTAACCATGTCGTTTTTTTTTCTTCCTCAGGGCCCCTGTAAACAAGATAACTGCTTCCACATCTAGGGACAGTGTGTCGTCTTAAACTGAAAATTTATGAGAAGTTGTCTCAGTATATTACTCTAATTTTCTTAAGTCTTCTGTTTTTCCATCACATGTTCCATTATCACTGAGAATATTGTTACTCTAATAATAGGACTTCTAAATGGTCAGTTATAAAACATTCTCTGTACTATTAGTGAAATGTAGCTTCCCTCTGATATTACGCTAGGCTTTTCTTTCCTTGGAAAACTGCAAAGTGATTAATCAGAGGCTTTGCACCAGGGTCACTAACAACTATTGTGTTTCAATAAAGAGAGGATTTGGGTCACCTTTTCCATGCTGTGCTTTCATCAGGCAGTCTCCAATGAGCTGTATACATTGATGTTGCAGAACTCTAGCATGACTGAGAATCTGCGAATCAAGTTTCTCTCCTACTTCATCCCCACTTGCCAAGTCTGCACAGTAGAGAGTCAAGGCAGCAAACAGTAGCCAAGAATAGTTGTGGATATAAGGCTGGATGAGTCTCTGTCGGTCACTGATTCGAATGGTCACCATCGGATATATTGTGATGCTGTGCGTGGGAAGGTGACTGAAAGAAAGTGTTTACAGTTTAGAACTTAAGTTTAAATGCAAGTTTTCTTTCTGAAAAAGGAAGAATGGAAAGCATGTTTCAAACTTCCAAACTGCAGATCCTTACAAGGCTCAAAGGAGCGCTGATGATTTACACTAGTTGAAGATCTGCCCCTAGAACTCCAGCTCTACAAATCAAGTTTATGTGAACAACATTGGTAGCAAACTTGGAGTAGTGGAGGTAATAAGAAAGTAAATATTCATATGTGTAAGGAGGGTCTTTCATGCTCACCAACTCTATCTCAATATTCTCATACTTCTGGGCAGTGAACACTTATGACTAAAAGGTGTGAAAGATTTATAACCAAGCTACTATGAAGGTTGGGGTAGGATTTAGAGCTGAAAACTTTTGCTGAACATTTGCTACTTTTCTCCTAAGGATGGTAATTAGATGTTCTGGAGTCAGACACAGGCTCCCAAGGAGTGACATTAGAGCGACTGTCTGTAGGAGGTGTTAATTACTGTTGTTCTTGCCTACAAGCTGGTGAGTATGGAATCGTAGACCAATACCTGTCAGAGTATTTCTTTGCAGAATAACACCCATAGCAAAGATCAAAGTCATCACACACATTGCAGTTCATCCGGCGACCTATAATAACCCCTTGGCAATGATCACAGGCATATTCCATGTTAACCATTTCATGGTCATCCTCATGACCTTTAGGTTTAACGCCACCTATGCAGAATTAAAAAAATAAAAAAAAGTTTGCATCTGCAATGACCTTTAGGTACAGTATCTGTATCTTCCTATTCTTTTCATAATGTAATGCCAGTATATGCTTATGTCATTTTTCTGTTCTTTTATGGTTATTGATTAGAGGAGTACGTATGACTAGAGAACTCTAACCCTCTAAGTAGAGGGCTTGATCTACAAGCAGCATTAGATACTCAGTGGTAGTCAACACCTAATTTGTAAGTTCTGGACACCAAAGTTCTGCTAGCAGTTTGCTGAAAAAAGAGTCTCTAGGAGTTGTGAAGGTATGTCCAAGTTGCAGCCAGTGATCAGATATGCCATATTAGAGAAACTTATTTTACTATATAAATTAACCTTACCATAGGATCTACAGTATATTGTGCTTTATGAACTGAATGATCAATGTCATTCACAACACTTATATTCTCTCTTTTCCAGCTCACCATGATCCTTTTGTAGAATATTGCAATATGACTAGTTCCAGTACAACCCATTGAATTAACTCCAAAAGAAATCCACACTAATCAAATACGGTTACATTTTTGTTTGGGAGACAAAAAAATCAAAGATAAAAGGAAGGAGAAAAGACAAAGGAGAAATTTTATGTTCAGAATTCCATGCCAAATTCAAGTTCAGATGACACTGGCAACTTGCAAGTTTGAATCTTACAAGCACTTGTGAATTCAAAGTCACTTATCTAGTTGTACTTATGTTAGCGTGTCCATTAAAAAGCACATGATTCAGATATATATTGAAAATGTAGGCAGGTGACATTCAGATTAGAAAACACAGGAAAAACTAGAAGTGTTAAGATCTTGGGAAGTTTCCAAAAGAAAAATCTTTCCCTTCACTCATTTCATAGAAAGCTTTCTAATGTACGATCTGGAAAGACACTGTTTTGGCTCCAGAAGTATTTTCTGACAAGATCCTTACCTAGGAAACAAGTTTTACATAGATCCATGTCATTGCACTGCAAACAACGGTAGCGATGCCAGGGTGCAATCTCATCACAACCATCACATGATATGTCCACATTCAATAGGTCACAGTAACGAGCAACAAACATGTGCATCTGAAACAATAAACGGACACAAAACTTACATGTTGAATCTTCCTTGGTTTTGAGAAAGCCCTTTCTAAACACAAAGCAGAATGTTCCCTTCTGCAAGAAAGTACGATGAGATATCTACATGTGCATTTCCAAGGAGATTTTCAAAGGCACAAAGGGGAGTTTGGTGCCCAACTCCCAGAAAACCAGTGGGAGCTCCTAGTCTCTTTCTTTGTGCCTTTGAAAAAAAATCTCCTGTTTAACCCCTTCCTCAAACAAGCAAGGAGCATGAAAAAATAAAAAACAAATCATGAGGTCACCTTTCTCTGCTTCTCTGGATCAGCTTGGGCTATCTTTTCATACCAGGTCTCAAACATTACATCCTGACATTCATCCATCCACTCGGAGTTTTGCTTGTAGTCTGCAATTTCATCTTCTTCACTCCACTGACTAAAAAAAGCTCAAAATTAAAGTTTGAATGCAAACAGGCTTCCTAATAATGCACTTTGGGATAGTTTATTTTAAAAACTAAAATTCAGACACAATGTGCTAATAAAACAAGACCATGTATTTCACCTAAAAATTAAAACACCGCCACAATATTCCAGAGACCTTTCCCCCACACAAAGGAGGTTGTTGGTTTTTTTGTTTTGTTTAAAACAAACAAACAAGTGTGCACACACTGGGGAGAACGCACATCACCTGGGAAATCCAAGCTCATAGAACTGCTGTTGGGTAACTATGACAGAATATAGGCATATGAAGATTATTTCCTTATAGAACAAACAAGCCACGGGCAAAAGGGTAAGGTTAAATTGAACGCACTCTGGGAGACATGCAGATGTGATGCTCCCGGCCAGAGGAGTAAGATGATGACTATCTTGCTGGTAACTTGCCAGTAGCGTGACACTGCTTGGCAATAGTCAGTTTAAAAACAACTTTCTGCTAGTGCAGAAATTACTACTCTTCACATCTCTGTAAAGTTTTCAAAAGCACTTAAGACAATGCGACTTAGGAGCCTAAATGATTTTGAAGCTTTTGAAAAATGGGACATAGGTGCTTTTGAAAATTTTTCCTCACCTGTCTTCAGCATCTTCACTACTTGTTTCAAAGTTCAGAGTTCATTCTTGCCAAAAACTGTACAAAAACTTAGTTCTATATAAAAATGATAGTCTTACTGACTTACCAAATCACACTGTCATGAACACTTATGTTTTCTTGTGACATAGTCATAAGGAGAAGTGGTAACTGTATATCAACAAAAAAGGAAAGATCACTTGGTTCCCAGCTCATATCCAAGAGGTGAAGGAGGGATGTCTGCACGCAGGATAAGGCAGGGAGCAATGATCTAAACAAATTGGGAAAACCATGACAGCTTTAATCTGAAGTTGAAACAGTATGATTTTGGGGGAAAAGAATAAAGGATTTATGATTAAAGCCTTAAATAATAAGTTATTGTGTGTTAAATTAAATGAACAGTAGAACCTTACTTTACTAACCCACAAGCTTTCAAAATTCCAATAGTTCTCGTCAAAAAGTTGATTGTCTCACTGTGCAGTTTTAACAGCAGTGTGTGCTGTGGTGCTGTCTCCTCTCACTAATGCTTTGTTGTTCTTGCCAAATATGCTACAGTACATTTACTATTACCAATACTTCAAAGTGTATACTAAGAGGCAAAAGTTACATTACATATATCAAAATAAACGAACAAAGTGATCCAGTACTGTTGAATTTTATCCTTGTCCTTTTTAATTAGCAAAATTAAGTAAAAAGGGATTTTCTGTATTTCAGTAGCACCAAAAGGCCCCAATAATAATTACAGCTAAGGCTAAGATTTTGTCACACATATTTTAAGTAAAAATCAGGGACAGGTCACGAACAATAAGGAAAAATTCACGGAAGCCTGTGACCTATCTGTGACTTTTACTAAAAATATGCATGACAAAATGGGGAGCTATAGGCTCCCCACACCACCCAGGGGGGTTCCCGCAGAGGCCCGGAGCTCAGTCCCTGCAGTTCCCAGCTACCAGGGGTGGCGGGGGACCCTACAGCTCCCAAGCGCTGCAGGGCTCAAGTCAGGGAGATCTCTGGAAGTCATGGACCCCGTGACCTCCGTGACAAAATCGTAGCCCTAATTAGAGCTACATACAAACAGAGGAATTTACACTCTTCTTTGATGCAAGACAATAAAAGTAACTAATAATAGGAGGGAAGGTGTGAGGGAGGAGAAAGGTAACAAAAATAACATTCCATGTTATATAGCTAGGGCTATTTTCTGTACCTGTCATTAATGCTGTTAAATCCCTTCACGGCACTGACCAAAAAGAGAACAAGCTGATAGTAGGACTCCCGAATTTCTTTGTGCAGTTCGGCACCACAACCTTCCAAGTGTCCAAAATAACTAAAAGTTAAGAAGTCAGTTTAGCAGATGTAGAATCCACCACTTTACTTCACATAGCACGCTTTGTTCAAATACAAGTAGCAGTTTAATAAAAACCATCATGAATAAAGAGGACTTTAGCTCAGTTTTAAAAACCACAAAACAGATGATGCGCTATTCCAAAAAAAGAATTAGAAGTGAGGTGCAAAACAGGACACCAAATGCAGATTGTTCCTATGGAACTGTCAAAAGTATCAAGATGACTCATAACATTTGGCCACTGGGGCCTGAAAAGCCCAACTCAAATAAAGTTAAAAAAGCAAGAAAGCAGCTAACAGTTCTTACACTCTATAATGAGAACTCATTTGGGCAGCAAGTCACAGGCAATCAGCTTCAGAATCTATGTAGACTAACATTATAACCACCATCTTTTAAGAGTTATGTTGAACACCTATCAGTCATATTTAAAATAAATGTATCTTTTCAAATCCCGACATTCATGGCGAAGCAACTGTATGACTAAAAAATGTGCCTTACTTGACTCCTCGAGAGTTGGTAAAATACTAGTCACAGGACATTGCCAGAGGAAGCTAGTTCCATAACAAAGTATCTAACTGCAGATTAGCTAATACATTAATTTATGGAGAAAAGTCACAAAAGGGAAAAGAACTCTCCCAAACACGTATTGCTGACAGAGCAACTAAAATTAATCTAACCCAGCTAGCCGAGCTCCAGCTTAAATTCTTATAGAAGGAATAAGATAACTGATCCTATTTAGGCAACAGTTTAAACTGAAATAATAAACAAAGCTGAAGAGTGTGAATGTCTGAAGACTAGTCTAGTCTCATTTTCTGTGTTTTCAGTCATCCAGTTAGATAACTGGGAACACTTTAATAGCTATATGCTGCGGGTAAGCTGCTGACCCCTGTTGGTATAAATAGGAATACCGCAACTAATTCTCCAAGTACCACGATGAAAATGTAAACGATCAAAATGCACCATAGGAAGTGTGCACACAAACTTAAATATTGATCTCAGCACAAAATATGCACTTGCTCTTGTATCTGTATTCACAAGAGCGTCACTTCTCATATTCTTTTCACCCTGGGTAATCAGTATTGAGTCAGGGCGTGCAGACATGTTATACAGAATAGTGTTAGCTCCAATTTTCTAAGAAAGATACTTACTTTGTAAAATCTTTCTGGCAGGCCAGAAGTTCCAAGAGAAAGAGTACACAGGGTGGATGGAAACAGTGAGGCTGCCCAAGAGATTCTAAACACTGGCGGATTGTCTTCAGCACTTCTAGGATACTTTGGGCTTGAGCTTTTCTCAAAACAAGGACCTTTAAAATACTAGGAAAAACACAAACTCCCAATGACTACTTCAAAACACCCGTTCTTCAGTACCTCATAATGCAATCAACATTTGAGAAGTTAAACAAGTTTGATGAGTTGGCACCTAAATTAACTGTACTGTATATTGCCTTGAACACCTTGGTAATAATAATGTGTTATTTACAAATATTTTACCCAAAGTCGCAGGGTGAGTGGCAGAGCCAGGAACAGAACCCAGGATTCCCAACTCCCTGTTCCAACCTCTAAACCTTGGGCTGGTTCTGGAAGAATGTCCTCCAGTTAAAATTTGCATATTGGCCCTTTGAAGATCCCTTCTCTAACTGTTCTAGATCTGTTATCCAAGACCCACTAACTCAGCTAGGCAGTTGTGATTTCCAGAAGCAGTTCTTTCCCCATTCAACCACAGACAGGACGCAACACCACCTCACAAGCAGATTTGATGAAGCAGGGCAAACTGCAGCATAGGGACAGTAAGGGAATGTAATCACTATTCATAATCCTGAAATTCTATGTGAGTTAAATGAGTCAGATTAAACATTCTTTGGGAGCCTAAAGTAGGTTGTGAGCCATAAGTTTGATGCTTTGATATCAAAATATAATGGACTGTTTTTCAAGAACCTGAAATTAGAGAAATATTACTAAAGTAAGATAAAAATATGCTTTATCCCATCATCTGAAACCTTTGAAATCTCTCAACCTTAAATATGACGGACTGCAAATTTTCAAGTTTGCTCACCTTTCATGAGAAAGTGATTGATCCTTAATAAAGTCTAATATATTTTTCAGTACAGGATATTTCTCCTTCACAGTGGGCACTGATTTAGGCTCTTCTATTGATCTAAAAGATAACAGCCTTAGTCTTCCACGGCTGAACTGAGATTTGCGAGTTGGAGTGGAGGGAGGAGATGCTGTGTCCTCTTGCTGTGAAACTGTATTTTCAAGGAGCTTACTTTGAGATTCAGAGGCTACTTCGGATTGGGGTGGGTCTGGCACTTGCTTAATCTTTGTGTCAGAGTCTACCACTCGACCCCTTTCTGCAGAAGCAGGATGAGTTACTCCATTCGAAGACAATGAGTTTGCTGCTTGAAAATCGGCTTCTACGATAGAACTAGTCCTTTGACGTTTACCATCGTGGTACTGTTGGACATCCTCTACTTCTGAAGCAACCCAGTTATCAGAAGCAAGATCTTTTGCCTTTGCTCTCACAGGCAAAAATTTTAACAACAATAAGCTCTTCTGAATACAGTGTTTTGCTGCAGCATAAAAATTGAGGGGAAAAAGGCAAGTTAGTAGAATCACCATATCACATATTGTGTAATACCTTTCTTATGTAATTTAAGTAAAAATTGGCTCTTAATTTTTTATCTTCTGGCCAGAAAGTCCTGAAAGTATGGCTTCCTGCCCCTTGATAGTGAGTCTGGATCACCCAACATCAAGTGCCTATTCAAAATATTCACACCAACTATACAAAGCAGCGACATGTGAAGTGTCATTACAAAAAAGTTTTTAAAATGACAGTTCAATCATCAGTCAGACAATCCAGTGCACTGGTTGTTTTCTCATTCTTTAGGAAAAATCTCTGGAGACAGTGCACATTAAATCAGCTAATTTATCCCGGTCCACAAAGTTTTAAACATAAGATAGCCTAAACTGCTAATTAATTTCCTTGCGCACAGAAAAAATGAGAAGAGCTACATAAGAAAGTTAGGCTAAGCCATCAGGAAAGACACTTACCAAGGATTTCTGGGTTCACTTCACTTATTTCTACATTCTGTTTCTCTGCTGTATCATTTCCTTTACCCATCAGGAACTTCTGCTTCATTTCTAACTGTAGACAGGATATTAATTAAATTAATTAAAGATGTGAAATCCTGCCTATCCAGATGGCATGGCAGCACAAAGACTGCACCACAATTAGAGAATCTCATTAGTCCGCTCCTGAGATTCTTAAGACATGCTAAGTCTCCAATACAGGACTAGTCCTTTATGGTCTAGCACAGGGGTTGGCAGCCTTTCAGAAGTGGTGCGCCGTGTCTTCATTTATTCACTCTAATTTAAGGTTTGGCATGCCAGTAATACTATTTAATGTTTTTAGAAGGTCTCTTTCTATAAGTCTGTAATATATAACTAAACTATTGTTGTATGTAAAGTAAGTAAGGTTTTTAAAATGTTTAAGAAGATTCATTTAAAATTAAATTAAAATGCAGAGCCCCCCGGACTGGTGGCCAGGACCCGGGCAGTGAGAGTGCCACTGAAAATCCGCTTGCGCCCCGCCTTTGGCACGCGTGCCAAAGGTTGCCTACCCTTGGTCTAGAATGTGTTGCTGGTCAGCCTGTGGCACAACCCAGTGAAATCCACTGAAAAGCTTGACTCTTTCAAGCCAAAAGAAAGCTAAGCTGATGATCCCAGTTCTTTCAGACATGTTGTGCACAAGCGTTAAATCAGGTAAAAGTAACTGTGTGTGTGTGTGTATGTGTCTTCTCTTTTCAGTGAAGAGATCTGATCCCTGTGCATATCTTCAACCACATCTGGTGATTTAAATGACAAAAAACCCACAATTATTTTCCTACTCTTTCCTCCCCTCCGTTTAGCACAGTAGAGCCAAAATAACTATGTGAGGGAGATATTTCTTTCTGGCTGATTCATAAGCTCTGGAATAGGCTTCCAGGGGTGATTGTGAACTCCCTGTCATTGTAGGTTTTTAAGAACAGGTTAGACAAATACCTGTCAATATCATAGAAATGTAGGGCTGTCATTATGGAAACTCTGCCTCAGCACAACAGGCTGAACCTGATAACTTCTCGAGATGCATTCCAGCCCTCCATTTCTAGGATATTATAATCAAAAATTCCAATTGCCAGTCAAAATTCTACCCCTGCACCTTCATTGAAAAGCCTAGGGAAGAGCTTGGCTTGCAGAATCTTTAAAGACTGGTAATGATGCATGACATGAAAGGCCTAAAAGCTGGACTATTAAAGCCAAAATTGACTGCAGGGCTGGCAGTCAGGAAAAATATATTTTTACTTTTAAGATGAACAAATCTGATCTGCAATCATTGAGAGAAAATAAAAACAGACCCCTCCCCACAACAAAACCATTTTTAAAAGGCATTTCAAGGTACAGTGACACAGACTCTGCACTGGGACACAGGAGCAAAAATATATGTGAAAGAAGAAAACCCAAATAGAAATAATCATCCTGAATAACCTTACCATCCATATTCTAATCCCATCAGCCAAAGAATATACTTGTGCAAACTCTTCATTCAGAGGCATCTTGCCTCCACTGATGACTGTAAAAACAAAAAGAAAGAGGAAAGTCCTTTTATTCACTGCTTCAGTTTCACATCACTTAAGGATTTAAAATAAAATAAGATACCTGCAAAAGGCTGTGATAGACCCTATCAACTACCTCTTAAGGCGATGCCAGGCAGGTTTTGTTCCCTGTTGTTCTTACAGATATACTGTAAAGGCTGGTAATGCATTAAAACCATCTATTGTACCCTGACTGCAGACCTATTTGCAAAGTTGAATAATGAATGAGTATGTACAGTTACGGTCAATACATATGGGTCCTGCAAATGTACAGGCAGGACAAACAGAGGCTATTCCTAGGACTTCAATGGGAGTTGCATGTGCTCAGTACCCCTCAGAATCAGGCCCTGAGAGTCCAAATAGCACATTTTTATTCAACAGATGAGAACTTACTTCAGATAGCATGTTGTGACATACAAGTAATGTATTGCACATTAGAAAGAAAAGTTGGCAACCCTACTCTCTGGAAAGGTACAAGTTGAAATACCGAGAGCCAACTGCATGAGTTAGGAGCAGAATATTAACTTAAAAACCACAGTGGGTTGCAAGCTCACTTTCCATAGCGTGACAATATTTAGCGGATTAATTTGCATTTCCTCCCCAAACAGTATTGTTAAAATATAAATACTTTGTTCCTTGCTGTTTAGGAAACATTTAACGAGAGCTGAAAATGGCTGAATTAGAGAGTTGTGTTCCAGTGGCACAACTGGTGGGAAGATAGATACCTTTGAGTTACAATCCCCGTGCAAAAACCAATGTCCCTGTGGACTTGGTTAAATCACAACATCTCTGGCTTAGAATCATAGAATATGAGGGTTGGAAGCGACCTCAGGAGGTCATCGAGTCCAACTCCCTGCTCAAAGCAGGACCTAATCCTCAACCAAATCATCCCAGCCAGGGCTTTGTCAAGCCTGACCTTAGGAGGGAGATTCCACCACCTCCCCAGGTAATCCATTCCAGTGCTTCACCACCCTGCTAGTGAAAAAGTTTTTCCTAATATTCAACCTCAATCTCTCCCACTGCAACTCAAGACCATTACTCCTTGTTCTATGAAAAGACTTAGTTTACTCATGTTTAAAACAAGGATAACCTTATTTGCCTATCCTACTCAGAGGATTTGTGATGATTAGCTAACCTTTGTAAAGAGCTGTGATGATGAAAAACACTAACAAAGCATTATAATCTTATTACAGTCTATTGTGGCAAGGTCTGCCTAGTTGGTGAGTGCAGCACTGTAATATCTTCTTTGTACAGGATGAAACCTCTAACCTTCTGAATATTTATGAAACTAAATACATTTTTCAAGTTTTACAACTGAATTATAATAGGATTTCTTACAAACTATCAGCCTTCATTATTGATATATTCACTAATAGAAGAGTTACCATATTTTTGTAGCTTCCCGTATAAATCTGGAGTGAGATACACCAAAGCAGCAAATGTGGCGTTCACAGCTTGATCAACAGTGGAACCAGCAACTATATCTGTCTTTGGGGCCTGTTTTTTACATGCCTGTATAAGTCCTTTGAAAAGCTCAGAATTTTGCCCACAAAAATCCTGGGAAGGATCTGATTTTGCAAAGTCGAGAAGAAAGTTACGGCAGTCATCTACATGAGAGTTCTTCATCTGGAAAGAGTATTTAAGCATTTACTTAATATCGGTTTAAAAACGCTCACATCTCATTTATATATTTGAACAACCCACACCTCAGAAAGACATTACAGTCAAAATGACAATATAAAGGGTACAGAACAAAAATTTCTCTTCTTTGACAATTCAACAGCCCATGAGATGGCAGCCTCAGCCTAGCAGTGTACAGTTAGAGATGTGTCAGCTCATTAAGCCTGAACAAAACTACTCTCATGCATAGTGTTTTCCTACCCATAAAACAGAAACAGTGGCCTAAATACCTCTTTTTTATTTTGGTGCACTTGTCTGGGTTCATTTGCTTCCAAAGTCGCCTCAGGACACATCTGATGCCTGAAGACAGGTTTCCATAAAGGAGAATTAAGAACTGATGTCACTTTTGAAGGAGGCAACTCTGCTTCACTACCTAGGTCTGCAAAAACAGCAAGACAGATGTGGATTTATGTTCAATACTAAATATTTTTGTTCAATTTTATATGATTGCAAAAATGCACAATTTTAAAAACCTGCCACAAAAGGAAAAAAAAAGGAAATGGCATGTTGAACAAAAAAGTCTTAGATTAACAGTTACTCATGTTGTTTAGTGCCACATACGCAACAGACATCACACCGCTCCTGTACCGTCTTACTGCTGGCATTAATGCAGATTAACCAATGCAATGCTACAGCATGTTACTATTGTAAAAGGCCCTGAATGTATGTATCCCATCTATACTGTACTCATGACCACAGTATCGAACTACTCATTAAAAAAGGTTCTCAAAGCACTTTACAAGCTACAGACACAGGGTTATTACTTCATCCATCACTGACTTGCCATAAGCCCTAGCATGCAACAAAATGCATTAAAACATATACATTGAGGTACAGATTTTCAAAAATAGAAACCCTAAACGTAAGTTCCCAAACCGAAAGCTAGGCCTCTGCCTGACTTTCTGGAGTCCTGACAACTTAAAAGCTCCTGTTGACCTCAATGAGAACTACAGGATGCTCAGCACTTTTGAAAAATAAAGCACATGTCTAAATACAGACATGGGTTCCTATCTTTGGGCTCCATTTTTTGAAAATCTTAATTCATATATGAAACATACATATACGATTTTAATACCTGTGGCCAACCCTTTGCATGCTGTCTATCTTCACAGGCCTAAATCCCCGCAAACACATACATTCTTAGCTTTACTTATGTGTGTAGCCCGATTGAATTCACTGCTCATATGACTAAAGTTAAATATGTGCATAAGAGATTGTGGCACCAGGGCCTTAAATAGCAAGCTCTCTGGGGCAGGGATTGCACTTCCCTGTGTGTGTAGACAGAGCTTAATATATTGTGGGTGATACCAGAATACATGTAAACAATCAAACATAGAATTGTGACTGAAAACTTCAGGGAAAGTTTAGGTAGACAGAACAGAAATCTGGCCAAATCACATGGACAGATTCTACACTACAAAGCACTCATGAAGTTTCATACTGACCCCTCAACACACACAAGCAGAAGTTAATATCAGAATGAATTTTGCATTATGGTTCAGAGGTCTAGTAAATAAACTATAGATTATGGTGACATATGGTGCTCCAATACAAGAACTGAAATAAGTGTTCCCCCATCTGCTTTTAGATTTAAGAAATTCCAAATGATCAAACGGAACATTTTAAAGTCAGCATAAATTATGTGCTATAAATTTTTACTTTTTCCGTTTTCTGGTGTAAATGTAATGCTGCCAAACCATGGAGAACGAAATCCTCATGAAATCCAGAGAAAAGACACAGCATATGCAATGGCAATGAAAACTTCCCCCTCCACAATGTGCTTTAACACTTAACATGACCACATCCAGGGGTCAGAGTAGTTATGTCTCCAAGTCCATTCTACTCCTGGCCTCTTAAGACTGCAAAGGGTGCCAGTAGTGATGGAGTTTTTTTGTAACGTTCCCAGAGAAAAGGTTAAAGAGTTATAAATTTGGTCATTACCAACTTGGTCTGTAACTGGCAACCTTGTTAGGACATTCTGTTTTCAAATATGAGTGGGCTGGAACAATCTGTATTCCTTTTAAGAATATAATATATTAGATTCTTGCACCTCGTCCCTATCATGGAAACATGACTGCTAGAGAAACTAATTCAAAAACTTACCCAGTTGGGATTTCAGTGCCATACTCCGCGAAGCCAAGCGCCCCATCAACCTGGACACAAGAAGTTGCAAATCCAAGCCCCAAGTAACTGCGACATCGGGTAGGCCATAAGCAGTGATGGAGAACTTGTAGCCCCACTCATTATTACTGCTGTCAGAGTGAAAGAGAAACTGCAGCCGTGGGCCAGCCTGAAAGGTCACTTTCTACAGAGCAACAAAACAATCATTTTGCCAAATGTACATGACAGGAAGACATTTCGGGGTCATGAATTTCCTTCAGCAATTGTGTTTGTCAATATTCTCATGTTTTCTCTGTAATATGCGCTAGCATCCCATCAGATGACTCAAAAGCCTACAGCAATTAAAGTTTCAACTTTCTATTCACAAGAATAATTGAAAGTTTCAGCCCACAAAACAGCTTTTGATGTTAAAAAAATATAATGGCAGAGAAAGATTACACTGGGGTAGCTATGAAGTAGCACCTGAGTGGCCACAAGAAAATAATAAATGAATTCAACTTGCCATCTCAAGATTTATTTAAAATTAATGAGGTACAAGGGGATCAGAGAACAATTTCAACTGTATGTTTAACTACAGTGAAACATGGTTTTCTACATACTAACTGGCAGGGAGTTAATCATACTAGTACTGGAAAGGACCTTCTGGGTCATTCATTCTATTCATTTGCATCACTGTGGAATTACAGGATTTCCCACCACCACCACCCCCCTCCCTCTGAGAATTAGAGGTAGGTGTGGGCACACACCCACACCAAAGATAAGAAGTTATCAGATTACAAGGTCTCTGCAGAACCTCTTACCTATGACGCTAAAACACCACAGAGTTCCAGGATACCCTAATATTAACATATGTTTATTTTGCACAATATTTTAAAGTCACTCACCTTGGGCCACTTCTCAGTGCCAACCTTTGTATCATAACGAGTTTTTGCACCTCTGGCATCAGTAAACTCCAGGTAATCATATCTGTGGAGAGTGCAACTCATTACTTACTCATTTTTATTTTTAAAATTTTTGGGCTAGTTTACTTTGGAATTTCTCATACTTCCCTAACCACCCCACTCTGGAGACTCAGCAATGTAGACACATTCCCTTCAGAGACATTTACTGCTTTAGAGGATTATATAAACATTTCATTACTTCATACAGCACATACGGTCATTTCTACAACAGAGCTCCCTGATCCTTAATATCAAGTTAAAATATTAAGCATTTCTAAGTGGCAAGCCCGAAAGAAACAGAGGTAACTTACAGAAAGGACTGAACTTTGGCATAGTTGTGCTCAAGTAAGGTAAAGTGAATGCTGGGAACATGCAATGATAGCCACAGGTTTTTCAAGCGCTAATACCAGATCAATCAACGGAAAGCACAGTTCCACTGCCTGAGGGAGCAGAGCCTTGACACTCAGGGCCTGTGCAAAGAGTTTGCCTGCACCCTTTCAAGTCGGAGCTCAGCTGCATCAAGAATCTTTAAGCACTGGTGCAAAGAAGAGTACAGGGTGGGTCGTGCATGCTGAGGGAGAAGTTGGTGCAGTAGGTAATGATTCTCTGCACACAGTGCAGGATTTGCCCCTTTGTGAATAGTTTTTGGAGTCAGAGATGGCACACTATTAAGTTACCTCCTTTCTGTTTCACATTTTTCATCAAATTCCACCTCAAAGTAAGTTGTCCCAGGACAAAGGAAGACGGAGACCTCATGGCAATTATTTTCATAGTTGTGAGGAGATTCCATTGTCCATGTTCGCAGCACCACGGGTTGTTCTTGCTGCCAGCTTTCCATGGCCACCTGTATAATTAAATACAACAACTTTCACCTTACAGGGTACAAATGCAAAGCATTCAGTAGGAGGATTACAGCACTACATTATTTCACACTTGAGTCCATGGCTTAAAGTAGCCATATACACACATACATGTACCATAAGCACTTATCCCTCTACTTACATCACTATAAAGAATGACGCTAAATAAGATTATGAAGCATGTAGTAGAATTTTATTAACTTTTTATTTTTCCTCTTTTATCTCTCTCCTGTCTTCAATCCTTCTCCACAGTCCTATGTATTTTACAGGCTCATCATCTCAGTGTCATCATCTACTTATCTCTCCTCCTCCCATACCCAGGCTCTCAAGAAACCTTATCTTCCCTTCCTTTTTATCACCTCCAAAACCCAGTCTTTCCTATCTATTCAAACTACCAGAACCCTCATACAAGCTTTGGTTAACTATAAATCATCTCTTCTCTGGACTCCCAGTCACTCATCTCTTCCAGAATCAGTCTATCCAGAATGCTGACACTGAAACAATCTTCCTCTGTTGCCATATCAATTGCATCACTACTCCTCAAAATCTTTCACCACCTTGTTTAACTAAATCACGTGCAAGCTCTTCATTCCCACCTTCAGAACAAAAGCATATTTTCACCCTTAAATATATTTTTGCTCTTATTTTTCCTCTTACTCTCCTCCAACTCCATCCCTTGCAGTCCACTCTCCCCTTCCCTTTCTCCACTTTCATAAACTCACATACCGCAATGACTGGTGTGGTATAAGAACCAGAACAGATATACATTTCCCACTCTTGGCTCTGCGTTTCATCATGCAGCTCCATATACTTGGAAGTAGGGTCCCAACCTTGTTTCAAACTTTACAGTAACCTTTAAAAAACTTCCACTCTCTCCTTTAAACCAATGTATCCCATTAATTTTCTCAACATAGAGCTATGTGTTATATTGTAAGCTCCCAGGACAAGGGTCCTCTCTTTTGTTATATATTTATGATGCAATCCACAGTATTAATTCACATTAACTTCTTAATCTAGGAAGCGATTCTATTTTTATCACATTGTGACTGACTTAAATTCTAAGTCAGTGGTTCTCAACCAGGGATATGCATACCCCTGGGGGCACACAGAGGTCTTCCAGGGAGTACATAAACTCATCTAAATAGCTACCTAGTTTTACAACAGGTTACATAAAAAGCACTAGCAAAGTCAGTACAAAGTAAAATTTCATACAGAGTGACTTGTTTTATACTGTTCTATATACTATATTCTGAAATTTAAGTACAGTATTTATATTCCAATCGATTTATTTTATAATTATATGGCAAAAATGAGAAAGTAAGCAATTCTTCAGTAATAGTGAGCTGTGACACTTTTGTATTTTTATGTCTGATTTTGTAAGCAAGTAGTTTTTAAGTGAGGTGAAACTTGAGGTACACAAGACAAATCAGACTCCTGAAAGGGGTGCAATAGTCTGCAAAAGGTTGAGAACCACTGAACTAAGTGACCATAGCATTTTCATTTGATCTACAACACATTTTACGTAAGTAAATGTGATCTTTTGAAATAAGATGATGTGAATGCATAGTCCCTTTAAGGGTAGTATGTTCTGAACAATTTTCTTACGTAACCTGGTTGCATACTTGTAGATGTGACTTCTCAGCGAAAAAACTGCTCAAAAATCACTTTAGAGAGATCCTGAAGGGACAGGAGCTCATCGGATACACTGATGGTGGGCAAAGGAGATGCAGAATTCAAAAGGTTACAGAGAATCAGAGGTGTAAAGTATCTATATCTATCTTAGGCTACCTTATTAAGACTTTCTCCAGGTTCACTACAAAGGTTCTTCAGCAGTTGTGTCAGGGTACTGAAACCCTGAAGTAGGGTACAGTGTGGAATGTCTAAAGTGCAGAAATCCAACAAGAAAGTCACCTAAGGGGGGGGGGGGGGGGAAAAAACAAACAACCTAAAAGTTACAAAGCCTTCTTAAATATATTCACATAGAAGGAAAACGGTAGGACATTCCAGTCATTCACCTACCAGTTGACGAGTTGCCATGGCAAAAACAGAGTTACTTAATTTTTCTACTATATATTTTCCATTGTATTGGGACAAAAGTGATTCTAAAATTGTTCTGATATTTGACAGGAACTGGCCCACATCTAAAAAAGAAAGAGAAAAACATTAGGTAATAGAAAGTTCGCCAAATGGAGGATTCACTACTGGGAGTCTGTGTTTTTACTGTGCAGCTCTAGTGGGGTTGATGTTGTGCAAAATAGAGAAAGACGGGTGTTGCCCCAAAACAAGGCAGTTGGGACACAATTTTATGCACATATCCACTGCTGGCAATAGGACACTCTGTCATTAACACCACCAAAAGCACAATTCATAGAGAAGCTAGCACTGTAATCAAACTACATCTCCTTGAGCTAAAACCCCTGTTTCAATAACCCTACTCTGATTTCCTGGATTATTGTTACACTAAGGAATGAAACATGAATTATGAGCAAGGCCAGCAACTTTTAGGTATTCAGTCAGTCAGTCAGTCAGTCAGTCAGTCAATCTAAAGTGTTCAGTTAACTAGTATAAAAATAAAAACTATAGAATATAATCCAGGTTTGAATTTAGAAATAGCTCAACATTACAAAATACAAATTTAATACCACTCAACCATTACATTTATGGCCCAAGTAATTATTCAAGTAACTTTGGGATGCTGTGCTGAGACAAAGCATGCTATGGTGATATGCGCCTGAAAAATACCTACATTAATAGGTCGTACTACAGACAAAATGAGTTCAGCTTTTCTTGTGATTACCCAGATCTACCAAAACCACATGCTGCCTCAGCCAGGGGGGGTTATTACTTTTGAGGGAGATGGAGGGAAGATGCCCTAATAACGGACAACTAAAGAAAAATATCGAAAATGGAAGCCTGTAACTAAATTTTGTTTCTTCATAGGTTCAATAGCCAGTGAAATTTTTGGTTCAAATTAGTTTCTCATGCATAACAATAATCCAACAACTTTAACCATAGTGATTACTGTAAATTGGTCCAGAGGGCTCTGGGCCAATTTTGAAATTTGTTCGGAGCACTAGAATTATAAGGATGCTTCAGATACCATGATAAGTGTCTGGAGATAAAAATGCGAATCAGCTTCTTGAGATCATATTTTAAAGTCATGTAATATTGTGTACACTAGGCACTGACTCCACTCTGGAACTTACATTTTTTAAGTATTTCTATGGCAAGACTCTTGGCTGTATTATCATTGCCCTTAAGTTGTACGTAGCACCATGAAAGGAGGCTTCCCTGTACAGACCAGAATAAGGATGACAGTACTGTGCCACTCTCCTGCTGGGCAACATCCAGCATCATCATTTCACACTGAAAAGCAATAATACAACAATGATTGTTACAATAATACAACACACAGCACTGCAGTGTGACAGATTATGCGATACACCACCCTCCTCCCCACCGCACACCACCAGCCACAAAAAAAGATGAAAAGCAAGAGACCAGTCATATATGAACTGCTAGTGATTAAAAAAATTCATAAAGAAGCAATATTTGAAAGCTGTTTCAGTAACTCAGTAAGATGAACGGCAAACAGGTCTAAGTCATTACAACTACGTTGGGGGCAATCAATTAAGGCTTTCAGCACATTTTGTAACATAGGCTAATTATTTTCACATGTGAAAAGTCCTTACTTTCCCAAGCACAAGTCTTTACCCTATGGTACCATGAATGGTTCCCACCCTTCAATCTGGTTTAATTAGCTCAATTCTTTTACAGCTTCAAGGCAGTTACTATGGAACTCTATGGAAAAACTCCCTAAGGCAACCTATTCAGTATGTTGCCTTGCTTCTTAATATTAAAACGTTGTTACTGCTTAACATATAATATTTAAATTAGTGGGGGCCCAATCCTACAATCATACATAATTAATTTTACTCATATGAATAGTCCTGTTAACTACTGGCTTCAAGATCTTCATGTGCAACATGCCTTTGAGAGCATACCACATACTTTAGAAAAGGAGAAGTGAGAATAGACAATCTCAAAAGATAGCTACCTCTCTCGCCGCCACCAACAGAAGGGTATCCATGACTGACAGCACTTGGCTGATGTCAAAGTCCTCAGAAACTTCCTTATCTGGCAACAATAAAAGTCCACCTGGATCCTGATCACTGCAAAAAATAGAGCTTACTGAGTAACAGCTAATGACAGAAGTCTGAAACAGATGCCCTGTTGTGATGATAATCTGCAGAGATCATTTGCACATCATTTCTGAAGGAAAAATCAAATGTTCTATAAAATACCTCCACACTGATAAATTTAAAGATATAAACAATACCAACTGTTTCCACGGACAACAGTAGTTTGAAAAAAATTGATCAAGGATAAAACAGTAAACAATGCTGCTCAGAGACTCTGGGCAAAATACCATAACCTCAGTAATTATTTTTACCCTTGGGCAATCTTTTGTTATTGCCTTTTGAGCCAGTCAATACTAGTAAGATGTATAGATTTTTATTCTCTGAAAGAGAAAGTGCATTAACAATTTTGCTGACTTGCATCTCTTTTTTCAGAAGAATGTGGAATTATTGAAAAGGATCAGTAGGATGAAGATAATCAGAGAAAAAAAGTTATTTTTCAATATCAAAGAGCCTTACCTGAAGTATATACACAGGGATCTGAAGGTGAGATGCACAGATTGCTTATGTTCCTGTTCTGTGATGTTTTTCTAGGAAATGGAAGAGGTTTATGTTTAAAAAAACGTTTTTTATAATAGCAAAGAATTACAAAGAATGACAGGACCAGGAAATACTTTTTGTGGACTACAGAAGGATTAGTATTTACACAACTCCAAGAGATGTTTGGTCTGCATTTTCATTATGAAAAATACCCATTTTCTGAGTTTTATCCTTGGTTTGTAAAAATGTTTTAAACAAAATTCAGTCACCATTGAAATTGGATCTGTAAGTTCTCTGCCACTAAGCAAATCTTGATTTTAAAATGGCATTTAAATCACTTTTCCTCGCATCTCCTAATTGTGTCTTTTCTAAATGCTACTGTGCTTACCCAAAATTTTATTTTTATACTATAAATGTAGTATCCCATCACGCATAAGAAATCCTACAGATCCATATGCACACGCAAGAGTTAAAAAAAACACAGTACGTGAATTTTATACTGTCAGTATTCCAATAGGTGCTAAATCATGAGGAAAAATAGGACATAAAATATTTTAACAGTCTTCTTTTAAGTTCTCACACAGACTTGGACACTAGAACATATGTAAAGTCACTGCATCCTGTGCCTCTGGTTTCCTCCTATATAAAATAGGGGTTATTATATGTACAAGGTTTATTTGTAAAGTGAGCAGAGCCTATCACTTAAAGACCACGAATATGTAACTTCACAATGCCATGTTCCCTGGTTAACTTTTGAGACTATAAGAGAGCCTTCCTTTGACGGCTGACATTCTAAGACAGACCATCTGAACTGAAACTACTACTTTATGGAAAGGTAAAGGCAAGCTCTCCTCATCTGGAATGAAGTGATTGTGGAGAAAAAGAGAGGAATAAACAGATACCTGCTTTCTTTTCTGCATGAAGATAAGATACCTTAGAAAATAATTCTAACAAAACCAAAAGCAATCATTTCTCATTGCATGGTTTACCATCATGGCGAAGAGCTGGTCCTGTCTGGTCTGTCTATCTGGGAAAAAGATAGCTGCTCCGTTGAGCAATGTGTTCTTAACTTCCTGCTTTAGCGTTGTCATGGGTGTGAAGTTGCTATCACTCATGTCCACTACTGTTCATAAAAAAAAGGAAACTGTGTTACAATTTAAAATCAGTAACCAAGTATATATCTTTAATACACTATACAATTTCATTTCTTTTCCATGACACTAGTCTTTCCAAAGCACATAAAATACTCATCACACATATACACACGTAAGGATTGATCTTCAAGAACATTAATCTTGCAACATGCTGGGATGTAAATTTACATTGAGGTAGTCTGCTGCACAACAACTGTCCATATGGACCCTGTTAACATGCTCTAACAGTTCCTTAGTCCACTCTGATCTACCCCACTTTGATAAGGGAGTAGGATCAAAAGGCGCAGTGAGGAACTATTAGTGTGTATCAGCAGAGTCCACATGGACAGCACACTCAAAAAGGACAGATTTCAACCCAGCTTACTGCAAACTAAATGTTACTTAAGGCTTGTCTACACAAACATGTGAGAAAGCCTTTTGAATTCTAGCAAGAAAGATCTTATGACGAGAAGACCTCTGATTCAAATGACTTGATTCACTTCAGGACCTTCAATGTTATATTTATTTATAAGACCAACTATCAAAACTGGGGGGGGGGGGGGACTTCCGAAACGTACCACACTCAGTACAAAGTCATTCATCTATTCCTTGTTTTTCATAATTTCTTACTACGTATACTAGTTACTGAAAACATTGTTCTTAAATATATAAGGCAAAATACTGGCTCCAAAGAAATCTATGATAATATTCCCATCGACTTCAATGAGGCCAGGATTTCACTTGTACTTTTCCGACCATGTGGATTCATTCTAGCACAGTGATGAGGTTAGAAACACTCAATATAAACCAATCTAATCCTTCTACTTATTCCAATACTGAAGTCAAAGGACCAAATTCTCCACTGGTGCAAGTAGATACAGCTCCACTGAAATAAAATTTGCCATTGCAACCACTTTCAGGCAACATATTAACAGGACAGATTCAAGATCACTTCTTCAGAGGCTCAAAGAAAGTACAGAAGCAAGCTCTCAGCTAAACCCATTGATCTAAAATAGCAATAAAGCACAACAATCTGAAACAGCAGCTGGCTTGGGTTTTGGAAAAAAATTTTTCCAAGTTCACACTAGTATAAATTCCTTCTTTAAAACAAAACAATAACAACAAAGTTAGTAAGTGACAGCATAATATTAACGAACCTTCACACAAATGCTTGTAGAGCTGTACTGCAGCTTCTGTTTGGCCAGAAGTTTTGCTTTGAGAAACTTCCTGAGATTTAATAGATTTATTGTTTCCAGTAAGTACAGAGAAGCAGCTTTGAAGAAGCTGCAGTAGCACAGTCTGGGCAGAGAGACACTCTTCCCTTGGGCTAAAAGGAAAACAAAAAAACAAACAGGAGTAAAATCTTCACAGGAAGAGCTCATTTCCAGCACACAGTGCTATGCTAAAGCAAGCATCACTGTCTCTATTCTACAAGACACTGACACTAAGACAGGGGTGGGCAAACTTTTTGGCCCGAGCGCCACATCGGGGTGCAAAACGGTATGGAGAGCCGGGTAGGGAAGGCTGTGCCTCCCCAAACAGCCTAGCCCCTGCCCCCTATCCGCCCCCTCCCACTTCCTGCCCCTTGACTGCCCCCCTCAGAACCCCTGACCCATCCAACCCCCCTGCTCCCGGGACCCTCTGCCCCTAACCCCCCCGTGCCCCTGCTCCCTGTCCCCTGACTGCCCCGACCCTTATCCACGCCCCCCCGCGCCCCTGCTCCCTGTCCCCTGACTGCCCCGACCCTTATCCACGCCCCCCCGCGCCCCTGCTCCCTGTCCCCTGACTGCCCCGACCCTTATCCACGCCCTCCCCCCCACCGCTCCCTCCCGGGACCCCCATCCCATCCCCCCCCCACGCGCCCCTCCCACCCCCCCACCGCTCCCTCCCCCCCCACCGCCCCTCCCGGGACCCCCGTCCCATCCACGCTCCCTCCCCCCCACCGCTCCCTCCCGGGACCCCCGTCCCATCCACGCTCCCTCCCCCCCACCGCTCCCTCCCGGGACCCCCGTCCCTAACTACCTCCCCCCCAGGACCCCACCTCCTATCCAACCCCCCCCTGCTCCCTGTTCCCACCCGACCCCCTGGGACCCCACCCTCTATCCAGCCCCCATGCTCTCTGTCTCCTGACCTCCCCCCGAACCTCTGCCCCATCCAATCTCCCCCTGTCCTCAGACTGCCCCCCGGGACCTCCTGCCCCTTATCCGACCCACCCTCCCCACCACCCCCTTACCATGCTGCTCAGAGCCGCAGGACAGGCTTATTGGAAAGCCTGGGAGGTGGGCGGGCACGCACATGCCATGCTGCCTGCGCAGCAACAACGTAACTGCAGGGGAGGGGCCGGGGACCAGCCTCCCCGGCTGGGAGCTCAGGGGCCGGGCAGGACGGTCCTGCAGGCCAGATGTGGCCCACAGGCCGTAGTTTGCCCACCTCTGCACTAAGAGATCCTCTGAGTAAAGAAAACACAGCCCAGAACTCAAAAAGAACAACCCCTAACACCTAAACAGGAATCAAACTCACTGTACCGGAACTTAAAGGTTACAAACATCATTAACGTTATATCTAAAAAAACCAGACGACAAAACAGAGAGAAGGGAAAATATCGACTACTTCAGCTTAATGGCAGAAAACATCAGCTGAATAAAATGCACTTTTTGTAAACATATTTATGGCTAACTTTGTGATGGGGGAGGGCCCTACTTTTGGTGTAGTTTATTGTAAAAATTCCAGAAAAGCTGCAAGTCAAGGCCTGTGAAGTCCAAGAATGATCTGTACTTTAATCCACTTTCTTTTTGATGAACCTAAAAGAGGCAAAGAACATATAGGATTGAAGAATTCACTCTACACAATGCATGTTTACAAAAACACAGTGAAAACTGCAACATATGGGAGTATGAAAGAAATATCAAGCTGCATCTGAAATGCCACTGCAGCTCAGGACACAACATGGTCAGGCTCCCATTAGGATGAACCAACTAGATCTTCTTTTTGTTGTGTCAGACTAACAATTTTCACTTCCTTTTGTACGTTTCAACTTTCTCACAGACCTATCTCACTCAAATAGTGGAGAACAAGTTCTAGTCTATACACCTGTTCTAATCCTCCTGTATGCTTCCGAGAGATGCAGCAGGGCTATTTAAAAGGCTGCACAACTTTTATATATGTTGCATTAATCACACTAAGCACTTTATCATAATGTGAGAGATATGGAAATGCAGTTCAGTTCTGGTTTCCCTAAAGAAGACATATTCCTAACTTAAAGTGCCCTCTTAGAAGGCATCATAGTATACTAAAAGTCATTTTCCAGACACTTCAAGTTTCATGACTTGCATATTATTACCACTGAATGTAGTTACAGCTTGCTTCTTTGGCCACTACATTATTTTATAATGCCTCTTAGGTTTATCTTTAGTGTACCACCATTTATTTTTGTAACATGACCACATGCTTTAAAGAAGTAAACAAATGTGGAGAGAAACATACCAGGTCCTGTGCAACTTGTTGGATGAAATGAAGCGTCTTCAGGAGAAGGGTTGTTCCACAAATGCCGTCATCTGTTGCTTTGCATTTCAGACAGTTCATGCTTCTGTTGGGCTCCCCTACCACAGGCCGAAGATACCCCAGAACATTCAGGCCTTGAACTCCTAGGCGCTCTGCTGTGTCTTGCCTTGTGCACAAGAACTTCACCATTAAATACTGGATAGAGACATAAAAAGAGCACAAGTGCTGTTCATAAATCCTGATTTCAAGAGTCTCACATCTTGTGCAGGTTATGTGTATTTTCCTCCACACTTTGCTTGCCCATGCAGCACCGCTTCATTATTAAAGGTCAACATTAGCAAAATCCACAGTTAGAACAGCATTACAGAATACCAAGGTTTTATATAAGCTACATACTAGGAGGTTCTGTGACTGCCATGTTCACCTGCAAACTCAGTCATTTCATTACCAATCTAACTCATTTTGTAAACCGTGTTCTATTTCTTAATCTTATAGCGCCAGGTTTCCTTGCAAGTGGAAAATCATTAGCTTAATATAAAAACCAAGTAGAGGATAAACATTCAATGTAAATTATATTTATTTAATTTATATAAATAATATACACACATATACATATACACATGCACACACATTTAACTTGCAATTCTTTCCACATTAGTATAAAGAACCTGAAGCCGAGAGTATCCATTAAGGAATGCATCCCCAGAGTCCAAAAGGTATTTTTTTAATCCTGTTATCACAAAATTTGGGGAACGAATATGTACAGTACATGCATAACAGTTTAGACAGCTACTGAATAAGGAAATGGCATGTTCCGGATTCCATTATGCAATGAGGACTTTTCACTTTTGTCCCTGGGCAGGCACCTCTGGTATTTTCTCCCCCCTGGAAGAAGAGATTTGGGATCCTGAAACCAAATTAAAATTGAACCCAAAACAACTGGAAGACAACAAGTTTCACTTTTAATTGCTGCAAATTAAGATGTTGAGTAGTGCAGTACTCAATTAGTTCCATTCAAATCCATGGAATTACTCAAGGAACAAGGTGCTACTTATCATGAATAAGGGTTGCAGAATCTAGTCTTTATTCTGTAGTAATTAAAAGTGAGCAAATTAGAATACAGAAGAACTGTGATTGCACAGCTTGTTTCATATTCTAATCATTAGGCTTACAGTGGAACTCATCCTCTTGACACAATAAAGTGAGTGGAAACTTTCTATACTTTTTAGACAGTAATGTCCATGCTAAATGTATATAAACTGTGGCCTTAGCACACATGGCTTTCACTGACTTTTTTGCTCTAGTCAAGGCCTCTTCTTGGGTAACAGAAACCGGATAATTATTTAGCTGGTCTTCAAGAAAGCAGGAAGATTATCATCATTTCCTCATTCACACCTGAGTCAGTCTGTTCTAATTATTTCTTACTTGGGAAATTCTGCACTGCTGCATTTTGATAGCCACTTCATCCCAATCTTCTTCCACCTCAAACCAGCCAACAGGATCATCCTCTCCCAGCTCATCACATGAACAATCATTTCTGCAGATAAAAGCAGATTAACCAAAGTTATAATTAAAAAAACATAGGGATTGCCCCACTGCTATGTTACCCAACTATTTTTACCTGTTAGAAAAATTAAAGATTCAGGAAAAGGCAGCAGAAACATTTTACATGCACAGACTCCAGCAAATGCATATCTGCCATAAATTTATTTTATTTTTAAAGTCAATAATTTTATAGCATACTTGTAGAGAAAGGCAACAATACAGCTACTAGGAATCAGCACTCTGTATAGACACAGCTTCTCAAAAACATCAAATTGAGATTTTCATTCAGACTGGGCTGATCATGATTAAGTTTTAAATGTAGACCTTTAGGTGATCAGAGGCAAGTGACTTTATTTGCAGCTACAGCAGAAGGCACAAAGAAATATTACTTAAAGACTACTTCTCCCACCTCATCCACACTCTGAATTTCGTAACAGGGTAGAAAAGGTTTGCTGCAACATTAATCTTGAAAAATTTTCATTGCCACCCTGCCCACCTTTACCTGTTTTTTAAAAATTGCCTGAATTCTTGTAGCTTCCACTTGTCATAGCTTTCAAATTTTTTAAAATGTTCCTCTGCATGAAATTTTTCTGAAGAGCTGTTATAAGCAAACACCAACCCACACTGGGCTCCAATAGCACCTTTCCGAACCTGAAAGGAGAACATAATGCTAGAGCAACACAGAGAAAATGAGGATAATGACAAAACAATGTTTCTCCTTGTAAGGAAGAGTTACTCAAATCAAACCAGAGACTGGCAAAATTGATCTGTGATTCTTTGGAATCATATTATGTATTTATTTAAAGGAACATGACACAGAAAACGGTTACCCATCTTCTCGTAACTCTTGTTCTTCGAGATGTGATGTTCATGTCCATTCCAATCAGGTGTGTGCGCACGCACATGCATGATGGCCGGAAGATTTTTCCTTAGCAGCATCCGTCAGGTCGGCCTGGGCACCCCATGGAGTCGCGCCCTTATGGCGCCTAATATACAGCCCTGCCAATCCGTCACCTGTTCAGTTCCTTCTTGCCAGCTACTCCGACAGAGGGGTAGGAGGGCGGGTATTGGAATGGACATGAACACCACATCTCGAAGAACAACAGTTACGAGAAGGTGAGTAACCGTTTTTTCTTCTTTGAGTGCTTGTTCATGTTGATTCCAATCAGGTGACTCCCAAGCAAAATTAGGAGGCGGTGTGGTAAGACCTGTCCACTCACTGGAGTACTGCTCTACCAAAGGCTGCATCATCTCTGGCCTGTCTAGTAATTCCATAGTGTGCGGCGAAAGTGTGTATCAATGACCAGGTCGCTGCCCTGCAGATTTCCTGGGTAGGGACTTGGACCAGGAAGGCTGTTGATGAAGCTTGTGCTCTTGTAGAGTGCACCATTATCGGGGGCGCTGGGATCCCTGCTAGAATGTAGCACTCGGTAATGCAGGCCACAATCCATGATGAAATGCGCTGTGCCGAAACAGGCTGGCCCTTCGTTCTGTCCAGTACTGCGACAAAAAGCTGTACCAACTTCCTGAACGGTTTCGTCCTTTCTATGTAAAAGGCCAGCACTCTGAGGATGTTGTGAGCATGGAGTCTCTACTCCCTGCTACTTGCATGAGACTTGGGGTAGAACACTGGGAGGAAAAATGTCCTGGTTGATGTGGAACTGCAATACCACCTTCGGGAGGAAGGCCAGATGGGGTCTGAGCTGCACCTTGCCCTTAAAAAAACACTGTGTAGGGCAGCTCTGACGTTAGAGCCCTAAGCTCAGACACCCTCCGGGCTGAAGTTATCGCCACCAAGAACACGACCTTGTAGGAGAGGTAGAGCAGGGAGCATGTTGCTAGAGGCTAAAAGGGATTTCCCATAAGCTTAGAGAGGACCAGGTTAAGGTCCCAAGCAGGAACCGGTTGGCGGATGTGGGGGTACAACCTGTCAAGGCCCTTCAGGAAGCGACTGATCGGGGGTTAGTGAAAACTGAGCGGCCCTGTACCCCTGGGTGGAAAGCTGAGATGGCACCCAGGTGTACTCTTATAGAAGACAAGGAGAGACCTTCTTGCTTTAGGTGGAAAAGATAATCCAAAATCTGGGGCACTGAGGCTAGCGCTGGGGGAAAGTCGCGCTGAGTTGACCAGATTGAAAATATCTTCCACTTGGCCAGGTACGTGGTTTTAGTGGAGGGTTTCCTGCTTCCCAGGAGAACCTGTCTGACTTGTTCTGATTCAGCCATGGAGCCTCCATGCTGTGAGAGGTAGCGACTGCAGGTTTGGGTGCTGGAGCTGCCCATGATCCTGCATGAGAAGGTCCGGGAAAAGCGGCAGGGTCGCTGAAGGCGCGGGGTGCTCCGCGTCGAGGACGACACCATCGGGTTTGGATCTCTCAAGCCCATATCAGAGTGGGGGCGCAAGGCTGCCTCCATGAGGATCACCTTCAGCCGCAGTTCCCAGTCTTTAAGTTCTCTGGCAGAACTCGTGGCAGATCTTGCAACGATCTTTCTGATCAGTCTTCTCCGGGCACCGAAGACACGATGAGTGGGGATCACTCTTAGGCATGCACTTGGCGCAAGCCACACAGTTCTTAAATCCCATGCCACGACACCGGGGCCGGAATGGGGGGAACCGCCAACAACTATGCTATACTAAACTTTAAACCGGTACTACTAACAACTAACTATAAACAGAATGACAAAGAATGACAAATGACAATGTCAAAGAAAACTTGCTGAGCAAGAGCCAAGGGAAGTTCCAGCCACTGTCCCTGGTGGTAAGAAGGAACTGAAGGGGTGGTGGGTCAGCAGGGCTATATATTAGGTGCCATAAGGGCACAACTCCAGGGGGCACCCAGGCCGACCCAACGGATGCTGCTAAGGGAAAGTCTTCCAGCCATCATTTACGTACCCGCCTGATTGGAATAGACATGAACAAGCACTTGAAGAAGAAATGTTTCAGAAAGATTAAACATCTCTGAAAGAATAAGGATCAAATTCACAGCGAAGTTTCATTTTAGCCACCATCTCGCCTGGAGCCAAGCAAGAAATAAGAACCTCCAACTTAACTTTGAGTCAATTTGCTTTTCTGCTGTTTTATACAAAAAGTGGTGGCAAATTTTTTTTTTTTTAAATTATAACCAGTTATCATTGCACTATAATTTTTAAACAGTTGAGATATTGGCCTCTCCTCCATCCCCAACTGATGAGAACGTATAAGCACAAGAGTCTAGTCAACCTCAATTCAGGTGGGCACTACAAAGCATGTATACATGCTTTGGTAAAGTAAGCTACAGGTTTTTTTAAAAAGCTAATAAAAAAATTAAACAATGGAAAAGCAAGCTGTAGAAACCTCATCACAGCTTCTGTCCTGCTATGAGATTCTACCAACGTTTGGGGCATAAGATTTTAATTCCACACCAAAGTAATGTTGCTGTTTAAATACATGGCAAGCATTATACTACATGCACAAGAACTAGAAATACCTCATTGGCCTGAATAAGATATAGACAAAAGCAACATAAAATAGATGGAACGCTCTACAGAGTACACTTGTGGCAGCATTCTGTAACCAGATGAAATTTCTATTTTCCTTTTTCTGCAGTTTCCTGTGACTCATGCAAACACAAAACAAAACCCAAACTGCTGTCACTCCATGAGGAGGCTCAAATTTCTTGCAAATTAATCACAAAGCTGTACATTCAATCAAAGGTGAATAATTGTCTAAATTCCACCACCAAGAAAAAAGCATTAATCCAAGAATTAATCTGCTCGAATAATGCAAACAAGTTCCTTACCTTTATTTTAATTTGTGTCACCTGGAATGTAGATTCAGTTCCTGCAGAAAGAATGATACTTGCTCTGGTCTTTCCAGTCTCAGTAAGGAAACCTAAAGGAACAATGAAAATAGGATGAGGTTTAGAGGACTGTCACCTTAAAGTAAATGGATACAGAATTATAATGAGAGGAGTAAAACAAAACCCAGCATTCTGTTCTATAACAAAGATTCAGCCAGTGAATGAGACTTGAGAGTCCAAATGAAATAGTAAATTATAATGCTGGCATTCGTAATTCTGCTTATAAAAGATGATGCTGTATCAAAAGGTGTCCATACAACACAGTGTTGTGTTAGTATATCCTTCCTCAGGACCCTGTCTTCACAGCCACAGTCTCTCCTGGGACTGTACTATTAGTAACAGGAAAATTCTTACAACTGCTAAGTTTAGTGAGAAGTCACTCCCATTGAATGTTACTGGGATCACTGAATGACCGTGTTTACTTATCTAAATGACAGCTTTTCTGAAGCCAGAATAACACTGTCAAGACCATTCTACCTCCTCCCTTTCCTCTTAAATGAAAGAAAAACCTCAGAAGAACATGAGCTATAAATCACTCCTTTTGTTACAATATCCTGAATTTTAATCTGTGGCATCAAGAGCAAAATACCAGGACAATGTTACCTGTTTACTTCAGCTAGAAGCTGAAGAAACAAAACTTTTCAATGCAAACACCCCCAAACTTTGACTGCAAACTACCCAAGACAAACCAATTTCCAGTGTGCATGCCACCTCTGCAATGCACAACTTACATGCCCCCCAGTATGTTGTGTGCTAAGCCCCTCAAAAGGCGTTCTAGAGAAGTGCACGTTGCTTTGACTTGCAGAGCCATTATTTACTGCCTCATTTATACTGTTATTTCTGGTTTTTAAGAATATTTTGACTAAGAGACATCAACAATTAAAAGGATTGTTGACTCTTGAAAGCAAATATTCAGCCACCCAAGGATATTCTATACCATATTCTCTTCCATCCCTCCATCAGTGTTTGGGAAGCCCCTAGTGATTCAGAGCAAAATGCTGCTCTGCTATGCAATTCTTCACACCAGCCTGCTATTCACTTTCAGCCAATGCACCAATAACCCGACCTAAGATACCAAACTTGTTTTACAAAAAGAAAAAGGAGTACTTGTGACGCCTCAGAGACTAACCAATTTATTTGAGCATAAGCTTTCGTGAGCTACAGGTCACTTCATCGGATGCATACTGTGGAAAATACAGAAGATGTTCTTATACATACAAACCATGAAAAAATGGGTGTTTACCACTACAAAAGGTTTTCTCTCCCCCCACCCCACTTTCCTGCTGGTAATAGCCTTTTGCACAGTATGCATCCGATGAAGTGAGCTGTAGCTCAAATAAATTGGTTAGTCTCTAAGGTGCCACAAGTACTCCTTTTCTTTTTGTAAAACAAGTTTGGTATCTTAGGTCGGGTTATTGGTGCATTGGCTGAAAGTGAATAGCAGGCTGGTGTGAAGAAGTGCACAGCAGAGCAGCATTTTGCTCTGAATCACTAGGGGCTTCCCAAACACTGATGGAGGGATGGAAGAGAATATGATATAGAATATCCTTGGGTGGCTGAATATTTGCTTTCAAGAGTCAACAATCCTTTAATTGTTGATGTCTCTTAGTCAAAATATTCTTAAAAATCAGAAATAACAGTATGAATGAGGCAGTAAATAATTACCAGCAGGAGAGCGGGGTGGGGGGAGAGAAAACCTTTTGTAGTGGTAAACGCCCATTTTTTCATGGTTTGTATGTATAAGAACATCTTCTGTATTTTCCACAGTATGCATCCGATGAAGTGACCTGTAGCTCACGAAAGCTTATGCTCAAATAAATTGGTTAGTCTCTAAGGTGCCACAAGTACTCCTTTTCTTTTTGCGAATACAGACCAACACGGCTGTTACTCTGAAACTTGTTTTAGGAGAAGGAACAGTTCCTAAGAGAAATTCCCTGTGAGTGAGAATTACAATTTAGAAGCGCTATGTCCACCGTAGTTCCTTTTTTCTAGCTGTCAAGCAGTGTGAAAATGTACAGACCTGAACCACTACAAGAAACCATAAACAAAAGACTATACACTTACCATCCCCTGTCCATGGCTCAACCAGGAGGTTTTCAGGCCCTGATTTATCTTCCTTTCCTTTTACGTCACATGCCTGAAGGGTCAGCTGTAGCGACTTTCCTGAACAAGCAAATCAACAGGTTTATCAGAACTATAAAACAAACAATATAGAGCCTGTTTGCCAATGGCATTCTAAATTCTTTACACAGAGAGAAGGTAAAAAATTAAGAAAAAAAGTTAGAGAATCACACCACCACAGGATCTTTTTACCTTGTATAAAGGAAACAAATGCAAAATCCATGTTACTGCAACATTACAGTTGAAATTTTAAGTGTACAAAGACAAGAAATTAAGAATTGTTACAGCTGAAGGACCCATAACTGTCAAAATACACACATTTTGAATTAAAGAGTTCACAGCACATGAAATAATACTAAATACCACTTTTATTATGAGGAGCCAGAGTTACAGTTGCTGTGGGAAACAGAAGTGACTTTCCAGAATTCTGAGCATAATGTTGTAGTAACAATATTTTATGCATAACATATTTACATTTGTCACACACCAGAACCAGCGGTTGAGTCTGGTAAATGTATTTCTCTACATTAGGTTCACACCCACATGCCTGCTACGAATGTCCAGTAATTCAGGACTGGAAAAAAATGGTTAAAGTGATACCATCAACCTGAGATGAAGTCAATTTTAAAAAACTGATTAAAAATTATTTTTGGTACTACACCTGTTGCTAAGTCTGCATGCTAATTGTGGTTTTGCAATCACATTTTCCTATTTAAAATTTTTTTTCCTATGTTGCTGAGTGAAAATCCAAACAAACAAACAAAATGGAACCTGACTACACAGAAGGAAATGCTGATATTGACCATACACAAAATACTGTTAAATGAGCAAAGTATACAAACTGAAAACTCCAAAAAAACAAAAAACCATCACTTTCAGTCATATTAACCTTATTTGTAGCTACAGAGGCTAAAACATGTCTGACAGAAGTAAAGCTTAAGTTGATACCCACAGAAAGACATTTTATTGCCTTATGCTAGACCAGGTTCATGTTTAAACCTACAAACAACATCCAGACAAGTTTATTTATTGAAAGCGAAAACAAAAGAATTAGACCTAGGTCTGAGTTACACTACATGATACAGCTATGACAAAAACGTTAACAAAAATTAAAAATGTCATTCTACTCTCAGTAAAACTGGACAGAAAAAAATTCAGGAACTTTTTGTAGGAAGAAAAAGACTAATACCACTAGATAAACTTAATAAAGATGCAAACACCTTTACTATTTTACTACAGAGCCAACTGCCCATGCAGTTCTTGAGCGCAGGATTACAGAATTCCTTCTCCAAGGTGACATCACCTTTGGTTCTTGGAAGGATCACAAGGATCTCAAATTCTACTACTAGCACTGCTCTGATGCAAGTACTGTTTTAGGAGACATACCTTTCTTTTCAGCTTGGTAATATTCATTAAAATAAAATCCTTTTATACCCTGATTAAAAGATCAAACAACCACTTTACAAACAAAGACAATTTGGAAAGCTGTCTGTGATCGATTGATCTCTCTCTCTTGCGTGCGCACACACACACACACTCTCTCTCATTCTCTGAAGGATGCAGTAACTATTCATCTGAGTAGCTTTAAAGATGTCCCTGAAATATTTACCGTATTTATAAAGCAGGTTTCGTCTAACAGTTGCCATGGAAGAGATGAGTGAAGAAGCCTTGTATAGCGTGTCCAGATGATCAGCGATAGTACAAAGTGAACTTATCACTTTAGCAACACTCCCTCTGGCTAGGGCAAAAGCCAACAATGTAAGTTCAACCTCTGGAGTGGCACAACAACTAGGAGATAAAAAGACCATGTATAAATATATAAGAAAGGAAACCTGCAGTTTCATAATCAAGTACATGAAATGTTATATCAATAATTTCAATTAATACCAGTGACTTATGATATGGCCTATTTATATAGCAATTTAAGCCATCTGTTTATAAAAACTTGATAGCTAATCATCCTGTTCCAGTTGCTGAAATCAACAATGGATGAATCATCCACTCTTTTATACAGAATCATTGAAAATGTTTTATTATCTAGTTAAAAGCTAGAAGATAAAAAAGGCAATTTAGCTTTATCACAGGAATTCAGTATTTGAGGTTTTGGGATATAGTTCTTTTAAAGGAGTACGCTCCTACTAGTACACGCTACTACAAACATTATCAGTCTAGAGCCTCCGTTTGGCACCCTTATTTCATTCCCTTATATTTTCTCTCTTTATTTCTTCCAATAGTTCTCTCTACTTTCTGTACACCCACATAGCTAGGAAGCACAAAAAAGTTCACATCCCAATAACCTGGTGTAGGCAGACCCCATAACCTGAAGTTTTGTTTTACTATGTCTCTAAGTACACTCGTATGGGAAATGTGTTTATACCTAACAGTTGAGGGTTTTTTATGTAAATATATTGCAAACATATTATTTATTCGATCTTTTTCTTTATAACTTAAGACCTGGTTGACTAGTCCCTGATCACATGTAAACATTTCTAATAAAGTAAAGTACATTAAACAAAAGGAAGCCAGTAGCAAAACTTCAAATTGATTGCAGTGGGAGCAGGATAGGGCCAGTCACATTGGTCTGTATACCAAAGTAATTCCTTAAAAGCTATTCATGAGGGCAATATACTTCCTTATTACAACAGCAGTTAAGGTACAAAAAAAAAAAAAAAAAAAAAAGGCTGAACGATGGTACCTCATGACTGCTTTTGGGACCAGATTTTCACTATTTCTAGCACACACATTTTGGATTAATCACTTAGAATTTATTCTCAATGGAAGAAAGGAGAAAAATGTTATTATCTCCTCCGAAGGTCCATAAACAGTTTTCACTGCAGATCTAATGTCACGCCAACTTAACATTAAATATACCTCAGCACTATGCCAAAGACGGAGGAATGAGCTTTTGGCTTCTAGGTCAGCTAAATACTTAAATTGAAGAGCTGAGGAAACAATTTTTCATATTTATCTTTGAATTTGTCAATGTATGAACAAACAACAACAACAAATAAGGACTATGACAAATGGAATCTATTTTTGCAGTACCCATTTACTCTATCATTTGCTTACCATACAAGTACACTAATGAAATTTACCTGGTTATTCTTATAAGAAAACTATCTACTTCCTCCAAAACATTGGGAGATAAGAAACTTGAGAAGTCTGTAGAACCCGACGTCAAAGACAGTGGCGGCATGTGCTGCAATGCCTTCCTACAAAGGGAAAAGAGCAAGACATTAGAAATAAACTCAAGTCAGACAGAACTGAAGAGAGACAAGCTTCAAAAAAGGAAGAACCACTCAGAATCTTTATGCTTATGTGGCTGGATCTCTGTGTTTAGGGTAGATGTTCTCTACTGTGTGAGGTGCATTATTAATGCTCTTCCTGCATTAGAAATGCAAAGCATTTGGCTTCTAGATGGAGAAAGTAGGGCACGGAATTTACTAAAAGGTAGTAAACGCAAGGCTCCAATCCCAGAAATGTTTGTGCTCGAGGAATTTCTTCAATGGAACTGCTGACATGCATAAAAGTTACTCAGATGTATAACACAGCTTTCAAAGTCTGTGCATAGGATAAACTAGGCAAATTAGAGGTAAAGTTTTCAAGGATTTTGTCATGTGAAGTAGTGGCGTTTTTTAAAAAACACATGAAAATTGAATACCATAACGCTGTTGTGGTTGTGTTATGATTTTAGTAAGATTTCAAACTTTGTGAAGTCATTGAGCAGATGACAGTTTGACAGTTATTCAAGGAAACATTATGCAGCAAAACAACCAGTCATCACAAAAGGAATGCCTGCACTGAAATACTGTAAATACCCTACCACAGCCCAGAAATATTCTGCACTATATTAATGGAAAGAAACCTTTTTTGGGAGATAGGCATTTGGAGGAGAAACAAAACTGAAAATCATTCCTGAAGATAAGGTGGGACAGGCCACCACACTGATGAGAAACAAGGCACCTACAGATTTTTGCCTGTCACGTGCCTGGCAAAATGTGTTTAGTTCCTTTTTGCCACTGTATAAAAACCTGTTCATCAGCACGGAAGAATTTTAATACTTTGCTATGTTGCCTCTTTGATATGAGAGCAGGGATGGAGGGGCTGCTTATCACTAACTGAAGTGTTTCAGGGGGTCTTCTCCACATATTTTCACTCATGGGATCAAGGCATTTACGTAGACACTTACACATCAGAGCAGATACCATCTATCCATGAAAATGGCATAACTGCAGACTGCTCATTCCATATACCACATGGGTCGCAGTGCCTTTTTAGTGCCTGAAATATCTGGATATGTTCAAAGAATATTCAAGATTTTTAATGGCTATTAGGATAGTAAAGGCATAAAAATTTGGAAGCCTTTTCTCCCATGAAAGGAGATGCTTTAATAAACTATTAAAATCTTATATAGGTATTGGCTATTTTGAGAATAATTAATATATCAATATGCACTGGGTATTAGGGAAATTAAGAATATAAGAAAAAGAATATACTTGTAGAGTTAAGCAGTTTACATTAACACAGTTAAAAGCTACAAAAATATTTGAATTGATGTGAAGCAACCACTATATGCTCTTTGAGACTACAATAGAATCTCAGAGTTATGAACACAAAAGTAACAAACTGACCAGTCAACCACACACCTCATCTGGAACCAGAAGTACGTAACCAGACAGCAGAGACACCCCCCCCCCCCAAAAGAGCAAATACAGTACATTTAACCCAGTACTGTACTGTGTAAACTACTAAAAATAAGTTTAACAAAAGATTTGACAAGGTAAGGAAACTGTTTCTGTGCTTGTTTCATTTAAATTAAGATGGTTAAAGCAGCATTTTTCTTCTGCATGGCAAAGTTTCAAAGCTGTATTAAGTCAATGTTCAGTTGTAAACTTTTGAAAGAACCACGGTAAAATTTTGTTCAGAATTACAAACATTTCAGAGTTACGAACAACCTCCATTCCCAAAGTGATCCTAACTGACTTTCTACTGTACTTTTTAAGCTAACATGTCCGTGAATAATTATTAGCTTGAGTGGACTGAAAGGATACTGTCAGGAATGAGAGTCCAAATATCTCACCTATTCTATACTACAAATTACAATCCAATGGAAAAAAATCCCTGGGATTTTAACTGTATTCTTTTATTTTAAGAACTACTCCGTTCCTGAGAAATTACAACTCTGTTGGCTTGAAAGCAGACTTTTACTTGCAAATGCAATTCCCAAAGCTGTGCTGGCATTAATTGCTGGTGCATAAACAGACATTTTGGCATGATACGGCTCTACATGACTGAGGGTTATTAAAAAAAAACAACAACTAAACTAAATTAAGCTCCATTCATAAAGAAAATGCAACAAATAAATATGCACAGATATACATCCAAATCCTTTTAATTTATTTATTGCTAGCAATAAGTCTGTTGGAAAAGTGATAATAAATATACAACTATCACTTTTCACAGCAGACTAACTCAGCCCAGCAAGCCAGGGGACAAATTAAGCCTTAGATAGGGGGTTGGGGGGAGGCAGCAGGAGGCTGGAACCTGAAGCCCCACAGCTGGGGGACATAGCCCGAATCCATGCAGTCGGAGCCTGGGGCCTGCCACTGCACAGCCATAGCCCAGGGCTGAAGCCCCAACACCCCACCCCAGGGCTGAAGCCCCAACCCTGAGCTCCACCACCCCTGGGAAGGTAGGGAACTCACTGTCTGCCTGCTCCTTCAGTGTTGTGCCCCAGATGTCTCCAGAGGGGGGCAGGGCCCATCCCCTGCTGGCGGCCCCAGCAACCAAGGCAGTGCATTTAGGAGCACCAGGGAGGGGAAGGGGCTGCTGCTCCTCCCCCCACTGTCACAGCCCAGAAGGCTGCGTCCACAAGAAAGGTCCCTGGTGGCCGCATTTGAGAAACGCTGGGCTAAGCAGATTACGTCTGGGTACTGGCCATGTATTACAGTGCACAGGAATGACCATTTGTAAATTTAACAAACTGGTAACCAAGGGGATGTTTAAATATCCTAATGGAGGGACTGGAAACCAGTTATACAAGACTGTGTTTCTGTCATTTATAAACTTTTTATATCAAAAAGCAATGAAAGTTTGGTACTTACTGAGTATTTTGTAGGATAGTGTGAACAAATGCTGGATTGGTTTCCATGGAAGCCGTTACCAATGAGGTCAGCAAAGACCAGTACCAGATAGCTGAAGCATCACACACTGAGATGCCAACTTTCTTAACTCTTTGACAGCCAACAGCCCTGAGCCCATGTATTCTAGTATCACATCCATCACTAAGGCAACGCTTGATGTTTATCTGTACATCTGTTGGCAAGATCAAACAAGAAAAAAAATAGGTAATTTCTTCCAGCCACTACTAACAATAATAATAGACATAAGAGAATCACTAAGTTCAAAAGAAGAACTTCCTAAAGATCTATCTGCATTACAAAAATGTATAACTAAAGAACCTAGTATGAATGTGACCGTGTGTGCTATTGCAATATACTATTGCACTCGTGAGCGTACACATGAACAGACTGATTTGGAAAATTTAGGCTTCAGTGGACTCACATGACCAACTACCTGAAATAGTAGCTTCTGTAACACAAAACGTGAGGTTACCTGGGCTCACAAATTATAAGTGAAAAAAGTAAACAAAATACTCCCCAAAATGCAAATAATCAATGTATTTTACCAAATAGCTATACCTCGAAGGAAAATGGAGACTCTCTGGCACTTCCATCATATGACCGTGAAATGCTAATTATTTCAAAATCAGAATATAAGTATTTAAACATGCTGTCTTAGTTCCTTTGCATAGACAATATACTTTCAGAGTTAGTTTTGAGAAAGGAGGTCCCTCTGTGGGCACGTCAGGAAGCTATAAAAAATTATTTTTTTAAAAATGGAAAACACCCATTTGAACAAAACCATTGTTCAGCTAAGATTTTAAAGCTTCAGAAATTGTCATTGGGGTCTACTCCAAAAAGGCAGCCACAGATCTGTCATGCTTAAGATGACAACACTAAATATAGTTTGTTAACATAAAAATATTTGACTTTTTGTTTAACACTTTACAAAAGTCATCTCACTCCTGTACTGACATAGGTGTGAGATATAACACTTGAATTACGTTAATTTATTTTTTGGGTATGTTTTTTAAGCAGAAGTGGGATTTTTGCTACATGCTAGCATCTAGCATATTGTGGCACTGCATAAAAGGAAATATATATTTCAGCATGCCCTCGTATCTTCAAAGTGAGATGCTGGAACTGCATCCAGAATTATTTCAGTAGTCTACCTTTAACAAAAATTAAAACCAGATGCTATGCAAAAAGATTTTGCAAAGCGAGCCAGGAACCACAATCAAAACTCTTTTGGAATCATGGGCTTAGCCAGAAGCCTCAGCATGAACAACACAAATTTCAGCAAGCTACCCAGCCTTTCACTTTCAGAAAACCAAAAAGAAAACACCAATTGTGTCTTTATTGACTCACACATCTGACTAATGTTAGCGTTTTCCAACAATGTCACGTAGCCAGTGATATTGCTGGGAATGTGAACATCTCGGACCTCCCGGAGACTGTTGGCATTCCTTCCAACTGCTACCGTAACCTGCTGCGGCATATAACTCTGGTCATTAGCTGCCACTGCAATGGACAGATGTCTCAGAACAACATCTGGTTTCATCTTTAAACTGTAAGATGGAGAGAGAGAGAGAGAGAAAGACATATATATTTTCTTCTCTTTAGGAGCTAAGGGCTCAACTTTCAGCCTAGCCTCTGCCAACCTCCACTTCTACAAGCATAAGCAACTGCAATGGCATTTATCTGTCTAGGTACTCGTACCTCATCACCATAGCATGTGAGTGCTTCAACTGCAGGTGCAATCAGGTATTGTTTAACTTCTACTATTTGAGCCCGTAAATACAAAAAAGTCACCTCTGAGAATCAGGTCCTGAAACTTTACATCATTCAGCACAATCTTTACTGTGCTATCTTGGCCATCACAGGAGTGTGAAAGCAGAACAGCACGATAATAGGACTGTCAGGTTTTGTTTCCACAGTACACTAGTACCAAATAGAATGTAATAACTGACTTACACGACAGTTCAACATGGATGATATTTGTTCTTATAAAAACTTATCTTCCACTCTATATTAAATGTCATGTCCATGTTTACAGAAGCAGCGTTACATTTTACTTCAAGACTGTGACATAATGAGGTTACCTTTAAGCACTAACAAGTACAGGTATATTAACATTCATATTACAGCTCAAAAACGTGTAAAAAATCCCAGAGATGCAAAAAAAATTTAAAAAGCAACAACCCCTCTTCCCCCCAGCCCATTCCCGCATACCCAAAAACAAATGGGGAATACATATAAAACCCTAAGGTTTAACTTCAGGTCTTTTTAGCCAGTTGAAATCAAAGTGACTGCTTTGCATCCCAGCGTAAAGATTAAGATGATGTAGCCAATCTCCAAAAATCATGTGTTTGCGCCAGACTACTCAAAGTTACAGTCCAGTGACAGCAAAATAATCTCTTCCCACTGTAAATCCTAAGGGCTGAAACCCTAAAATCCAGGGGCCTACTACTATGCTACTCACCGTATCCAATGTGAGCGAGCACTCCCATCTGACTGCCAGAAGGATGAGGTTTCTCCATTCGTCATCTTGTCAATGTCAGCAGAGTTTGATGAGCTTTCTATGTGAATATAGCACTTTGTGACAATTTTGAGTTTGTCCATTTCTTGGTTACCATTCAGATCATTAGGGCATTCTGTAAAGACACGGAAAAAATAAGTCACTGATAAGGACTTTTAAAAACAAATACTGTGCACAAAAAGAAATCAAATATCCCAAAACAGGTAGTATTGAGGGTATAATTCACAGCTCCTGTAAAACATTCTCTGCAAGTGTGTTCCATATTTAAACAGAAGATAGCAAAGCACCATTACACTTTAGTAGTACACTGAGTGTGCTCCAAGGCTTAATCTTAATCTACCATTCTCGATGTGAAGTATTTCTGTATTTTGCCTGGAGATCTGCAGGCATTACCTTTTACCATAGTCTTTTACACTGAAATAAAAATGGTCAGATTTTTTTTTATTATTACACATGATTGCAAATGGTGAGAAAAAAGCAAACTAACAAAATGAGGAAAACCTAGCCAGTCATTCTAGAGAGGGAACGGAGCTCATTGCTTCCCTGCACAAATTCTACCTGATTTTTTCAACTTGGAGAAAACAATCAAGTATGGAAGACTAGAAAATGTATAAAGTCAAGACAAAAATTTAGGAAGTGAAGTAAGCTTTTTATTTAAAATGTCAAACACCTATTAACATAGTGCCAGTCTTACTCAAATTCTCATACAATATGCCACTTGTGTAACCACAGAAAACACGTAGCCAACAAGTTAACAGACTTCTTTTCTACTTGACAATTTGCTTTAGAAAACATTGATGCACATTTCCATGTGTGTCAGCCTCAGAAGTCACTTCCAGTAGAAGTTTAGAAACAGCTTAGGGGGATTTGTTGCTGCTGTTGTTTTTAATTCCTACTTCAAGCCCTAGTTACACCAACCACATCATTAGAGATATTTTAGCAAGTTCACATACCCTTTTCTTTTAGTAGAAGCCTATCTAAAGAATCCTTCAGTACTGAAGACCGCATAGTACAAATATTATTGAAGTACTCCAACACTGGGTATGGGATGACAGTACTGGAAATGCGGTTCCGATGCAAGAATCTCAGTATCATTGAAGCATGAAGACCAAGGTGCTCTTTCGATTCAGAAAATATGTCAATAAAACCTGGAGAGACATAAAAGTTACTTCTGTTTTCTGTACCACCTACCTCACCCTACAGCAACCAAACATCACCCTCTCCCTCACCACAATATCTTATCACGATCAGCTGCATTTAAATCAGCTAATGAATCAGCTTGTAGAAGAGTTTTCCAAAAGAAATGGTGCAAGCTTAAGACATTTAAAACTTGACTAGGAAAAGCATAAACACACAAATATGTTTCCAGTCACTGGAACGATTTGGATGGGTTGACAAGTGTTATGATTCTAAATTCTCTATTTTGATGTCTCAGATTAAAAAGAACAGTTAAAAAGTTATTCAGTGACCAGCATTATGACTTTAACAGGGCTCCAGTGCATTTATTTTAATACTGATCTATCAGATTCGAATGCTAACTTGACTTGAACAGTGTGCTACATTGGTGGACAGAATCAGACACTCTCACTCTTCTGTTAGCCAGCATGAAAAGCCGCTTGTCTAGTCCTATTAATTACATCTACATTGAGCACTTCCTGAGAAGGATAATTACAATTATGAAGAAAATTAAGTGACTGATACATATTCCATTAAAGCCTTAGGAGGCTAAAGTCTGGAAAGTGACAGATGTTTCAAACATCTGAAATTTGGAAGATATGCAGAAGAAATTGTGATATACGTTATTCTTTTTACTTCCTCCAATGGATTACACATTAGAACATTAACTACCAGAACTCCAAACTCTTGCATATTAAAGTTTATAATGAATAGTTCAATTTTTTAGACACTTAACAGGATATGGCAGTTTGAGTTCTCTCTCTCTCTAATACCTTTACTATATTTACTTTAGGTGTGTACAAACTGAGCTACTATAAGCAGTATGAAAGCTAAAATTACTCATGAGTCATGATTATCTTTGAAGTAACTCAGGAAAATAAAACAAAGTAGAACCTCAGAGTTATGAACTGCAGAGTTCCGAACTCATCAGTTAACCATACACCTCATTTGGAACTGCAAGTACACAATCAGGCAGCAGCAAAGACACACAAAAAAAAGCAAATACAGTACTGCGTTTAATGTAAACTACTAAAAAAAGGGAAAGCAGCATTTTTTCCTCTATATAGTCAAGTTTCAAGCTGTATTAGGTCAACGTTCAATTGTAAACTTTTGAAACAACCACCATAACGTTTTGTTCGGAGTTCCGAACATTTCAGAATTACGAACAACCTCCATTCCTGAGATGTTCGTAACTCTGAGGTTCTACTGTATGCAAATGATGCACATCAATCAGGACTGAAAACAAAAATCAGAGAGTCAATGATAGTAGTTAATGGGTCCTTTTACTGCCTGTTATACAAAGAGGGTTGGGTGGTGAAAGCATGGATGACATGACTGCGGACCTAGTCAGATGGAGTGATAGATGAGGATATCTCAATTACCAAGTGTGATGCTGGCATTGCCAACTACATGACATTAGTCAGAAAAATCACTGTGATGGCCAAGTTCAATGAGGAACTTGTTTTCTCTCTGTGATTTAAACCATATAAATTAAGAAATTTCCCACTCACAATGAGGAAAAAAATGTATTAATGCAAGCTAGCTTGCTGGTAATTCTGGGAAATCATGAGTCTTCAAAAACTTCACTTCCATTTCTCATTTGAGGAAATGTTAACTACTTGGAGTGAAACCAGTTCAGGGAGAAGGATTTAGGACGAAAACCACTAAATTACATTGTTTATTGCAATAGCCTCCGTGGTGGTGGTGGCGGCAGCGGGGAAATGGGGAGGACATAAGAGGATGAGGAAACCACTCACCTGGAACAAGAGAGCAAGCCTGCAGCTGTCTGATTACATGACTAAGTTCCCCTTGAAGATTGGCTCCACTGGAGTTCTTGAGGGCCTCCAGCATGTTCTCCACATCCACAGTGCCATCTCCCTCAGCATCAAACTGTGCAAAGGCCTGCAAGAAAGAAGAATGAAGCAAGACTGGTATTTATTCCAAACAGAAAAAGAATGGCCGTATGCGATATACTGAACAAAAGAACATTCTAAAAGGATTTTAAAAAAAAAATCAACATTTCCTGCAAAACTAAATTCATGGCAACAGGAAATGTGACTTAGCTGATTACAGATGTCAATTAACTCTATGGCATGTGTGCGCCTCTCCCACAAAATCAATTAATGAGTTATATCTTAGGGCGATAACAGGCCATTTGCAACAGAGAGTCAGCAGGACAATTTAACATCTCCCAGCATCTCCTCCTAATAGGGTGGGTTCACAGGAAAACTCTGTCAATCTGTTACGAATAGGAGATCAAGTCAGCTCCCCACTGCCACAAAAATCTATCACTCACTATCACCACACCCAATTTACAGTTGGTGCCCTTCAAACCAGAAGGAACTTCTTGCAATAGTAAAGGTCTCAGAGATGTTCCCTATATTTAAGAAGGGAAATATTATTAGAACCAGAAGAAACTTTTTAAACTTCCACTATACACTGTGCTCCTAAACTAAGCATTACATCCAAATAAAGTTCGCAAAAATATCCACAAACAAGAAGATAATAAGTGTTTAGAAGATTCCATTTCTTATTCAAGCGACTTCCAGTCTCCCAGTATGTTGACCTTAGTGTACATGTATGCAAATTATAAATGTTTATATTAAATACTGTTCTTTATACACTTAAATCTTTATAACATATTAAACGCTCATCTCCAGCTCTTATTCTTCCCCAAAACACCAAAAAGCAGTTGTGTTCAACAAGGCGGCCTATAAAAAACAACAAATGCGGAATGTCTAAACTAAGCCATTTTAGAGACATAACAAACCAAAAAAAAAAAAAAAAAAAAGTTCTCTCCCTCTGCAAAAATCCAAACTATAGTTGCATTTTCATAAAATTAGAGCTTTAGAACTCTAACTTTTATCTAACTGCCCCCCAAAAGAACTAAACAAAAATAAAACCCAACTACTATGACTGGAAATGCAGCATGCAAAATGTCAGGAAGATCTGTTTCTCTTGAAATATGTAGAGGATTACCCTAACCTTAACTATGAAGAACTTAGCTGGGAGACCTACATATTTCAAAGTCAGTCAAAGCCAGTTTACACAAGTCTCCAGGTGCTTGTCTTATTTTTACAGTGTAGGAAATACAAGAAATCAAATTTAATGGGGGAGAGGATCTTTGTGTATGAATCCCTTGTTTTGTTGTTTGAATATCAAACTTAATATGCCTTTAAAAATAACATTAGAGCAGTGGTCACCAACCCATCCATCGAAATTGACTGGTCGATCCTGGAGCCTCTGCCAGTCGATCTTGATCTCCGGCCGCTAAAAGTTCGACAGCACAGCGGGGCTCAGGCCAGGAACTGGCCAATGGGAACTGCGGGGGAGGCACTTGTGGGCGCAGGCAGAGCACGGAGACCCGATGGCCCCATTCCCCCCAAGGGGCCGCAGAGGCATGCCATCAGCCAGCTGCTTTCAGGAGCGGCATGATGCCGGGACCAGGGCAGGCAAACTGGGAGCCACCTGTAGTAAGTGCCTCCCAGCCGGAGCCTGCACCTCGTACCCCCCTCCTGCATCCCAACCCTCAGCCCCAGTCCAGAGCCCCCTCCTGCATCAAATTCCCTCCCAGAGCCCACACCCCCTCATGGACCCTAACCCCTCCCCAGCCCGGAACCCCCTCCTGCACCAAACTTCCTCCCAGAGCCCACACCCCTCACCTTCTCCTGCACCCCAACACTCTGTCCCAGCCTGGAGCCCCCTCCTGCACCCAAACTCCCTCCCAGAGCTTGCACCCCTCACTCCTGCACCCCAATCCCCTGCCCCAGGCTCAGCCAATGCACACCCAACAGTTGAGACCATTACAGTGATTTGTGACCAATCCCTGAAGGATTTCGGATCTATAAACCAGAAATGACACTAATAAAAAGTAAAACTCATGAAATGTCCAATGGATTCTATGAGATTAGGTGCAGTGTGACCATATGACCCCTGCACCCAAACTCCCTCCCAGAGCTTGCACTCCAACCCACTGCCCCAGGCTCAGCTGAGAGCTCCCTGCCCACACTCCAAACCCCTTGGCCCCAGCCCAGAGTCTGCACCCCCTCCCGCACCCTAACCACCTGCCCCAGCCTGGTGAAAGTGAGTGAGGGGGGAATGGAGTGAGTGGAGTGGGGCCTCGGGGAGGGGGCAGGGTAGATCCTGGGTTGATCTTAAATTCAAAAAGTGATCTTGAGTGTAAAAATGTTGGAGACCACTGCATTAGAGAGAGGTCACTTGAAATAACTAGTTAGCTCAAGATAGCTAGCCAAGTAACCATTACCTACTTAAACTAGGTAAAAAGAAAAGGAGTACTTGTGGCACCTTGGAGACTAACCAATTTATTTGAGCATAAGCTTTCGTGAGCTACAGCTCACTTCATCGGATGCATAAAGTTCACTCAAATAAATTGGTTAGTCTCTAAGGTGCCACAAGTACTCCTTTTCTTTTTGCGAATACTGACTAACACTGCTGTTACTCTGAAACCTGTCATTAAACTAGGTAGACTTCAGAAGACAAAGCCTAAAATAAGGAGCCTAAAAGCCTTGACAGCATCTCTATGGCACATAGCCCAGTTTCAGTTGGAGTGTTAGAGATTTCAGTTTTTCCTACAGCTGAGAATGTGTTAGCAACAATGATCAAACACTGTTGCTAGCACAGTTTCAGTGGTAGTGAGGTTATGGCAGTAAGTGCAACAGCAAAGCAAGAAACTTAGAACTTTGTTGCTGAGTGGAACAATACAGTGGGAATTAACTTTATCAAACATTACTCAGATTGTCAAAACAGAGTTCAAAGTACAGTTCAGAGTCAACCAACTGTTATCTTAATAAGACTTTTTCTCCTGACCTTTGAAGTCAAAAGATAGTGTATCCTTATTAATACTGGGAGCAAGCAGTTTTTATGCTGTTAACAGGGCATGCCCTGAATATGAAGAATCAAACACACACCCTGAAATCACTTAATGACTCTTCCACCCAGCAGTAAACCTGGAATTATATTTGTAGCTTCCAGAATCCCATATAAGAATATGTTTAGCCCACTACTGTTTAAGAAGACACTTACAGCTCCTGAGAGTAATAGGCTTGATCTGCTGACAGCTATTCTATCTTAATTGCTTCAGGTAACAATATATAGGTGAGATTTTTAAATATATTTCTTGACGCTCTGATTTTTTTTTTTTTTTTTTTTACATCCTGCGGTCAGGTAATTTATTTCCATACAGACAACAAAAAAGATTCCCCCAGGAGTAGAGTTAAAGCAACCTTCTGCGTCCACATGGATCCTCATTTCAGGATCAAGGTATAAGTACCCTGAAGTAGGAGAGATGGGAAGGAAGGCAGAGAGCAGATTAGTCAGTTGAGAGTATGCATTAGCTTAATCTGTCCCTGGTCTTTTCTCAGGGAGAAGTGAGGGTGCTCCCTACTTCTCTGAGGGCAAACAGACCCCAAGACTCACTTAGTTGCTCCTAAAAAGAAAAGGAGTACTTGTGGCACCTTAGAGACTAACCAATTTATTTGAGCATGAGCTTTCGTGAGCTACAGCTCACTTCATCAGATGCATCTGATGAAGTGAGCTGTAGCTCACGAAAGCTCATGCTCAAATAAATTGGTTAGTCTCTAAGGTGCCACAAGTACTCCTTTTCTTTTTGCGAATACAGACTAACACGGCTGTTCCTCTGAAACCTGTTAGTTGCTCCTAGCTTCCCATCCTTCTTCAGCTCCCCCTCCCTTGGGACCCTTGCCCCAGGAACTGTGCCCCCTCAGCTGCTCCTCCCACACTCACTGTCCCCTCCCTCAGGGCATAGCCCTATGCCCACACCTCTCCCTTCCCCTGGAAACTGGCTCCCTTTCCCATCACACTGGCACCCCCAGGCTCCAATACCTCCCACCACTGGGGACCCTCTGCTTCCCCCCCCACCACCACCACTGGGGACCCTCTGCTTCTCCCCCCCCCCCAACCATTGGGGCTCCTGTGCTCCCTTGTGACCCACCACAAGCACAGGTTACCCTATGCTTCCCCACCCACTAGAGGGTACCCTATGTTCCCCCCTCTCACCCTGAATCCTTGCCTGCCCCTCCCCCAGAGGCCCTAACACAGCAGAGGAAACTAACCATGAGAGACATAGTCAGAGAACCCCGGCCCCTGGAGGAGAGGAACCTGCCTGTGCAGTGCTGCAAGTAAGAACTCTGCCTGGGGCATGCGCCACGAGAAGACCTCTGGTACAAAACTGGAGGGGGGTAGGTGCCCCCCTGCCCTCTCTAAATGGCACCCTGGCTAAGGCTCACAGCGGCTTCCCCACTGCTGTTTGTGTCAGCCCCATGCCTCTGCAGGGTGTGCATAGCAATGGAGGCAAGGGGTGTGCACTGAAACTGCCTCCCAGTGGGGAGTGCAGGCAACCGGCTGCACAGAGGTGGGAGACCACCCTGTAGCCCACCCCCTGGGACACAGATTTGGCAGTGAGGCTGCACCTGACCTGCCTATCCCAGTAACACCCCGGGGCCTGCCCCTCCCTGGCAGGTGCACCGCAATAGCAAGCAAGAGGGACAAAGTCTTGCACGCACGCCCAGTCCTGCCTCCTCCTCAGACAGTGATTTACATCTCTCCCAGCTGCCCGAACCGACATGCCCACTCAGAATGGCTGCCAGGGAGAGGCGCATGACTCCTCTCGTGGCTTATCTTTGCTTCCCCATCAGAATCTATTATTTTGCAAGGAAACAAACAAACAAAAAAATATCTTTGGGGGACATGAATTCTGTGCGTGCGCAGTGGTGCAGAATTCCCACAGGAATAGCACTAGGCATTCTTCCAATAATTTCCTATCTTTGCTACCACCAATTCCTCTCCACTAGAGATAGCAGCAACGAAAGTCCTAGTGTAAGTAGAGTACCCAGCAGTCGTAAGTGATTTAAATATCATCCATCTAACATTGCTCAATACAGGTCTAAAAAAAAGGGAAAATATCATGACAGCCTGTCTACACTAGTGCTACCATCATTGATAACAATACCAGATTTATATATTTGCAAAAAAACAAACAAAAAAAAACTTAGTGTAAACAAGGCCTAAGAATGGAGCAACTGCCGAAGAGGTCTCGGTTACTCACCAGATAAATTTCACTATTGGTTAGTAATTATATTTCTCAAGCCCTCTGTCAGTTCATTTACATTTAGAACACACAATACTTTCCAGTTAAAACTCCAGAGATGTGCCTTCAGCTGTACAGACTAGAAAGACTAGCTAGTTTCCATAGCCTAAGAGAAACCATCATTTCTAAAAAAAAAAAATCATATGATATAATTGTTTTGCCATTTTGGGTGGAGAGAAAGCATGACAACATCAGGAAGAAAGGCCACAGTGAGTGCTTGGCAGACCCACCTACTACACAGCTGGCTAGATGTATAAAGGTGGTGCTACAAATATCTGTGCAGCATTTCCTCTTATACCACTTCCTATTCTTCTCTGGCCTCTTCTGATCCTTCCAATCCCTACACTCCATAGTTCCTTATATGCTCCTCCGATTCTTCTCCCTCATTCCAGTGCCCTCATTGTCCCACCTGTTCCCTCCCATCACAGCTCCTCTAGCCCACACATAACCCCCAAATGCATCTGATGATCCCTAGCCCCTGGAACTACCTCTAATCCTACTGGCCCCCATAGTTACCCTAATGTTCCTACAATCCCCCATTGTCCGAACTCTTTCACTGCCTTTAATCCCTTCAACTCCTATTCCTCAGCCCCAGTCCTTCCGCCCACCACAACCTCCACTCAGCTAACATCCTCTATATCCCCAGTGTCACCACAACTTCCCCGTTTCCCTCACTAACCCCAATCATCACATGACTCCCCCCCATCCCCATACAACTCCCATCCCCGCTCCTGTGCACTCAGCTAGCTCCCAATGCCCCAAGCACCACTTTGTTACATAAACCTCTTCAGCCTTCCTCCATTCCTATTTCTCTCAGCCTATCCTGATCCTCCCACTGCCTGCACATCTCTTGAGCTCATCTCCCCCACTGCAGCACCCTCAACACTGATCTCCATCTGGTTACTTCAGACCCCCCCCCCCCGATCAGTCACTCCCTCCCCACCCCTCCCTCATCCCACCCCCACATCCATCCCTGCCTTCCCACCCCACCCCCCCCCCCCCCCCCCCCTCCCTGCCTTCCCACCCACCCCGACACCTCCCTCCCCGCACCCCTCCTCCCACCCATCCCTCCCTCCCCCTCCCCCACCCCCCCCACCCCGCCGATCAGTCACTCCCTCCCCAGCTCACTCCCCCCCCTCATCCCACCCCCCCCCTCCACCCATCAGTCACTCCCTCCCCACCTCCCCCTCACCCCCCCCCCCCCCCCCCCCCCCCCCCCCATCCCCCCACATCCGTCCCTGCCTTCCCACCCCCCCCCTCCCCCCATCAGTCACTCCCTCCCCACCTACCCCCTCATCCCGCCCCCCAGTCACTCCATCCCCCCTCATCCCGCCCCCACACCCGTCCCTGCCTTCCCACCCCACCCCTCCCCCCCGATCAGTCACTCCCTCCCCACCTACCCCCTCATCCCGCCCCCCCAGTCACTCCATCCCCCCTCATCCCGCCCCCACACCCGTCCCTGCCTTCCCACCCCACCCCTCCCCCCGATCAGTCACTCCCTCCCCACCTACCCCCTCATCCCGCCCCTCCCCGCCCTCACCTCCTCGCTCTCGCTGCGGGCCCCGGCCGCCGGCCCCGAGGCGCGGCTCTCCAGCACCTCGCAGAACTGCTCCAGGCTGACGGCCTCCTCGCCGCGGCCCAGCCGCTCCTCCAGCCAGCGCACCAGGGTGCTGTGGCGGCGGGACACCAGCGACTCGGGCAGGGCGGCCTCCCGCAGCCGGGCCGTGGCCTCCCGCAGCCGGGCCTGCTCCAGCAGCACCGTGGCCGGCGGCAGCGGAGGGTGCGGGCCCAGCCCAGCCCAGGAGGCAGCCCCGGGCTGCTCGGCTGCCGCCGTCCCTTCCATCTCCTCCTCGGCCGCCTCCTCCCCCATCTCGCTGCTGTGGCTCGCCACGTTCCCCATGGACCAGGAGCGCTGTTGCCGGCGGCGCCCTCAGGCCTCGCGCAGCCGCCGCCTCCGACCGACCCGGCTTAGTCAGCAACCTCCCCCGGCCGCCCGACACCTGTCAATCCCGGAGGGAGGGGAGTCACACAGCCGCCAAGCGACAGTCGGCGTCGTAAAACCACCACCCCGTCGGCGTTTTTACCAAATTACCGTAAAGCGAGGGGCGTCCTCGGGGTGAAGGCGGCGCCGTTGCCACACTGCCGTAATTTGACGAGTGCGGTCGTCGTGACATAACCAGCGGCACCGCGCTGCCGTTCTTTTTGGCCGCGCCACCGTAAAGCGACACAAGCGTCGTAAAAGCTAAGGCAAAAAGTACTGGCCCGCGGGCAAAATGGCGGCTGTACGCACCCTTCAAGAAACGGGGTGAGGCCAGCTGCCGTTCCCGCCATTTTGATTACGGGCGGCTACAGCCCTTTCAAGGCAGGCTTCGATGGGGCTAGGGGGGGCTCGTGGTTCCCGCGCTGGGCGTGGCTGCTGCCTGGCTGCTAGCTCTCGGGCTCGATCCCAGCTCCTGGCCGCTCCCTTTCTTCTCCGGGCGGGGCCGGCTGCTAAGCCCCGCCGAGCTCGCGCGTTACACGGGCGCGCAGGGCGGCCCCGGCCTCTACCTGGCGGTGCTGGGGCAGGTGTTCGACGTGCGCCGGGGGCACAAGCACTACGGGCCGGGGGGGGCCTACAGTGTCTTCGCAGGTATCCCCTGTCGGCGCGGGATCCCGGGGAGAGCACCCCATGCCACTGGGTTTTGTCCCCGTCGTCCCCCCCGCGTCCCCCGTGGGGCAGGGCCAGAGCCCCGCTGCTCCTGCTGGCGGCAGGGTTGGAGCCAGCTCACCCCCCGCAGTCCCGTATGGATCCCGTAGCCGGGGGCAGGTAGGTTGTTGGCCTCTTTGGCTGAAACGGGGGGCAAGGGGCGCGCTGTGGATTACAGAGCGGATCCTTAGCTAGTCTCGGGGGTCCGTCTGCGCACCCACGAGCCGAAGCCTATCCCAGCTGGATACTCATCATGCCTGTCCTACAGGGAAAGATGCCTCCAGGGCTTTTGTGACGGGAGATTTCACCCCCACCGGCCTTGTGGATGATGTTTCTGGGTTATCTCCATCAGAAATGTTGACGATACAAAACTGGCTCTCTTTCTACGGCGAGAACTACGTTTGTGTTGGTACGTGATCTGTAGCATAGCAGAGTAAAGTAATATAGCAGCATACCTGGCTTAATCCTCAGAAGCCTTGTTTGGTTTATATAATCAACGCTTAATACTGTAATACTGTAGCAGATGAGCAGGGACACACTTGCATCCATACAGTAATGGGCCGGCCAATTGTCTCGCTTCTCTAGCTGTGTTGTTATTCCAAGGAAAGCATTCTTTTAGTATTGCAAAGTTACAGTTTGGGCTACCACATGCAAAGCAACAAAAAATTCCCTTTGAAGCAGGTAGGACAGTAATGTGATCCATATCAGTAGTGAATACAGAGAGCTAAAAGCTGCACCAAACTCTTTTAATTCCTGAATTGTAACATGCCACAGAAAGTAGAAGAGAGTGATGTACCAAAAGTCTGTTTGTAGTTTAGAAGAATATACCAAATTTGCTGATTATTCCTCCTAAGAAGCTTGTAACAGGTGGGAGAGAGAGAGAGAGTTGAAGGAAAATGGGTATGTTTGAGTCCCAGTCTTATAAACATGCATCTGAATAATCCTGTTGAGTTCAGTGAGACTGTTTGCTCACAGCAAACATATTTTATCTTGGACCTGTTTACACTTAGCCAGGAATACATGATGGAACTCAACCATGACTCTTGTATTTGTGACTAAAGGAATTAGGCAAGAGGATTGACCTTTTCATTTAGATAAACTAGAGCTTCCCTGAGCTGTTGGCTGATAATGTAGACTGACTTCTGTAACCTTACCTTCACACACAACAATTGTAAACCTGGTTTTTATTTCTGATCAATTCATCTTTTTTCACACTGGACATAGTGACTTATGTTCTCAAAGTATCTGAAATTTCCTGTGTTCCAGAAATTTGTCCCATTGACACCAGGATCCACTATGTGTACATCCATCTTACTCTGTACATTAGCCAAGTAATTGGGTTTGGGGAGCATTGCAACAAGAGGGGAATTAAATGAGGAGTGTAAATTTTATTTTCTACTGCTACACAAATGTGATAAAATTGCAACCGTAAGAATAGTCTGACAGAAATCTATTTGGCATTTCAGGAGCAGTATTGTGAGAAAACACTGTATAATGTGGGAAGCAGTGTTGTCTAGTGGTTAGATAAGAGGACTGATTGTTAAGACTCTTGGATTCTATTGCTGATCTTCAGTGTGTGATTTAACATCTGTGCCAGTTTCTCCATCTGTAAAATAGGCTTAATTCATCATCTCCATCATGTCTATATGTTAATGTTTGTAAAATGTTTTGAGATTCCTGGTCAGAAGGGACTAAGTTGTGGACACTTAATTATGTTATTTCTAAAACAATATATGTGGGATTTCCCAAAGCAGCACTTACATAATACAGTATGCTGGTTTTGATAGGGTTCCTAGAGCTTTTTGAGGCATTTTTAAAAAAAATGCTACGGTCTTAGTGGCTCTTTTTGTTCCCTCAAAAGGCAAACTGGTAGGAAGATTCTATGATGAAAATGGGGCCCCCACAAAAGCTCTGGAACAGGCCAAGGCTGTCATCGAAGAAGTGCTGAAGTTCAATGGACAAAACGATGAGAAGAAGCAGTTCCCTCCCTGTAACTCTGAATGGAGCTCAACCAGTGGCAGCAGATTCTGGTGTTCCAAACAAAGGTAAACATTGCCTTCCTGCTGGTGTGGTCGGACTCTGCAGCGCCAAGCACCTTCACATCTCTGATCTGAGATCTTATCTACGCTGGTCTAAGTACCACAGACAGTTTTGGCACAGATCCGGCGGAAATCATTTTTGGTGTGGTTTGGCCAGGCAGCAAAGATGATTGTTTTGTATAAGTGTGTGGCCTTGGGTAAGCCACTTAACCTCTTATCCCCATCCGACAGATGAGATAGCTAAGTAAACTATAGCAGAGGGAGAACTCTGCTATAGCTAAGAACTCCTTTCTGTTTGCAGGTTGATGCTAAGTGCTCTAAAACCTGCAAGGGGTTACTTGGATCCTCCCTACATTCTCCCCTCCCCTGTTCCTTGAGGTGGGGGGTCTGAGCCCCTTTCCCTGCTCCCTTCATGTGAGTTGAGACCAGCGGGTCCCTGTGCCTCTTGGGGAAGTGGGCTGAGCTTCTTTCCTTGAAACTTGAAATAGCTTAACTCGTCCATTCCTAATTCTAAGAAGTTTTTGAGTTTTGCTGAACTCCCATTCTGGATGGGCTGAGATAACACAGAATTAAGGGTGCCCAATTGTAGCAAAGCTTTTTTGTCAGTGAATTATATCTAACACGCAGGAGTGTTGCAAGTATTGCTCAGCAAGGCCCTCGTACAGCACTGTGGAAGTCAGAGCCTTCTAAGTACTTGCTCACTCTGGCAAGCCTCAGCTTAGTAGAATGGGTAGGAATTCTGTATTAGCATTAACATAGCCTGGGAAGTGGTATCTTCAGAAACCATAAACTGTTTATCCTAACTACTATTCTGTTGGGGCTTTTTACCTAAAGATAGCAGTCTGAGTAGGCAAGTTGATACCTGTGCGTGAGCAGCAATTCCGACAACTGAAACCAGTTGCAATCTGATCTGATAGAAGCATTAGTACAAAATGAAGGTTGCAGTTTCCTAGCAGTTCTGCCCATGTAGTGAATGTTGGAGACGGTATCTGTCTGATAAAATTCATTTGAAGTTTGGCAGATGTAACCAGCATGAACTGCATTCTAATAAAAATCAGCAGAGAAACAAACACTGCCACAGATACCAGAGCCAAAGGGCAAGACACATTTTTCTCTATTTACAGAAATGTACACATGGCCCTTAAGCACTTGATTTTTAAATTAAAAAAACAACAAAAAAACCAATTCTTAGTTGGTGACAGTACTCTACTATGGCCCTGATCCAACAGCACATTTAAGTATGTGCTTAACGTTAAGCATATGAGAACATAAGAATGGCCATACTAGGTCAGACCAAAGGTCCATCTAGCCCAGTATCCTGTCTTCTGACAATGGCCAATGCCAGGTGCCTGAGATGGAATGAATAGAATGGGTAATCATCAAGTGATCCATCTCCTGTCACCCATTTCCAGCTTCTGGCAAAGAGAGGTTAGGGACAGCATCCCTGCCCATCCTGGCTCATAGCTATTGATGGACCTATCCTCCATGAATTTATCTAGTTCTTTTTTGAACCCTGTTATAGTCTTGGCCTACGCAACATCCTCTGGCAAGTAGTTTCACAGATTGACTGTGTGTTGTGTGAAAAAATACTTAGTTTTGTTTTAAACCTGCTGCCTGTTAATTTCATTGGGTGACCCCTAGTTTTTGTGTTATGAGAGAGTAAATAACACTTTTTCTTTTAAATTTACTTTCTCCACACCAGTCATGCTTTTATAGACCTCTATCCTATTCCCCCCCCTTAGTCGTCTCTTTTCCACACTGAAAAGTCCCAGTCTTATTAATCTGTCCTCATATGGAAGCCATTCCATACCCCTAATCATTTTTGTTGCCCCTTTTCTGAACCTTTTCCAATTCCAATCTACCTTTTTTTTTGAGATGTGGTGACCACATCTGCATGCAATATTCAAGATGTGGGCGTACCATGGATTTATATAGCAGCAATATGATATTTTCCATCTTATTATCTATCCCTTTCTTAATGGTTCCCAACATTCTGTCTGCTTTTTTGATTGCACATTGAGTGGATGATTTCAGAGAACTATCCACAATAACTCCAAGATCTTTCTTGAGTGGTAACAGCTAATTTAGACCATCATTTTATATGTATAGTTGGGATTATTTTCCAATGTGCATTCCTTTGCATTTATCAACATTGAATGTCATCTGCCATTTTGTTGCCCATTCACCCAGTTTTGTGAGATCCTTCTGTAGCTCTTCACAGTCTACTTGGGACTTAACTATCTTGAGTAGTTTTTTATCATCTGCAAATTTTACCCCCTCACTATTTACCCCTTTTTCCAGATCACTTATGAATATATTGAATAAGACTGGTCCCAGTACAGACCCATAGGGGACACCACTATTTACCTCTCTCCATTCTGAAAACTGGACCATTTCTTCCTACTCTTTGTTTCCTATCTTTTAACCAGTTACCAGTTCATGAGAGGACCTTCCCTCTTATCCCATGACAGCTTACTTTGCTTAACAGCCTTTGTTGAAGGACCTCGTCAAAGGCTTTCTGAAAATCTAAGTACACTGGATCCCCCTTGTCCAGATGCTTGTTGACCCCCTCAAAGAATTCTAGTAGATGGATGAGGCATGATTTCCCTTTACAAAAACTGTTATCTCCTCCCCAACAAATTATGTTCATCTATGTGTCTGACACTTTTGTTCTTTACTTTTGTTCTTTACAGTTTGCCCAGTACTGAAGTGAGGCTTACCGGCCTGTAATTGGGGATCATCTCTGGAGCCCTTTTAAAAAATTGGCATCACATTAGCTAGCATCCAGTCATTCGGTACAGAAGCTGATTTAAATAGGTTACAAATAAGGCTACAAGTTTGTCACGGAGATCACGGGTTCTGTACCTTTCCGTGACTTCTGCAGCGGGCGGCGTGCCTGGCTCAGGGGAAGCTCAGGCAGCCCCTGTGCCAGGCGCGCTAGCCGCCGCTGGGGCAGTCTCGTGCCCCCAGCGCCCACCCTCTCAGCCAGCAGCAGAGTTTGGGTGTGGGAGGAGGCAGGGGGTTGGAGCACAGGACAGGGTGAGGTGGGCTCTTGGTGGTGCTTACCTGGGGGCAGGGGGGGCTCCTCAGAAGCAGCGACATCCCCCTCGCTCAGCTGTGAGCTGCCTCTGCCCAAAGCACTGGCTTCGCAGCTCCCACTGGCCAGGAACCAGAACCAATGGGAATTGCTGGGGTGGTGCCTGCAGGCAGAGGCAGCACACAGAGCTGCTTGGCCATGCCTCTGCCTAGCAGTTGAGCGTGGGGGATGTCACCCCTTCTGGAGAGCCCCTCAGGTAAGCACCGCCCAGAGCCCACCTCACCTGGTCCCATGCCCCAACCCTCTGCCTCTCCCACACCCAAACTCTGTTGCTGCTGCAGGGGGGAGGCATGGAGCTAGGTAGGGAGCCTGCTGGGCCTGCCATCCTTGCCCTAGCACTAGTGGGGGGGGCCCTGGCTATGCGCTGCTGCCCATCGTCCCCCAGCACCCGCTGGGCCCCTGGGAAGCCGTTCCTGCCCCCAATTTTTTTTCATTGGTATTTTTAGTAAAAGTCATAGATAAGTCACGGGCCGGGAATTTTTGTTTACTGCCCGTGATCTGTCCGTGACTTTTACTTAAAATACCTGTGACTAAACATAGCTTTAGTTACAAACTAGTTAGTAGTTCTGCAATTTCACATTTGGGTTCCTTCAGAACTCTTGGGTGAATACCATCTCGTCCTGGTGACTTATTAGTGTTTAGTTCATCAATTTGTTCCAAAACTCCTCTAATGACACTTCAGTCTGGGACAGTTCCTCAGATTTGTCACCAAAAAGAATGGCTCAGGTTTAGGAATCTTCCTCACAGCCTCATCTGTGAAGACGGATGCGAAGAATTGATTTAGTTTCTCCACAATGGCCTTATTGTCCTTGAGTGCTCCTTTAGCATCTTGATGGTCCAGTGGCCCTACTGGTTGTTTAGCAGGTTTCCTGCTTCTGCTGTATTTTTTTTAAAAAAACCCTGCTATTACTTTTTGAGTCTTTGGCTAGCTGTTCTTCAAATTCTTTTTTGGCCTTCCTAATTATATTTTTACACTTCATTTGCCAGAGTTTATGCTCCTTTCTATTTTTCCTCACTAGGATTTAATTTCCACTTTTTAAAGGATGCCTTTTTGCCTCACTGCTTCTTTTACTCTGATGTTTAGCCACGGTGGCACTTTTTTGGTTCTCTTACTATGTTTTTTAATTTGGGGTATTTATTGAAGTTGAGCCTCTACTATGGTGTCTTTAAAAAGTTTCCATTCAACTTGTAGGGATTTCACTTTTGGCACTTTACCTTTTAATTTCTGTTTCACTAACTTCCTCATTTTTGTGTAGTCCCCCTTTCTGAAAATAAATGCTAGTGTTGAGTTGCTGTGGTGTTTTCCCTGCCACAGGGATGTTAAATTTAATTATATTATAGTCCAGCTATATTCACCTCTTGGATCAGATCCTGTGCTCCACTAAAGACTTAATCAAGAATTGCCTCTCTTGTGGGCTCCAGGACTAGCTGCTCCAAGAAGCAGTCATTTAAGGTGTCAAGAAACTTTATCTGCATCCTGTCCTGAGATGACATGTATGCAGGCAATAGGGGATAGTTGATTTTTTTTTTTTTTTTTAATTTATAGCCTCTCTCATCTCCCTGAGCATTTCACAGTCACTATCACCATCCTGGTCAGGTGGTCAGTAATATAGCTCTACTGCTATATTCTTATTATTAGAGCATGGAATTACTATCCATAGAGATTCTGTGGTACAGTTCGGTTCATTTAAGATTACTTCATGTGATTCTACGCTTTCTTTCACATATAGTGCCACTCCCCCACCAGCACAACCTGTTCTGTCCTCCTGATGTATTTTGTACCTTGGTATTACTGTGTCCCATGGATTATCCTCATTCCACCAAGTTTCTGTGATGCCTATTAGATCAATATCCTCATTTAATAGGAGGTACTCTAGTTCACCCATCTTGGTATTTAGACTTCTACCATTTGTATATATGCACTTTAAAAACTTGTCACTTTTTAGCTGTCTGCCATTACATGATGATATTGAACGGGTTCTCTTTAATTTGACTATTTCTCATCAGATCCTACCCATATTTTATCATCTTCCATCCTCTCCTCCTTCCTAGGACACAGAGAATCTCCATTCTAGAACCTCCCCTAAGGGATGTCTCTGTCTGAACCATGTGCCTCCTCCACACCTCTTGGCTTTCTCCCAGCCCTTAGTTTAAAAACTGTTTTACAACCTTTTTAATTAAGTGCCAGCAATCTGGTTCTCCCTTTAGGTAGAGCCTATTCTTCTTGTATCAGCTCTCCCTTTCCCAACATTTCCCTCAGTTCCTATTAAATCTAAACCCTTCCTCCCTATACTATCGTGTCTTATCCATGCATGGAGTAGTTTGAGACTTCAGTAGAATAGGTTGTATGCTTAAAAGTTAAGCTAGGAGGAGTTGCAAGCACTTCAGAAAATAGGATTAGCATTCAAAATCATCTCGACAAACTGGAGAAATGTCTGAATTAAATAGGATGAAATTCAGTAAGGACAAATGCAAAGTACTCCACATAATTATCAATTGTACAAATACAAAATGAGAAATGACTGCCTAGGAAAGAGTATTGCAGAAAAGAGTCTGGTGGTTACAGTAGATTAAACTAAATATAAATCAACAATGTAACAGGGTTGGGGAAAAAAAAACCTATAATTCTGGGATGTATTAGCAGCAGTGTCTTTAGCAAGACATAAGAAGTAATTCTTCTGCTTTACTCCACACTGATAAGGCCTCAACTGGAGTACTAAGTCCAGTTGAGATAAAATGGACAAATTGGAGAAAGTTCTATGGAGAGCCACAAAAATGATTAGAGGTCTATATGAGGAAATATTGAAAAGAAGGGGTTTGTTTAGCCTGGAGGAGAGAAGACTGAGGAGGACATAAGTCTTCAAGTATGTAAAAGTTTTTATCAAGAGGAGGGTACTTGTCCTGTCCTCAGTAGTCAAGGAAAACAAGAAGTAATAGGCTTAAATTGCAGCAAGGGAGATTTAACATAGACATTAGGGGAAACTTCCTAACTGTAAGGGTAGTTAAGAACTGGAACATATTACCTAGGGATGTTATGTAATCTCAGTCACACTGGAGATTTTTAAGAACATGTTATCTCAATCATCCCGGATGAGTGTTTGTTTGTCTAATACTTCAGGCCGGTCTACACTAAAAATTAAGTCAACTTAAGTTGATGTACAGCTACCACAGTAATTAAAACCATGGCTCGTGCACACTGTGCTGCTTCTGTCAGCTGTGTGCATCCCCACCAGGAGTGCTTCCACTGACTGAAGTGGGGCATTGTGGGGCACTGACAGCCGGAGCCCTACCTGGGGACTGACAGCTAACAAGCAATGGAAGTAACACAGGGAATACATGGACCCTGTTGCCCTAATTCCATTGGCCTAAGTCAGAACTCTTTCAGAAGTGGAGTCATGTTGATGTTCTGGGTGACTTACAGTAGCAGGAGCACCATTGTAGTGTAGACAGTTAGGTAGATGTAAGCTGCCTTATGTTGACCTAGCTCTGGAGTGTAGAGTAGGCTTCAGTCCCATATTAGTGCTGGGGCCTGAACTAGATGACCTATTGAGGTTCTTTCCCCATCCTACATTTCTAGGATTCTCTATATTCCAGTGTGCTGTTGAATTGAGGCCCATAGCATTTTCCTGAGGGTAATGTTTAGACACAATACTGATGGTGTACAGTGCATTCAGCTCCTGTTTAAAAAAACACAGCTGTTAAGGAACTATGCATCTTGCAGTACCAGGCCTGAGAAGAGGCAATAGTATATTAAGTTGACCTTTTCTTTAGTAACTTCAGCACTAGTCCTACAGGAGTCCATGGTATACATAATAAAAGGCATTGTTTTATTGCAAGAGAGTTTATCCACAAGAATATGAAAGGTGGGGAGGGGTGTCTGCTGTTTATGATATGATAGAAGTATATAAAATCTTAAGTGGTGTGGCAAAAGTGAATAAGGAAAAGTTATGTACTTGTTCCCATAATATAACTAGGGGCCACCAAATGAAATTAATTGGTAGCAGGTTTTAAACAACTAAAAGGAAGTTCTTCACTCAACATGCACTCAACCTGTGGAATGTCTTGCAGGAGGAGATTGTGATGGCTAGGACTATATAATGGGTTTAAAAGAGAACTGGATAAATTCATGGAGGTTAAGTCCATTAATGGCTATTAGCCAGGATAGGTAAGGAATGGTATCCCTAGCCTCTGTTTGTCAGAGGGTGGAGATGGATGGCAGGAGAGAGATCACTAGATCATTACTTGTTAAGTTCACTCCCTCTGGGGCACCTGGCATTGGCCACTGTCAGGAGACAGGATACTGGGCTGGATGGACCTTTGGTCTGACCCAGTATGGCTATTCTTGTGGTGTTTGGGGGGATTTTAAGAAATGGAGAAATAAAGGATGAATGTTAGTCATTTGCTCTTCGCTGGGTGAGAGTACCCAGAGTGAAACTTACTTTACAGGGCCCAGCCAACAACTTGTTGCTCAGTAGGTCCAACAAAAGTTACCAGAAAGCTTGTGGATGCTGGATAATAAGGTTGCTGGCTTCTGGAAACGCTTAGCCCAGGTTTCACTGTATGTGTAATTGCCCCCCACCCCTCCTTCAGAAGGGTCTCCCACTCAGCTGAGGGTGGGAAATATAGGTTGATTTAAACTGTTAACTTGTATTTGATCATACTCTTCTGTCCCTAGTGGGGGAGTAAACAGAGACTGGATTGGAGTCCCCAGGAAGCTGTACAAGCCTGGTTCCAGGGACAGTCAGTGTGTGTGTGTAAGAACTACTGGACCTCCCTCTGGACAATTGGATTCTGAGCACAGTGACAGAGGTGACTTGGACAATCCTAACTTGCAAGAATACAAGGGATGCTATACACTAGCTGAGTGGTGTGTGTTAAAAGATTAAGGGGAATAGCCACCTTGGACTGGATATGCATTTATTGTCCTAAAATGAAATAGTTGATTAGGTACAATAAAAAAAATGCATGTTTTGAGCTTCACAGTAGATTCTCTGGTATCTAAGACTGGGGAGACTTAAACAGGAATCAGTTTGTATAAATTATACTTGAGTATATATAAACACCATGCAAAAATGCCAGTATAAGCAATGGAAATGTGAGAGAGGGAGTATGGTAAGGAAAATGTTAAAGCAGAAAATCATCTTTGCTGATAGCTGTTTCTGTAGCTTGTTGGTGGTGCATTGGTACTTTTGTCAAGGAAAAAATTTTTCTTCTGCAATCAAGAAGTAGACGTATGTAGGGAAGGGTGCTGGTGGGTGTACTAGCTCATGTGGGGAGAGTTCTGAGCTAGCACACCACGACACTGCAGACCCATTGTCACTGACAAGCAGACAAACCAGCCCACCTCTTCTGTCCCCTCACAACATGGCTGCTCTTACACCAGAGTTGTGCTAATGCTTACTAATCTTCACATACCACCACCAACTTGCTGAGAAATGACTTAGCACTGTAAAGGCTTCAGTTACTTCTGTAGTCATGCTATTAAACATCTACTAGCCTGTATGATTTAAACTATCCAAAAGCTACACTTGTCAAATGAACCCAGGACACTAGGTAATACGTTATCAGTGTTTCTTCAATTAGTGTTTCCACCATTCTTTGGGTATAGGAAACATTAAGGTATACCCAGACCTTCTCTATCCTCTCCCTCCAAATGCTTCTTATGACTTGCTATTTCCATAATACTTACAAGCCATGAGTCACCTGTTCTAACTGAGCCATGAAAGTGATCCACAGGCAGGTAACTGACTTCTATAATCCATCTTTCCTCCTCCTCCCTTACTCTCATTTACTACTGCTACATGGTGCATTGTCTCTAATTAGATTGTAAAGTCTTTAGGGCAGAAATCAGGTCTTCGAAAAGACCCAACCCATGTAGTGTTCTAATTTGCAAAATCCAATAGTGTTGTGTGTTGCCTAAATACTAATGCAAATTACTACTGTTATTCTGTGCAGGGCTACTCTGTACAAATTAGTGCATTAAACTGTTTTACAAAAGAAGAAAACTTCCTGTCTCCCTTGCCCAGTTCTTTCCCCTCCACCACAAAATAGTTAACTAGTGCAAATCACTCCTGACTGAGCAGAAGACAGCAAAGCAGTATTCAAGAACTCACTTAAGGAACATGCTATGTACCCCCCAAGATTTAGAGCTAGCACACCAGGTTCACTATAGGCTGGCTTTTTTAAATGGTGTACAGCAACAAATATGGTTGTGGTTTATAAATTTATTAAAGGTTGTTTTTCTAGTTGTGTTGCCTCTAAGTTTTATGGTACTTCTGTCTTGTAGACTTGAAGCTTCCAATAAGCTTCTTGCCACCTACCAAAGCGTCTATTGGGAAACTGAAGTTACTACACCTTCAGTCTGCTGGACTGGAAACAAGTAGCTGAAACTACCTTGTTTATCTGTTACAGGGGCAAAACTCTTAGGATATGGCTCTGAAACATCTTATGGTGCTGAATGTAGCCCTAGATTTTTAAATTTATGATGTGCCCAAATTAGACTTCAGTATAACAAGCTTTGCAAAATCTTCACTAAACTGCAAATGACAATAGACAGTCATGGTCCTTGTAGTGATGAGTACTATGATGCAGTCTCCCTGAAAATGGCAGTCTACCATTGGAAAAAAAAGATTGCCATTGTCCCCTTGAAGCAGGATAATCCTCTTTACTAGGCCTAGGACAGTAACACAAAATGAAAACAAAATGCTTCAAAAGGAATTTCCACATTTTGCATTTTCTGCCATTTGTCACAAGATTTCTGGTGCACCTTTCAAACAAAGGACACTTCAGATGTTGGGGGACTGAAGGTAACTTTAGATTGTAATGTCCAGATAAGAGTAATTCATTTTCTCCCATGACCCACAGAATGTGAACTGTATATAGTGGACAACTGAAATACAGACAGGCTATCCAAAACATTACATACTGTAACAGTGAGTTACTTATATTGCTTGCCTTTTTCATGGTAGCTGTATCGAGGTGTCTAATGGCAGACTGTTGTACTGAGATTTTCATTTCAGTCTCAAGGAAATGTTTTGCAGAAGATAAGCAGCTCAAGCTGATGGGGTGAAATAAACCTGCAAGCCTCTTCCTGGGTTGACTGATAGCAGCAGGTCCCAGTGGGGACTAGGTTATTAACCCAGTGCAGTATAATTGCATGCTAGGAAGCCTATGGCATTTCATTATATCATTGCCCAAAAAAAAAAAAAAGGGGGGGGGGAGTTGGTTTGCAGCAGAAAGCCACTTCTTACACCCCAGTAGAACTGTGTTAATCTTTGCCCCACCCCCAGGGGCAACTAACAAGAAACAGGACTGGAGATAGTGTGGAAGCAGGCTTCCAAAAAGGTACAGCTAGAGGACAGATCTGTTCAACAAAATGAACAAGGCAGACAGTAAATCCCTAATGCTGAACACCTGACTAAACCTTGAAACCTACACATTACTGTAGGAGTCCTCAGCTGTACAGCCCTTCCTGCTTTTAGAGAGCAGAAATAATCAGATTCCTTAAGAGCCTTAGTATTATATCCTAGTGACAACTGAGGACAGGAGTGAGATTAATAACCAGTTAATTAAGTGCCACAAAAGAACAGGAATTGTATAAAGAAAGGAAGCAGTAAGATCCTTTCAAGTACTTTGCAATAGTTCTTCAGGGGAAAACTGTGGCCTAAGGCTGAGTTGATCAATTAAAAACAAAAAACCCACAGATTTTAACTAGAGGCAGACAGACATTTCATCTGAGTGTAGGTTGGAGGCTGCTGAGTGCACTATGAAATCTGTAATAGCTAGCTTAGAAATTGCATCATGAATCAGACATCTGGTTTTCAACCAGACAACTTGGTCTAAAAGGGACCCTCCCCCAGCCTGGTGAAAGTGAGCACAGGTGGGGGAGAGTGAGCAACAAAGGGAGGGGATGGAGTGAGTGGGGTAGGGCAAAGGTGTCAGTTAGAAAGTTGGCAACCCTAATGATACATACCAAAAATCAGATATCCATTCAAGAGAGAGTGTTCATATTGGAGGTGAAAGGAGTGACACTATACTCTTGGGAACCAATGCTCAGCTACTGTAAAGTGGCAGAACACCAACAGTGAGCAAGAATTCACTAGATGAAGGTGGTTAGTAGTCATTGAATATCCTCCACTCTCGGGGGTGGGGAGAGGAAGAGGGAGGTATTGAGAATAGCACTTTCACTTCAGTTATGCACATACTATTTACAACAAGGAGGGTTTAGTATTTGCAGTGTTCTACCCACCTGAATTATCTAGCCTGATGCTTGGACTACAGCAAACAAAGTTAGCTTAACAGGTTACTTCCGTGGAGGCTGTAGCATTCTACAGCTGAGGGCTTGGTTAACATTCCAGGAAGGATAATGGGAATTCATCAGGATGATAAAGCAAGGAGCACTTAGATACACTCTATATTATATTATTCTGCAGGGTAGCATATAGTTCAGGGAATTACTTCCATAATCAGATGGATCAATGGTAACAAAGTATAGTTCTTCAATGAAGTTCATAACATCTCAATTAGTGATTTTTAGCAAATATTTATTGTTAAAACATATGCATCACAAATAATCCTAGCAAAATGCTTTTGGCTGGTTTTACAGGTACTCCGGAGCTTCCCTTTTTGAAGTAAAGCTGCACAGATTAGACGACACTTAAAAGTGGCATCTGCCAAGTGTAACAGGACTTTGCACTCATGGTTTTGCTTATTTCCTTTCAATTAACTTCCAACTCTACTACATTTAATGCATCTGAAGTTAAAAATTGGTTTGGGAAAAACACTGATTGAAGGTCCAGACCTGGGCAGTACAGGAAATCAGAACTACACAGGAATGACTGCAGCCAAGCCTATTGAAAGGGGTTTGATGAGTGCATAATTTGATATCCATTAGGAGTACAGCAGAGTCAGTCTGCCAAAATAATGCTAGTTAAGCAATTATACAAGAATTTTACAATACATGATGTCTGGAATAATCACTATTTGGTTAAGATAATCATTTACAAAACAGAAGGTAAGTGGAAATATAATTAAATCTTTCTCCCAGGGTTTACTGGTAATAAACATTTTCCTTCTTGCTTGGAAACTGACTTAGGGTATAAGACTTCTCTTACTACACTTTGTCATTACTGATGCAATAGAGGATGCATTTTTGTATCCAGGTTTATAGCCCTGGATGTATTTTATCTAGTTATCCTCAGTTTACTACAAGGATTCATTAGAGTAGGAATATTGCAAAGATACATTTTTAGAATGGACTGAACAGAAAATGCCATTGTTCTAAGACTTTATTTCAGAAACAGCAAAAAGTTTCACATTATAGTTTGACCACCAGTAAACTTCGAATGATTTTACTTTTACACCTCAGTAAGACACGCAACAGTAAATTTGTTGCAATATCCAGGTCTGCAGCAAAGTGTTGTTAAGAGGGGAAATTCATCAAAATATAAACTACACTTGGTCTACAAAAAAACTCCCTATGTTCATGTGTTATACTGCGGATCTTATATATGCTACGTGACAAGGAAGTTGTAGAAGCCACTGGTCTCCATACAGGAAGTCTTTAAGGCATCTGTAAACTTGTAGCAAGTTAATTAGTAATGCTTTGTTAGTACCTTTAACACCAGTAATTACAAAACACATTCTCATTTACTAGAGTGAAACAGGTTATTCCCCACCCCCCAGACTTTTACTTCGATTGCTAATTTTAAATTAGAATGAGTTTTGTGCTTGGATGAGGGGCTGGATTGACTATGCTGGAGACTGAATTCCTCTTCACTACAGAACAGGCACCACAAATTTTCCCCATTCAGCCATAAGTGCCTGAAACTCTAACCTAACAAAAAATTGCATGTAGGGCCAAGAAGGGAGTTCAATCTCATGCTCACCAAACCCTTGACATCTGCAAGCAGACTGATTTAACATTTTCTAAGTTGTGAGTATCCAAAAACAGCAGGGGTGGCAGGGTTTTTTTGGTCACAGTCACAAATATACCACATAAAGGAAGAAGTGCATTATTTGTTTGCCACGTTAGAAATGTACTGACTACCACCAGAGATCTTCAGGAGCTTTAACTTGATTTGTGCCCTTTCAGAGTATTACTACCAACCCTAACACGAAGAGCTGTGAGGAAAAAAATGCACACCAGGTAGATCGGGTTCACAGGAATTGAAGCTGAGGTGTGGTAAACACCCCCTTAAAAAAAAAAGATTGTAAACAGGGTTTTACTTATGAGGTAAAAGATGGGGGGGGATACTAGGTAGTTTGGGCTGGCTTTTGCTCAACTGTTTTTGTGGGGCGTTAATCTGACAGAGAACAATGTTTATAAATTTGTTTAATAATTTCTAAGCTAGTTGCCAAGAAAACTCACAGCAAAGGCACTTTAAATTTGTCAAATTTCCGTTGAGAATGTAGTTACTTTGAATTTGCTCTCAGATGCATATTTCAGGTTGTACATGTAAGGGCTATTAATACTCATACCTACATTTAAATTCCAATGAGGAATAGAGGACAGTTTCAGAACGAATGCTGGTGTAATTTAAAAGTGCTAGGTAGGATTTATCAGTGGATTTAGGATTGTTGCATTTTTAAAGCCACCATTAATTTCTATTCCACCCCTTGAAAGTGAGTTTGCAACACAGTAGCATAGGCTAGTATAAGAAACTGAACCTGCTCTGGATCTACTCTAAAGACTGCCAAGCACTTCTCAGAGGCCTTCCCAAAGTGAAGTAAAACTGGAAGTCAAATCTGCCTTAGTGGATTAAAAAAAGCCTGTTGATAATGGTACAGGGCCAAAACTCAATTCTACAAGTCAAATATTCTAATCCTTGAGACTAATTGCTGTAAAGCACTAGACAGATCAAGTCTTGTCAGCTTTCTAACAAAGTCCATTTATGAATCACTATGCAAATGACTCTGGAATAACCACTCCTATCCTCTAGTGCTGCATCTTTCCTCCTCTGGACAGGTTTTAAGTGGGAAAGACAGCAAGCAAACGTAAAAAGTTACACTTCATCACTGGATGTGGTTAGTCAACCAGTTAAACTAACAAGACAATCATTTCTTTTATCCATTTTCAATTTTACCACAGTAAATGGGAATTTAACTTATGCAAACCCATGATGGACGGACTGACATTTTAAAACATGATCAGAAGTGATACATGATTATTCTTAGATTGTCCAGGATTTCTTTTGATAGTTTAAACTATCATGTTTTGTAATTAAGTGCTTTTGGAGACTCATTCATGCCATCCCTCTCAAGTGTCTCAGAACAAGTCTGCTGCAAGTTGATATTCAAAAAGTTAGTTATGCTGAAGGTACATGCTTTTTACATTAGAGAAGAATACCACCTTCTAAGAAAGTGCTAGTACTTGTCATTTCTTGAAAGAACAGGGCTACTGACATTACAACCAACATGATTTGCACTGATAGAGAATGAAAATTAAGTTGGTCCATTATTTCACTCTAGTGTTACTAAGTTCAGGGTTCCAGTTTTTGCCCCATATGTTGGAAGACTGATCAGTGAACTAAGATTCCATCTAAAATGTACTAGATGGGTGTCAGGTCTTTGTTTTAATGCACAAGCCCGGATTTTGCCTAGCAAAGCAAATATCCTATAAATAACAAATATAAAAAAGTAGCACTCTGGTTTATCAGCTCATTTTACATATATAGGCAATAGGTACTAGACATGTCACTAGTCCAGAAGACAGGGAAACTGAAGTTATGAATATCTGCACCCCTATTGCACACACTGTATCACGTCAAAGTAGTGGTTAATGAACACTAAAAAAATATATACACAACTGATTTGTTTGTGGAGCAGAGATGGGAATGCTGCATTTAGTCTGATCTACATTTATCTCCCAGGGCTTAAAAAAAACTAACAAGGCAAGACATTTTAATTAAGTACAAATTAAACTGACTGACATCTTTGCCTATCATACAACAGTCAGTTCACCAGAGTAAGTAAGTGCTTACTAGCAGCTAAGTGATTTATGGGCTACTTTGGGGGCAGAGGAGGATGGGGGGGAACCTGTGTCATTGTTTCATAGGTTCAACCTATTTAAGAGGGGACTGCAGCCAGGCCAGAAAAAACCCACTGCAGTTAAAGTGTGCCAAGGTCAGGCTGTTTCACAGTGCAGTCAGAACTCCCTGCAACCCCAACCGCCTACCATTTGATAGTGAACCTCCAAATACTGCCAGTAACTGGCCATTCTGCTGGATTTGGAGTCCTGTTCTGACAGTCTAGAAGTGCAGAAGCACCACGCTTTGTATCAGTGGAGTGGCTGGTTCCCTCATGCCCTGATTAACCATAGTCTTTAGAGCCAAGAAAAAATGCTACTAGTAACCAGTGTCTCTTATAGGATTCACAACGCAGCCCCAGCACTATTCCTCTGCAGCAAGTACAGCGACCCAATCTGTTCTCCTTTAGTGTGTCTTCAATTAGTGTAAGCTTAGGTCTGTTCTTGGAGCACTTAAATTACACAAGAATTGTTTTGAAGCCAGAAAGACCACTGATGCAAATAGTACAACAAAAAAGTGGACTTAATCAGTTCTAGCAGCCATGAAGAAGGTCTGCCAATTAAAAGGATCCTGCATTTCCTCTTTAACATGCTGGCGCTAATGAGACATTTACTAAGGAGGTATCAATATGCGGAACTGCAATTCTGAGTCCTTTATAATCAGAGATATTGTAAAGCTCTCTCTTGTAAGGCCACGATTCTTCAGCTATGCCCCTTTAAACCCTGTTTAAAGATTTAACTCAAAATGGGTCACGGCTGTCACAGCACAGTCCAGTTTTATAAAAAGAGCCTTCTATGGAGAAAGGGAACACCTATCTTTGAAGACAATGCAAAAAGTTACTATTTACCCCTGAAGCTTAGTGCCATTTCTTAATAGCCTAAAATGGCAAGACTTTAGAGTCACTCAATGCAATACATCAGGGCAAGCACAGACCTGTGTTATTTTGATCAGCACTGGACAGCAGGCTGATGCAATTTTAATGTCCATGCCTGTGGCAACTAGGAGGGTCTAACTCAATTCAGGTTTATCACAATTTTAGATGATCCGCTCCAATTCATTTACCAGTGAAGTCTATCACAGCCCAACACATTTATAGTCATACAAAATCATTTATACTGGAATATATCATAACATGGTCCTTAATTAGTTCAGTCTATTGCCAAAGGAAGGCATGTATAGGCCCCCCCTTTCCTGTGTACAGGGCTTGCTAGCAGAGCTGCTGTCTGAAGAGCACTGACCGAGAATCCCCCTAATCCCACAACATACTAGGAGACTCCTCCCAGAGTCAAGACATCAAAGCAGATGTTGCAAACTCGAACAGGCTTGTTTAAGTCAAATTTTATGATGGGAATCTCCTTTGTTGAGCATCTATGGCAGAGCAGACGTCCACAGTGCCGGCTGCGGGGGAAGGGAGAAAAGCATGAGAGAGTTAGTTGTTTATAATCTCAACATCAAACAATGAAGACCATGTTGTATGCTCAGACACCCTGGTGAGAGTGAAGAGTCAATGTTTTAGTGTTTGAGAGGTTACAAAAAGAAGAGTCATCCTTCATAGTAAGTGGCAGTTCTTTTATTAAAAAAAAGCAACACCAGTGTCTGGTGGCAGAAAACTGCTTCCACTATAGTTATTTACCAACCACGGGTGGATTTTGGAGCCATCCTCCTGCTAAAAACACTTATTACATGAGCAGAGTTAATAGCTCCAGGTCTTCCCATACCAATACTGTTCTAGAATCCAATTGCATCTTCTGTATGAAACACGAACTAGAATCAGTTCTATCTTAGAGAAACATTCCAGCCTAATCGGAGGAGAGTTAATACTAAGTGAGTGAGGAAGTCCTCCCATTTTTGGAGTCTGTTCCTAATTCCTGAGATCACGGATATTGATCCTTAAACACTGGAAACCGTTCTGCTAGTCCCACCAAGAGAGCTACAGCTGTTAACACCAACTTTTCATCTCCCCATCTAGGTGACGTTTGTCCCTCACATGCATCTTGGCTGTATGACTGATCAGTCCCTACTGAAAGGCCTAATAGCAGCCAACCTATGCAAGCCTGGATTACGATTGGGTTTCTACTACAGCTTCCCTGATGAGCGTGGACTTAGAAGCTCTCACTTTGAACCCAATGAAAAATATTAGCCAAGAGCAGCCTACATCAGCTTTGCAGATTAGTTCAGAAAAAGCATCTATGGCCACATAGGTCAAAGAAACCGTGGTGGACTCCTGCTAGAAACACCTGCATTTCAAGCACTTTTCACACAGTCGAACCTCAGTTACAAACATCTTGAGAAAGGAGGTTGTAACTGAAATGTTTGTAGCTCTTGAAAAAACCATAAACGTTTTGTTCACAGTTTACAAGAAAAATGCTGCTTTCCCTTTGTTCTTTAGAGTTTACATTGAACACAGTACTGTACTGTATTTGCTTTCCCCCCTCCCCACTCGTCTCTGCTGCTGCCTGATTGTATACTTCCGGTTCCAAATGCGGTGTGTGGTTGATGGGTAAGTTCGTAACTGAGGTTCTACAAAAATGTGTACGGGACCACAATCCAATAAACTGTCAAACTGCTTTCAGAGTCCCTATGGTTTTCCTTCTTTGGTACAGCTTGTGAGCCCTGCTGTAACTGACAGCAGGTTCCCAAGGCAGTGTGAATGAGGTAATATCTTTTATTGGCCCAACCTCTGTTGGTGAGGGACAAGAAGTTGTTCCAGTAAAAGATATTCCTCACCTACCTGGTCTCATATCCTGGGACCACCATGGCTACAACTACACATCTTACAGCAGATTTCCCTCTCCAACAAACACAGCAAGTGGCTTCTTGCCCCAATGAAAAAGGAGTTCCCTTGACAGGCAACCTCCTTCCTTACATGCAACTCCAGGCAGCTTACTGCCTAGCAGCTAGTCATTCAGATGGTAACCTGCACCTGAGAGCTGTTTCAGCCAGGCCATGGGGCTCTGAAAAAGCCCTCTTCTACCTAGCAATTGAAGTAGGAGA